AGAGATTTAATTGACTCATAGTTCCACAGGCTTAACAGGAAGCATGACTGGGAGGTCTCAGGAAACTTAAAATCACAGTGGAAGGCAAAGAGGAAGCAAGCACCTTTTTCACATGGTGGCAGGAGAGAGGGCGGGAGGAAAGGGGGAAGTGCCACACACTTTTCAACCTTCAGATCTCATAAGAACTCAATCACTATCATGAGAATAGCAAGGGGGAAATCTACCCTCACGATCCAATCGCCCCCCTCCAGGCCCCTCCTCCAATTCCACATGAGATTTGGATGAGGACACAAATCCAAACCATACCACTTATTATATATCTAAAAGTGTTTATTTTAGGAAGTTGATTCTGACAGGTTAGTTTTCAGCAAGTAATATAGTGAGAAAAATAGATCACTGTTGAATTCTTGCTTCAACCACTGACTATGAAATATGTAACCAATCGTTTTGCTTATATCTTTACTGCCTTCATTTCATCTACTAGAACAGATGAAATACTTTATGTTTCTTTTAAGGATTAATGCATAATGTACATAAAGCATCCACACCAGGCATAGATAAATATTCATTAGCTAGAATATTATTTTTAAAAGAATGAGACTTTAGACACCAATTATACCCTTTTATCATCATCAATTTTACGAACAGTAATGAACGTAATGGAGAAAGAGCTCTATAATCTGCCAGTGCAAGTCTACATACTTTTCCCTTGGAGGTTGTTACGTAGACTTCACAAGCAGGAAGCTGATATGCTCATGCCTTGACAGCCATTAGAAATGACTTTGGAATCTTATATTCATTCCACTGAGATACTCTTCTGGATTTGCAGCTTACCATGGAACCTGAACACATCAGGATAACCCTCATTTGTTTAGTGGAAAGCCAGAAAGAGCAGCTGTTAGTGAATCTCAAACAGTAAAGCTTATTTACAAGATATCTCAGCCTGTGGTGATGGTGATTTCTGTAGGGCTACAATGCATAGGGAAATCCTACCTGATGAATCATCTTGCAAGACAGAACTGTGGTGAGTGTGGTCTTGACACAGAGACCATTAGTTTGGAATCATAATAATGCACCTGATTACACCAACTCTACGGTCTTCATAAGAAACAGACCAACTCTTCCCTATAAAAAAATTTCGAATTCCTACAACTAAATTTATACCTGGGGCTGCCTGTCTTATCTGCTATCACTGTTTTGTTGCTTTGTCCTCTTCCTTAGCAGGCTTCTGTGTGGGTTCTGCTATGAGGGCTGAAACCCAGGGCTCTGGATGTGGGCTCTCTCCAAGCAGAACCACACTGGGGGTCTGGGTTATGCAGGATGGTTAAGGCAGAGTCATAAAGACCTTTACTCTTGATTCTCAACATTTAATTAACTACCTTGATTCAACTTATCTGACGTATTTCTGCAAAATGAAAATATGGATCACGAAGAATGAGTTTAAGTTCTGTCTCCCTGAACTTTTCTCCTTGGTATGATCAAATACTTTGGAATATTAAAGGTAAGATCTTATTTTAACACTGAGGTGAACAATAGAATTGATAAATACTTATGAGCAGCTGAATTTCAAGGCTTTGTGCTAAGTACTATAGAAGGGCAGTAAACAAGGTAAAAGCCTAAAGCCTAGTTACGGAGACCGCACATACACAGTGTGATCAGTGCAGGGTGCCGTAGATGCACAGAAGTAGGGATCTAGCTCAGTTGTACAGACCAAATAAAACTTCTTGGAGGAAATAACATCTAGACCATAACTAGGGGAATCACTGGTAGCTATCAGTTAAAGCACATGGGAGTGACTGATTTGGAAACAGAAGCGTTGGAAATAGGGTTTCAGTAAAGTTATCCTTTAAATAACCTCCATAAAAGCTTCAGCTACATCAGGAACATCATAAAGGTCTTACTCCAAGTCTAAGGGCTTTGGAAATTAACTCTTCACTGACTTCTCTAAAAGCATGAACTTAGCCTATGTAAAATACTGTGAGATAATTTTAGATATTCCGTCTTCATAGTATTAAGGGCAATGTATGATTTTTCCTAATTTTACATCACTCTGAGTCTAAATCAAAATTAGCAACAGATCTTTGATATCTATTATTGTAAATGAAAGAAGGAAAAAGAGGAAGAGAGAAATGGAAACAGAGAAAAAAGAGAAAAGTGTTTTTCAGAAAAAAAAAAAATCTTATGTTTAAGTCTATCTGCATGGATAAGCAAATAATGCAGCCATGTAGTGCCAGAGCCTCAGAAAGGTCAATACTTGATTTGAAATTATTGTATTGAATTTCCTGATGATTTTTTTTAATGAGCCTCACATTCTCATTTGAATGTTTCGGTTCACCTTTCTAATATACTCTTTTATTTAATTTCAATGAAAATGTGGTGTTCCTGGGCACTACTGAGTATATTGGCTTGGATCAGTAATTAAATAGTAACTTGAAGTGTTACAGAATCATTTTTAAAAGTGTGAACTGCCCCTTGTGGTTAGAACTCAGAGATGTCATAAGTCCCCATCCTCCAAAACTTGATACCAGGTTTTTCAGTTACATGGCACTAAAAAAGGCCTGGATTAAATTGTGTCAAGCATTTAATAGCACGTAGCTGCAAACAGTCATATAATGTGTTTTTAGCCTGTGGATGCTGCTCCTTTGAAGCCAGAGTTCATTCCAAGTTGAATGTGGTGAGGCTCTATGGCCTTGAAGTTAGAACAAGTGGCAAAATTCTCTGTGGAGGGTGAAAGGCAGGGTTTTTCAACTGGAACATTGCACAGATGGCATAGACTTGGAGGCTCGTCTGATTTTATGTATTCTTACTGTGGTCTGAATGTTTGCACCTCCCCACCACCCCAAAGTATATGTTGACACCTAATCACCAATGTAATAGTATTAGACAGTGGGTTATTTAGGAGGTGAGAATAAACTTAGGTCATGAGAATGGAACTGGTGATACTAGTGCCCTTAGAAAAGAGGTTCCAGAAAGATGCCTTGCCCTTCACCGTGTGAGTACACATCAAGAGGCCACCAACTATGAACCAGAAATCAAACCCTTATTAGACCCCCAATCTGCTCATGCTTGTGTTTCTCAGCCTCCAGAAATGTGAGAAGTAAATTTCTGTTGTGTATAACTTATCCAGTTTATTTTATGTTTTTATAGAAGACCAAAGACACTTCTTCATGCTCTTCTGACCAATCACCTCTGTTAAACAACATTGATGTTATTACTTTTACCATCCTTTATGCCAGTTGACAAGAATTTGGTGTTGACATAGAATAAAGTACCTCTTCTTGAGGAGATCATTCCAGATTAGGTCATTCATATGCTTATCACTATCTTCAGAATGTATATTAAAGTAAATTTGTAAACACACACACACACACACACACACACACGACATTGACTATTCTGAACTATACTGAAGTAAGTACACAAAGATAACATAACCACTTGCCCTGTATGACCTACTCATGTCATAACTTCCTGTCTCCTTGACTGGCTCACTTGGATTAAAAGCATCTGCAACTCCATTATTTCCTCCAATTTCCTTCCAAAATCAATGAGCCAGTAAAACACCCTCATTTCAAAAATCTTTTCTTCGATATGTCTTGTAAATGAATTAAAAGTTAAACCACAAAATACAAAAACATAAAGACATTGCACTTTACTTTTTCAAAAAATATATAAATAAGAAGCTCAAAATCTGATATGGAAAATATTCAAAAAATCTTCAACTAAGATTCTTTTTATCAAAATAAAAGTTATTTCCTTCTTAAGAGTACGTGTGTGTATATCTGTTATTATTAAAACAGTCTTTGAAAATTCATATAATTCAGAAAGACTTTTTTAAAATCACCTGAGCTAGAATTACTAATTTTGGGGGGGGGGGTAGTGGTTGGTGAATACTTCTAGACTTTTATCTGTGTAACAGAGACATATTGCTATGTACATTTTCTATGTGCATAGACATATTGCTATGTGCAATCATTGCTATGTACACTTGTGAAGTGATAACTTTTTTTTGCGGGGGGGGGGGTGGGGAGACAGTGTCTCACTCTGTTGCCCAGGTTGGAGTGCAGTGGCATCACCAGGGCTCATTGCAGCCTTGACCTCCTGGGCTCAGACTCCCATCTCAGACTGCTGGCTAACTGGGACTATTGTAACAGGCACACGCCTTCACACCCAGCTAATTTATTTTTATTACTAATTGTAAAGATGGGGTTTCCCCATGTTTCCCGGGCTGGTTTCCAATTCCTGGACTCAAGTGACCTGCTCACCTTGGCCTCCCAAAATGCTTGGATTGCAGGAGTGAGCTACCACACCCAGCCTAAATTTCTTCTTGATTAACATTTCCATAATTATCTGAAGTTAGTAACGTTGGATTATCTGGAAAGCGGTGCCATTGGTGAAATTCAGGCGTTTCAAACACATTTACCAGGATTCAATCATCCCTGTACTTTTTCTCTCCTTACTTTTTTTTTTTTTTTTTAAGAGAGGCTTCCTAATATTAAAAAAAAATAATAAATGGTCGGAGAAAAAATCAGCTGATTTCGTATTACTGGTCCTATTTAAAACTAGATTTAGCTTTAGTTTCACTTTCAATATTGCTTACAGGAAATCAATGTCAAGTTTTGAATCAAAATAATCACCAGTAATTTTACCTGATTAAGTACCTAAAATTTTGGACTTAATAATTTGCAAATGTTTAATCAGACTATTAAACAAATAGGAAGATCTAAGGGATAGGCACAACTGGGGAATCATTACCCATTTATTCCAGATAGAAGATTTCCCAAATTCTGTTGACAAACTGGCTAGTCATTTCAGGACTGAGTCCATTTTTCTGCTAGCCTGGGTAAGACTCTTAATTATAAATTATGCTTTGTATGGTTCAATCATCCTGCTGTCCTTCACAAAAAGTCCAGTTTCGATGAAATGTTTGTGCTTTGAAAGAGAAGTATTTGCTTGCCACCACTGCATCCGGGCAATAATATTAGGCGATACACACATATCCACACACACACACACACACACACACACACACTCATTTTATGGTTAACGAAAAAATAACTTTACAAAGAGATGAGAAACAAAACCAGATGAGCATGTAAAAAAAAAAAAAATTAAAAGCAAACAAAAACTCAAACTTCTTCCCTGAGAAAATTACCCCTGAAAGACAGGGAGTAGATGAAACAACATTCATGTCTGCTGCTCTATATTCATTTTGGAGGCGAAAGATACCTAAGCCAAGGGTGGAAGAGGGTCAAACCTGGGTTTTAGGAGCCTGGTATGGAGGTACCAGCACTTCCAAGCTCCTTTAGTTTCCTGTCTTGCCAAAACAGGAAAATATCTCAACGGTTTAACTCCCCGCCAAACTCAAGTGCTTTCGATTTCGGTTTTCCCAAACCCTTATTTGGATGTCTGTAATCCCGGCTATGCTTTCGGCTTGTAAAAACAGTCCGTTTCACGAGGAGCCAGACGCAGGAGGACAGAGCAAGGGGAGAGCAAGCGCAGCTCTTCACGTTGCAGCGTCCGCGACACGTAAGTTCGCTCCTAAGCTTTGCCTTTCAAGTATATTGGGTTAAAGAACAATCAACAACGAATTCCCAAGCGCAGACTCCACACGGGGAGGGTAGAGACTTCACACTGGCGGGTGACGAAGGCAGCGGGGGGACCTCTCGGGGAAGTCGGTTGCTGCTTGAACCCCTGAGTGCTTTGCCCCGGGGGGCTCAGTGTCTCCACGTGGTCCTCAGGCGGCGACTGGGCGACGGCGTCTCCAGGATGCGCTGCTCCTCCTCGGGCTTCCTCCCAGAGCTGCGGCGAAGATCCCTGCTTGGGTCACGGAGGAATGGGGCCTGAAGTCCTTGCTCCCCGAATCATGGGGTCGCTTCCTCCCTCTTCCGTTCTCTGGCGTTTCCCGGCTGCCCCCTGCCGGGACACTGGGGAAACAGAAGATCCTTGCCACTGTCTATTTAAATCCTTAATAGTTATGACTCTATTTTTGTATGAGCCACATTTAGCATTCCAGCGATGCTACAGAGCTGCATTATGTGGAATTTCAGATCACTTTCACTCATCAACTGTTTAAAATAAGTTTAAGGTTTAATCATGTTTGATTATCATGCTGTGGCCCATGTGGCCCATGCAAGAAGTACATCAGAATAACATGAGGTACTGCTTGAAACAGGGTCCCAGGCATTTTTAATCATCACTCCAGATAACTGTCCTGTATTTTGAGAGAGAGCTACATTCTTTATCTCTTTTTCCTTCTTTTATGATTGTTCCCCTATCCAGCCTGCTCCTGCTTTTACCAATTCACTAAATCCATCTTCATCAATATCAATCAATGATCGGTTTCATTTTGTGTCTTTTCGAAGGCCTTCCTGACCAACCTTAACATACATTCAAATCCCAAAACACCATATCCCTTTTCCCTGCTAATTTTCTCCTGAGAAATATCATCAGCTAGTATACATATACACTTTTTTTGCTTGTTTGTTTTATTAATTTTCTGTCCCCCACTGCAATAGAGCTCAAAGAGGCAGGATTTTGTATCAATTCTGTTCCTTGCTTGATACTGAGAACTTAAAATGGTGTTTATTAGCACATGGTAGGTACTCAATACTATTTATTAAATTAATGAGAGAGCAAATTCTTCTGGAATGCCTGGAACCTTTTCTAACCACTCATCTCCTGTATGTAACATCCTGCCCCTACTTATTCCAAGAGTTTACTTTACTTGGGGCTCTGTCATCAGTGCCTTGATTTTCCTATTCTATTTTATGCATCACCTTGACAGCGCATTTTTAGCGTTCTTGTAAGAATCATAAATAATGTACATAAAGCATCTGTACTAGTCCTTGACATGCTAAATATTTTTTCATTAGAAACATACAAAATGTAGAAATTTGATATACCATCCCACAAGCAGAAAACTGATCTGTATGTGCCTTGGGTAGCCCTTACAGATGACTTCAAGGTCTTGTATTTTACTGTTTTTTTTTCTGGGTTACAGGTTACCCAGAATCTGAATCCATCATGATGGCCCCCATTTGTCTAGTGGAAAACCAGAAAGAGCAGCTGACAGTAAATTCAAAGGCATTACAGATTCTTGACAAGATTTCTCAGCCGGTGGTGGTGGTGGCCATTGTAGGGATATACCGTACAGGAAAATCCTATCTCATGAATCGTCTTGCAGGAAAAAACCATGGTGAGTGTGGCCCTGGGTCAGGAGCCATTTACTTGGAACCAGTGATAACATGGCTGATCACCTCCTCTAGGGTCATCCTAAAGAAGAGCATGACTTCTCCCAGTGAAGAAAACTTCTAATTCTCTCACCACTAAATTTAAAATCTCAACCATATGTGTGTATATATATATCTTTTGTCTAATAGTAAAGAACCATCTCAACCCTATCAAAAGATCCATTCCATGGGTCTTCTTGATCCCATCTACACTCACCTCTTCGGGGGCTCAGCTCCAGCAATTATGCCCTTTCTTTCTTATTCAACACTTTTGTGTAGGGTACCTGGTCACTTCAAATAGCACACAAACATAGTTTAATATACCCTGTTTTAAAAATAAATAAGAAGGACAGGCAGTATAATTCTTGCGTGTCCTCTATTTAAATTGGGCTACCATCCAATTTCTTGCTTCATTTTGTAGCAAAACTTTGATAAGTTATACTCCCTTCTATTTAGTCTTTCTAGTATGTGAACTATGACACATAGAGTACGTACAGCATACTTGTACAGTGAAGTTGATAAAGTGAATACGTGGGTAATCACTATTCAGATCAAGAAATAAAACATTCCTAAACATCCAAAAAGCATACACTGTCATACCTTCTCTAGAGCTCACCAATATTTTTGTTTTCAGGGCACAGTTCTTTGACTCTTGGTTTTTAAAAATGGTTCTGCTTAATATATATGCATTCTGAAAAATAGTTTAGTTTGGTCTGCTTTTAAACTTTACATAAAGGAATTTATATTGTGTGTATTCTTGGATATCTTGTTCCTTTGCTCAATAAGAAATGTGTAAGGTTTCTCCAGTTACCATGTGTACCCATTTTTATACCCTCAGACAGTATGCCACTACTTAAGGACAATATATTTGTTTGTTGTTGAACATTGATATTTTTCCAGTTTTTATTTTTAAGACTGTCATTAATACTCTATTATTTATATCCATTAATACTCTGTTACTTATGTTTATATCCTGTTGAACATTGGTATTTTTCCAGTTTTTATCTTTAATGAATAAAGTTGTCATTAACACTCTATTATTTATATCCTCTTATTAATAATAATAGAGATATAATATATACTATATATTATATAGTATATATTATCATTAATACTCTATTATTTCCTCTATTATTAACAATAATAGATATAATATATATACTATATATTATATAGTATTATTAATAGATATAATATATACTATATATTATATATTATTAATAATAATAGAGGAAATTAAGAGTATTAATGATAACCTTATTCATTGTCATTAATGAATACTAATAGAATATTAATGAATATTAATTGTCATTAATGAATATATAAATAAGTATTATTGATACTCTATTATTTATATGTTTATACATTTATATGTATATATTAAAACTTCCCTTGTGTAATATGCTCAGAAGTGGAATTTCTGAATCAGAGAGTAGGTAAAATTTCTAGATAAAGTCAAATAGCTTTTCAAAAAAAATTTTTTTTGGAGACAGAATCTCACTCTGTCACCAGGCGCCAGGCTAGAGTGCAGTGGCACAATCTCCGCTCACTACAATCTCTGCTCCTGGGTTCAAGCAAATTAGTGTCCTGCCTCAGCCTCCCGAGTAGCTGGTACAACAGGTGGGTGCCACCACGCCCAGCTAATTTTTGTATTTTTTAGTAGAGACGGGGTTTCACCATGTTGGCCAGGATGTTCTCGATCTCTTGACCTCGTGATCTGCCCGCCTCGGCCTCCCAAAGTGCTGGGATTACAGGTGTAAGCCACTGTGCCTGGCCAGCTTTTCAAAATTTAAATGCAATTTAGATGCTTATTGGCAGTGATTTAGAATTTTACATCCTGCAAGAAATTCAATGACATAAAGCCTTTTAACTTGTACTGACATGTTGAATGTATTACATGTTGTTTATTTCGCATGTTATTTATTTCACTGTAAGTTTAAGCACCTTTTCACATATTCATTGCAATTTTCATTTCTAATTTTTTGAAGGCTTTTTAAAAAATTTTTTGATACCAGGTTTCTCTTTTGGTTCTTATTGACTTTTAACACAATCTGCCTATGGCTCTGTTAGGTGCTCCTGTTTTCAAAGACCATGCAGCCATTTCTTCCCCCTAATGACCTACTTCCTCTTTGGCTCAGAAGCTCGGCACCATTAGGGAGTGAAACTCTGTCTACTAAACAAGTTTAAGAAAGAAAACAAGTTTGAGAAAATTCTTAATACATGTAAAGATTGGATTAGTTGTCCTGACTGAGATGGAAACAGCGGTTTTCCACTGCCAGCCACTTAAACATTTCTACAAGTTTAACCAATGTAAGCCTGGGACATCCTGGTCTATCCACTGTTACTGTTTGTTATTTTTCCTCTTCGCCGCAGGCTTCCCTCTGGGCTCCACCGTGCAGTCTGAAACCAAGGGCATCTGGATGTGGTGTATGCCCCACCCTACCAAGCCAAACTACACCCTGATCCTTCTGGACACTGAGGGCCTGGGCGATGTGGAAAAGGTAAGGCACTGCTCATGGTTGTCCTCTTATCTTTTAATTTTTCAGCTCCATTCAACTTCTGTACATACTTCTGTAAACTCTAATTATGAGTTTACAGAATCTAATTATGAATAATGAAGCTAAATTCTGTTTTCTAAAACTTCCTTATTAATTTCAAATACTGAGGCATATATAAGAATCGATCTTATTTAACACTGGGTTGAATGATATAATTTAAGAAATATGTATTGAAGAGATGAATTCTAGGGCTCTATACTGAGTTCTACAGATATGACAGTAAACAAGGTAAAGGCCAAGAGCCTAGTTGTGAAGACGAGAAATATAGGGTGTGATCGGTACAGAGTTTCAGATGCAAAAAATGAGAAACTAGTTCAGTCATTCAACTAAGAGAAAGCTTCTTGGAGAAAGCTATAACCCCTGGGACTGATGGGATCTACTATTTAAGATGTGGGGTTGGAGGATGGGACCATATAAAAATAGGGTTTTACTGAAGGAGTCTATTTCAGTAATTTTCAGAAAAGCATTAATTTTATCATTAACATTTTGGTCCAACTCCCTGAACTTTGGAGATGAATTCTGCATGGACTTCTTTAATAGCATGAATTAGACCCACAAAGAATATTGTAAGTGAGATAATTTTAGTTATTTTGTCTTAAAGTGTTAGGTGCAATCTGTCAATTCTCCTTATTTGAATTAGTCTCAGTCTGAATTAAAAGTAGCAGCAGTAGATCTTTGGCTTCCATTATTGAAAAAAAGCATAGAAGTTGGGGGAAGGAAGCACAGACTTAGCAATATGAACTTTAAATTTCAGGATTAAAAGTCTGAATTATTCTTAGTATAATACCAAAGTGAAACATTTATTCTTAATATACTATAGTTTTCATAAACTCCTTTTTATGTAGTTGCATTTGTCAAGAGATCAGAACGTATCAAAATATAAACTGATGGCGGCAGCAGAACTACTCGCTGACCTTAGAACTTGTGATGTGATTTGGGTACCATCTAATTGGTGGGAGTGTAAACTAGTTCAACCATTGTGGAAGACAGTGTGGTGATTCCTTAAGGATCTAGAAATAGAAATACCATTTGACCCAGCAATCCCATTACTGGGTATACACCCAAAGGATTACAAATCGTTCTATTATAAAAACACATGCACACGTATCTTTATTGTGGCACTGTTCACAATAGCAAAGACTTGGAACCAACCCAAATGCCCATCAGTGATAGACTGGATAAAGAAAATGTGGCACATATACACCATGAAATACTATGCAGCCATAAAAAAAGGACGAGTTCATGTGCTTTGCAAGGACATGATCATTCTCAGCAAACTGACACAAGAACAGAAAACCAAACACCTCGTGTTTGAGAACATATGGACACAGGGATGTGAACATCATATACTGGGGTCTGTTGGGGGGTGGGGAGCTATGGGAGGAATAGCAGAGAGTGAGGATATAGGGGAGCGATAACATTAGGAGAAATACCTAATGTAGATGAGGGGGTGATGGGTGCAGCAAATCACCATGGCACCTGTATACCTATGTAACAAACCTGCACGTTCTGCACATGTACCCCAGAACTTAAAGTGTAATACAAAAAAGAAGTTCACACACACACACAAAATCCTTTAATGTCTTACCATGAATCTTGTTTCCAGCCTCCTCTTCCACTCCAGCATGCATACTTACTGCTTCAAGCCAGAGAAATAACTGTGTAATACCTTTTTATGACCATGCTCTGACAATTCTGACTTGGCTTCTGTTGATCTTTCCATCTGCCTTATTCCTTCTTCTTCACAAGTCCACACTCTATCAACTCTTGAAGTGCAGCTATTTTCAAACTGCTGCAAGCATGTGCCTGCCACACATAATCAGTTCTTGCTCCTGAATCCACAGAGTAACTATTCATATTTATGGGCCTCCTCCTCCTTTCTGTCTTTCTTATACTTTGTAACTTTGGGGCTTACTCCCCCAGCAGCGATTATTATTCTGATTGAATTTGTATATTGACATGTTTATCTGTTGCTCCAGAAAGTCATCTTCTTGAGGGCAGGGACTGTCATGAACTTTATATCCACAAAACCAAATGCAGTGTCTGCATTTTGTCAGAAGCACAATGAATAGTTTTTTAACTTAACTGAATAGCATTTGAGACCTTAATATGCCACGAGTGAGGACAAAATTGCAATGGAATAATTGCATGCTGATCACTTGACACCTATTATATTCTAGGCACTTTATTGAATATTTTAATCACAATGTAATTAATTTCTGTTGGTAGCTAAATGAGCTTACAGCCTGAGGATTAATGTAAAATCTAAATATGAAGTTTGAATTTAACATTGCCTTCAAAATTTATTTTTCCTAGTTTTCAACTATCATACAGCTGAAATAGCTAATGAACAACCAAATGAATGAATGAATGAATGAAGAGAATACTCCAAGTCCTTTGCTCTATATTCTTTCTAGGGTAACCCTAAGAATGACTCATGGATCTTTGCCCTGGCTGTGCTTCTAAGCAGCTGCTTTGTCTACAACAGCATGAGCACCATCAACCACCAGGCTCTGGAGCAGCTGCAGTATCCTTCCGGGAAGAGAAAAGCCAGGTTTTATGGCGTTTAGGGGAATGGAAACTGATACTGAGTCTTCTTTGCTGTGACCCAGTTGTCCTGGTTGAGTAAGAAGAGACACAGTGCAAAAGGGAATGTTTATAAAACTTGTTTCTAAGTGAGATGTTGAAATAATGGTATAGGGTGTTACTCCTTAGCTAAGATCCCAGCTACGTGACTCAACTAACACAGCTAATCAGGGCAAAATCCTGCCCCAGGACTGATGAAGTTGAGGACTCCAGCGAGTTTGTGAGTTTCTTTCCAGACTTTATTTGGGCTGTTCGAGATTTTACCCTGGAGCTGAAGTTAAATGGACACCCCATCACAGAAGATGAGTACCTGGAGAATGCCTTGAAGCTGATTCCAGGTATCAGAGCATGTCCCGGATGGGGGAATGTTCAGCAGTGGATGGGATCAACTAAGACCTGCCATTCAGCACCTGACACAAATGTTTATATTAGACTGGATTGAGGCCCATGCTCGTGGTGGTTGGTGATTGACAAGTGATTATGATTCTTGTGGTTATTTTTACTTGAAATTTCCCAGAGGCTGAAGTTTCAATTCATTGAAGAAGTTTAAAACTCAAAATTCTATCAAACAATTTTAGACCAATAAGTACCATGAAAATATATTGAGGATTACAATTAATATTATCACATCCTAAGGCTTATGTATTTGTGTTACTTGTTAACTTCAAGTGTTCCTTCTATTATATTTGGAGAAAATTAATAAATTAGAAGTTGGTAAACACAGAATCACAAGAAGCCAAATGATCTAATTTTGGAAATACATTTCATGCTGTCTGTTTTATTAGCCTGGGTAGTTATATTCTTTAGAGAAAAAGGAGATTTATACAGTAAATGATTCAGAAAATTTAAAAAATACACTGACATATGCTTCCAGTAAGACTGTCAAATCCTTCATTTTACTGTTTTCATAACATCACCTACTTCATTCTACAGCCTCATACAATATGTTGTCAATCTATTATAAATTTGTTAAACAGATGGTATTTAGCAGAGTGAATGCTGGTTGGCACCTACAATCAATATCCATCTTTGTTCACTTATTCATCCTTTCAACAAAAGTTTATTTTGAATAATCTATATATGCCCCAGAATCCCTCTGCAAGACAATGTCAGACCTAATATAATCTGACATTGAAAAGTGGCAAGGTCTCCAAGTTACATCTGGATTAACTTTAGATTGTTCAGATAAAGAAGTGTCTAAACATATTTATGGTGTTTATAATTTAGGGTTCTGATTTTGAAATATTTTTTACTTTTATTACTGTGTTGGTGATCATTCACCTTCTTCTTGATATTCTTCTTAGCAACATCTTATCCTTATTTCAATTTAGGGCCCATGTTTCACTTCTGACACAGGAATGTAATATCAATAAAATATTTCTGACAAATTTTTTATTTAGTTAATCATTCAAAAACATTTAATAAATAGTCTACCAGCTACCATACAAAGGCCAAGGAAACCAGTCATAAGTTTCTTCATCTTGTGTTAGATGTCTTCCCTTCCTCTGCAGTTCTTTCCTGACTCTCGGTCCTGTACAAAAATGGATTTTCCATGCCTTGGTTGGATTAGCACAAGGCTGCTTTGTATGATGGCATACAACAAAATTTACAAGGCAGAGGAGCTGCAGGGATGCAAAGATCCCTGGAAAAGTCCTCAGCCCCCTTGACTGCAGCCTGTCTCTTCATTGAGCTTTCTTTTTTATAATTCCACAGGCAAGAATCCCAAACTTCAAAATTCTAACATGCCTAGAGAGTGTATCAGGCATTTCTTTCCAAAACGGAAGTGCTTTGTCTTTGACCGGCCTACAAATGACAAACAATATTTAATTCATATGGACAAATTGCCAGAAGAAAATATGGAAAGGCTTTTCCTGAGGCAATCAGAAAACTTCTGTTCTTATATCTTCACCCATGCAAAGCCCAAGACCCTGAGAGAGGGAATCATTGTCACTGGAAACCGTGAGTCTTCTTTGTTGCAGAGCATGTCTGTGGTCCAGGGTGTGTTGAAGCTGTCGTGATTCTGCAAGTTTGTCAATAATATTGTTTACTTCTGTATAGGAATGCAGGCAGACCGTGCCACACATAGAAATGAATGTTTCTTAAAGTTTACTCATATGAGAATTTCTTGAGGCCTAATATATCTCACAGAATTAATACACTAATGGGGTAAACACAAACTTCTGAGGAGAGAAATCTACATGATGAGAAGTCCTATAGGGTTAGTGTTTCTCAGTGAGGATATATAATATATTTTATAAATTGACATTAGTCAAGAAACCAACATCAGGCCATGAGTTCCATGCAAGCTCATTAAGAGTTAGAGAAACAAATTTAAATGTTATATTAAGTATGGGACTGGCTTCATGGCATGAAACCTGTGGAGTCATCCACTCCTCATGGTGAGATGGGTCCATGCTTGATTCAATAGTCTATGTTGCTGTCTTCAAATAAAAATTGCTGTCTCCAAATAAAAATGCAAGTTCCCTTGTAAAGAATATCTGATGAAATGAGGGGACTTGCATTTTTATTTGGAAGTAGGACTCACAAATTATATAACTTAGTTTTCCTGCATAACAAACTCATTATATGGCATCCAAATGGAAATGTACTTTTCCATAAAACACGAAGACATGTTGGTTGCAATGAGTAATTAATTTTGTAATGTGAATCCAAGAGCCATATAAAACAGAAAATAGGAAAAATAGGGATGTTATTATAAATTCCTCAAGGAACTCATAGAGGAAGATGAAAAAGAAGGAGAGAAAGATTAAAGAAGAGGAGGGGGAAGAAAGGTCAAGATAACTCGAATTTTTGTAATTTTTAGAATGCTAAAACTTGTATAAATAATGAGTGAGAACTATAAATTTTCCTTAAATATATGTGATTCAGGGCTGGGGACTCTGGCAGTGACTTATGTAGATGCCATCAACAGTGGAGGAGTGCCTTGTCTGGAGAATGCAGTGACAACTCTGGCCCAGCGGGAGAACTCAGCAGCTGTGCAGAGGGCAGCCGACCACTACAGCCAGCAGATGGCCCAGCGGGTGAGGTTCCCCACAGACACACTCCAGGAGCTGCTGGATGTGCACATGGCCTGTGAGAGGGAAGCCATTGCAGTCTTCATGGAGCACTCCTTCAAGGATGAAAACCAGGAATTCCAGAGGAAGCTTGTGGTACTTTTAGCATTTATCCTTCCTGATTTCAGTTCTCCCCAAATAATGCGTAAAGTCCACCCTTTTGACCCCAGGGTTCATCTCCTTACCATTGTGGAAAGAATATGGTTTCTTGTGAATAATAGGGCTCTATGGGCTAGCGGCCACACTTCTTCTAGATGATGGTCACTTTTTTTTCTATTCCTGAAAAATAAATTATCATGAGTTTAGCAGCTTAAAACAACACACGTTATTAGATCATAGTTCTGTAGGTCAGAAGTCCTTGTCAGGGTGTCTGGGTACTCTGTTCAGTGTGCCACAGACCGAACACAGTGTTAAATGGGCTTAGATTTCATTTAGCGGCTCAGCAATGATGCATCAAATCCTTCTGTTTCTAATTGCCCTGAATTCCTCTTCTTACACCATCTAGAGAAAACCACTTTTAAGGGGCTCATGTGATTAAGTCATGCCCAACAGGGCACACTCCATTTCTTAAAGTCATCTTGTCCTACATAACATAATCTAATCACAGGGTTGGTATCTATCACATTAATAGGCCCAGGAACTATGCAGGTGTGGATACCAAGGAGTGAGGAATCTTATGGGACATCTTAAATCTCTTTACCATAGGCATATTTACTGAAAGTTTGTCTTTCGGTCTGTCTCAGACTAACCTAAAAGTAACAATAATCTCTTAATTCATAATGATAAAATCCAACTGGACTGTAACTTACAAGTACAAACAAAAGAAAATTCTGTTCCTGTATCCTCACATATTCAAACTCTTATTGAAGGAATACACAGATAGTTCATTTTTCTCATCAGAATATACTTAATTCATTACTGCAGAGTTGATTTTCCATGCCCATATTTTAATATGTAGCAACCTATGTTTTCTGGGGAATTTTTACTTCCAGCCAAAATTCAACTTTTTGCTGATCATGGTTGGGAGGTTTGGTCCCTGTTAATCATACCATAACTAAAAGAACTATAGAGTTTATGACTTCTAATTACACAAATTTGCAGATATTGTGCCTGACCCCTGGGGAGTTAAGGGGCTTTCCACAGGTCACACAGATAAATGATCAGATATTTGGGAACAAAACAAATCTTCTGACTTTTGGTCTACACTATATTTCAGTTCACTCTGAGGCCTTCAGACTACTCCTTCCAAGAGGATCGCAATTGGACCTTCCTTTCTAACACCTTCTTTCTACTGTTTTTCCCTAACTTTCTCTGGCAGGACACCATAGAGAAAAAGAAGGAAGACTTTGTGCTGCAGAATGAAGAGGCATCTGTCAAATATTGCCAGGCTGAGCTTAAGCGGCTTTCAGAGCACCTGACGGAAAGCATTTTGAGAGGAATTTTCTCTGTTCCTGGGGGGCACAATCTCTACTTAGAAGAAAAGAAACAGGTTGAGCAGAACTATAAGCTAGTGCCCTGCAAAGGAGTTAAGGTGAGGAATAAGGGGAGTGGGGGATGAATAACAGAAGATAGTCAGAGGGTCTTTGTTGCCCCTTCTGAAAATCTAAGAACATAGCGCTGCGTGTGGAGAGGAAGCAGAACATGATGCTATCTTGGCATTTTTAGTATTTAAATCCACAATTAGTTAGATACTCTTAAAGAAACATTTCCTCTCCAAGAGGATTTAACATCACGAATCCAGATGAAACAACTCACTTATATTTATTAATTAATGGGATAGTTTTTGTGCTAAGTACAGAGGATACCTTATGAAGCAAACAACTTTGTTTTCCGAAGCATATTGTCTTACCCGAGATGAACAAATTAATACTCGACTGGCTATGGTACCATTATGGTTATCATACTGGTATGTGCTAATATGATGATGATGATCATGATGATGATGATGATCAACAGAATGGTTCACACACACTGAGCATTCACTTCCTGTGTCAGAGGAAGTGATTTGTTGGATTATCGGTTTGATTCTCAGAATAATGTAAATTAGGTACCACTGTCTTCCACAGAGCCAGTTGAGAAATGTAATGCACAGAGAGGTTAATAAGGTGCCTAGGACAATGCAGCCAGCAAGTGATGGAGCTGATAGGGCTGACTTATGTACTCGACAGCCATTGGAAATTTTGAGGAAATTTTTGTCCTGTGTTCCATGAGGACTATACCAACTTAGGTTCCTACCAACCGTTTCTAAGAATTCCCTTTCCTCCATATCTTTGCCAACATTTGGTATCTTTTGACTTTTGGATAATGATCATTCTAAAATGTGTGAGATAAAATGTCACTGTGGTTTTGAGTTGCATTTCCCTGATGGTTAGTGATGCTGACTATGCTTTCACATACCTGTTTTCCAGGTCTTCTTTTCACAAATGTCTATTTAGGTTCCTTGCTCATTTTTAATAGGTTTATTGGTTTATTTTGCTATTTAGTTATATGACTTTTGTATTTTAGATATTAACCCCTTATCAGATTTGCAAGTGTTTTCTTCCATTCTGCATGGAAGAAAACTCTTTTACATTTTATTGTTTTCTTTGCTCTGCAGAAATTTTTAGTTTGATGTAGTCCTACTTATTTTTGCACTTGTTGCCTGTGTTTTTGATGTCAAATTCAAAAAACTGCTGCCGAGGCCAATATCAAGAAGTATTTTCCTTCTGTTTACTTCTTGGAGTTTTATGGTCTTACGGTTAAATCTTTAATCTATTTTTAGTTGATTTTTCTGTATAGTGTAAGATAAGGGTCCAGTTTTATTATTTTGAATATCCAGCTTTCCCTGCACCATTTGTTGAAGAGACTATCCTTTCTTTATGTGTACTCTTGTCACATTTGTTGAAAATTATTTGATCGTATATATGTAAATTTCCTCCCTGGCTGTCTATTCTGTTTTGTTGGTTTGTTTATCTGTTTTTACACCAGTACTATGCTACTTGATTACTGTAGCTTTGTAATAGATTATGAAATAAGGTAATTCAACACTTCCAACTTTGTTTTTGTCACTCAAGATGGCTGTGACTATTCAGGATCTTTTTTGTTTCTATATAAATTTTTGAATTAGTTTTCTTATTTCTTTGAAAAATTCACTGGAAATTTGATAGATATTGCATTAAATCCATAGATAATTTGAGGTAGTATGGACATCTTAACAATATTATTTCTTCCAATTAATGAACATGGGATATCTATTTATTTTATATTTTCTTTAACTTCTTCAACATTTTATAGTTTTCAGTATATATATCTTTCACCCCCTTGGTTAAATTTATTTATAAGTATTTTATTTCTTATGCTGTTATAAATGTAATTTTCTTATTTTTCATATAATATTTTATTAGTATATAGAAATGCAACTGATTTTGTATGTTAAATTTGTATCCTGCAACTTTAGCCAACTTAGTTTTAACAGCTTTTGATGGACTTGTGGTGTTTTCAAAAGAAATAAAATCACAATCCTGAAGAGAGATTTGTACTCCTATTCATTCCAGCATTGTTCATAATAGCAAGATATAAAAACAACTTTATATATATATATATATATATATATGTGTGTGTGTGTGTGTGTGTGTGTGTGTGTGTGTATATATATATATATTATTGCACTTTAGGTTCTGGGGTACCTGTGCAGAACATGCAGGATTGTTGCATAGGTACATTCATGGCAATGTGGTTTGCTGCCTCCATCCCCCCGTCGTCTATATCTGGCATTTCTCCCTATGTTATCCCTCCCCAACTTCCCTACCCCCCACTTTCCCTCCCCTATGCCTCCATAAAAACAACTTTTGTTTATCCACAGATAAATACATGTAAAAATGTGACATACACAAACATACATATGTATGTGTATACATACATATATAATAAAATGTTATTCAGCCTTAAAAAGAAGGAAATCCTGACATTTGTGGAAATATCAATGAACCTGCAGGAATTTAGACTTAGTGAAATAAGCCAGACTCAGAAAGACAAATATGGAGTGACTCATGTTTATGTGAGAAAAAAAATGCTGAACTCATGTTAACAGAGAGCTGAATGGTGGTTATCAAGGTCAGAGAGGTGGGGGAAAAGGGAAAATAATGATTGAAAGTAACTAATATTCGGCTATAATAAACACTTTCTGGATACCTAAGTACAGCATAGTGACTGTAGCTAAAAAAAGAATTATACTTGGAATTTGCTAAGAGAGTAAGATCTCAGGTGTTCGCAACAAAAGAAAACTCTATGAGATGATGGATAGGTTAATTGACTTGGCTGCAGTAATCATTTCACATATATCAAAATATCATGCTGTACAACTTAAATATACACAATTTCCATTTGTAAATAATTCCTCAATAAAATAAGAAACAAAACTCAGAATGCACCCTGACAAAGCTTCCAGAAAGAGTGACCGGGAATGCTAGTTGATGTATCCATAAAGGTTATCCTAGTCATGAAAATGTAGCACAGCTTCCAAACAGAAGAAAAGGATTGTGCAATACCGCAAACAACTGAGAATGTGTGTTTGTAGAACTGCCCATTTATGTTGTCAGGTTGTCCGTATCCTGGGGTGGGTGGTGAGCAGCATCCCTGGGAAAGGAAGCTGGACAGGTAGGAGGGAGGCTGCTGCACATGGTTTTTATGTCTTAAGAAAGAGCTTGGACTTTTTGTTGTGGCTGTGGAAGAAAAGAAATAACTGTGGGATCTTAAGAATTATGCAAAGTTTACAAGGTTAGATTTGTGACTTTATTGAACAATAATTTCGTCATCATAAGTTGAGATCTTTGCTGCCTGACAGGTCTTTGTTCTTTCTTGGCTCCTCAGGCAGACAAGGTCCTCTGGGATTTCCTGCAGTCACAGGTGGTTGTAGAGGAATCCATCCTGCAGTCAGACAGAGCCCTCACTGCTGGAGAGAAGGCCATAGCAGGTACAGGGGCAGGGCTCTCAGAGGGGCTGGTAGTTTACTGCAGTGCCTTCTTGCTGATCACACCGAAAGATATTCTGGATACAAGGAGCTTCAAAAGTCATAAACATTCCGTTAAAATATTAATAAGTTCTGCATACCAAATGTATAGCATAGCGACTATAGTTAAAAAATTATTATATACTTGGAATTTGCTTTCTCTTACTATAGATGAAGGAGCTTCTTCCTACTATGGAACATATACTCTGCTAAATCCCAAAATCTCAAGGGGATTGGGGTTGAACCTCCAGCCAGTGTCTTCACATCACATTATTCAACATTCTCTTCCAGACATGGCTAGTGAGACAATTCAGAGATTCCCAATCCCTCACTTTTGTGCTTTTCTCTAAGTCAGTTTGATCTGAGCTCAGGAGGGTAAAACTCAGGCAAAACTGTCATTTTCTTCCCTCTCTAAAACCTTTGTGCAATAGCGGAGCGGTCCATGAGGGAGGCAGCTGAAAAGGAACAGGAGTTGCTAAGACAAAAACAGAAGGAGCAGCAGCAAATAATGGAGGCTCAACAGAGAAGCTTCCAGGAAAACATAGCCCAACTGGAGAAGAAGATGGAGAAGGAAAGGGAAAACCTCCTCCGAGAGCATGAAAGGATGCTGGAACACAAGCTGAAGGTGAGTCTCAATGAAGCATGGCAGTGCTTGAGGGCCAATGCCTTGCTTCTTTAGGAAAGGAAGGACCAAAATTTTAGGCACAGTGATGATCTCAGAAGGAAACACAAAAGTTGTATGTTTCACTAAAATCTCAAATACATCTGAATTGTACTGAAGCCTGAAAGTCTACAAGACTCCAGCATCTTCTTCATGTTAGACTTTGGAGAGTACACATGACATCCCCCAGGGTATCAGGCTGCTGTTTGTGGTGATTATAGGATGGTCTTACTGTCCCCCAAGTAAATAGGACCTGAGTCCACCAATCCTTGGGATTTGGGGCACAACCCTCAAATATCTGAAATAGATCAATCTGGATGAAAATTTCAGATTTGGCTTGATAAAAAATGATATTGAAAGATCAGTAATTGCTCCATTTGTTTCTGTATCTGCCTGATTCATCCTATACAACTAGAGTAAAATACATTCCTTGTACCAGCCTGGAGCTTGACAACCAATGTTTTATACAGGGTCAGCAGTCCCTATTATTTTCTAGATGAGCATGGCCATGCTACATCAGTGGAAATTAGAATTAATTAGAATTAAACCTGCATTCCCTCTCAAAGGGCATTCTTTGTGCTGGAACAAAATTTCTTCCCACCTCCAGTGAGATGTTGCTTAAGGAATGTCACAAAGGTATAAACCATATATACTCCCACTATTCAGGTCCAACCACCTGGAAATGTTAGATGAACTCATCAAAGAGTTTTCTAAGATAATAGAGAAATAGACACGTATGCGTAACTGTTGAATTTGTTAAACACAAAACTCTCACTCCCTGCAGAGAATTGGGGATTTTCAAACGTGGACTATTCCCCTTTCATAGGTACAAAAAGAAATGCTTATTGAAGGATTTGAAAAGAAATCTGAGGAGTTAAATAAAGAGATTCATCGACTGAAAGAGGTGATTGAATCAGCCAAAAATGAAGAACCCTCAGTGCTTTCAAGGATCCTTGACACAGCTGGCAATATGATGATTGTAGCTCTACCTGGGGCTGCTAAGCTATTTGGAGTAGGGATGAAATGTCTTGGTTCACAGGTTTAAGAGCCTGAATATTCCTGGTAAGGAAATATAAAGTGAGGTTTATTTTATTTTAATAACATAGCACTGTTGATCATTTTGTAAGTATATGTGTTATAGAAGTTTCATGCAAGAAAAATTTAAAATTAAAAAGTGATTATCAAAGAATATCAGGGTCTGACATCCACAAAAAACAAACTTAATTTTGATTGAACTAATAATTTATAAAACTGGGAAACAAGTCAGAAGTAGTGGCATTATTGCTAGAAAAGGTTTGAGTAAAGCAAAAAGGCAACTGGTAAGATTAAGAAGCCATTAATAATTTGCAATTTATATTATAGTTACAGAAATAATTTCAGTTATAATTAACTCTTGCAAATTAATGAGAAGGGAGCAAGACCACAATTAAAAATTTTTTTTTGACTTTTAGATTCAGGGATACACGTGCAGGTTTGTTACACAGGTAAACTGCATGTCATAGGGGTTTGGTGTGCAGACAATTTTAAAACACAAGTATTAAGCATAGTACCCAACAGGTTTATTTTCTGATTCTCTGTCTCCTCCCAACCTTCACCCTCATGTAGATACCAGTGTCTCCTGTTCTTCTCTTAGAATCCATGCGTTCTCTGTTTGGTTTCCATTTAGAAGTGAGAACGTGGTATTTGGGATTCTGTTACTGTGTTAGTTCGCTTATGATAATGACTTCCATATTGCTACAAAGGGCATGATCTCATTTTTTTTTGTCTGCATAGTATTCAGTGGTGTTTGTATATACCACATTTGTATTATCCAGCCTACTGCTAATGGGCATTTAGGTTGATTCCATATCTTTGCTATTGTGAATAGTGCTGCAGTGAACATACATATGCATGTAGCTTTATGGTACAATGATTTATATTTCCTTGGGAATACACATTCCTATGGGAATAATGGGATTGCTGAGTCAAATGTTAATTCCAAGTTATTTGAGGAATCACCAAGCTGCTTTCCATAGTGGCTGAACTAATTTACACTCCCACCAACAGTGTATATGTTCCATTTTCTCCTCAATCTTAACAGCATCTGTAGTTTTTTGACTTTTTCATCATAGCCATTCTGACTGGTGTGAGATGGTATCACATTGTGGTTTTTGATTTGCATTTCTATAGTGATTAGTGATGTTGAGCATTTTTATATGCTTTTTAAATGCATATATGTCTTATTTTGAAATCTGTTCGTTCATGTTCTTTGCCCACTTTCTTTTTAACGGGGTTGTTTGTTTATTGCTTGTAAATTTGTTGAAGTTTCTTATAAACTCTGGATATTAGATCGTTGTTGGATACACAGTTAGCAAACATTTTCTCCCATTTTATAGATTGTCTGTTACTTTGTTGATAGTTTTATTTTATTTTCTTTTTGTTTTTTGAAGTAGAGTCTCACTTTACCACCCAGGCTGGAATACAGTGGCACAAACATGGTGCATTGCAGTCTCAATCTCCCAGGCTCAAGCAGTTCTCTCAAAGGAATATTTCAAAGGAATATTCTATAGTCACTAAAATGAAAAAGGTCTATTTATACTAGTATGAGAAAGTATCCAAGATATATCATTAGAAAAAAAAAGATGCAGAAAGTATGCTATCAGTTACTTTAGGAACTAATGAATATGTGTGTACCTTCTTAGTTCCCTCTGAAAAAGTAAAAAATAGACTAGTATCCTGGTCATACCTGGAATGAACCTGAATAGTTAAGGTGAGAAATGAGAGGATAACTCTAAATCATATATGTCTTTAACATTTTATGTAAATTCATCATGTATTCAAACATGGATTAATACAATTATAAAAATTGAAATAACAATACATGGATGGGAGAGGTCCCACAACAGGATGAAAGTAATTAATATTCCTAGAAATAGCATAAGTCTGCTCAACAGGAAACATCTTCTCATTGGAACAGAGAACTAGAAGCAAGACAAAGCAAGAAAAATATGAACTAGAACAAGACAAAGCAAGAAAAATATGAAGCAACAACAGCAGAGATTTACTGAAAATGAAATATACTCCGCAGCGTGGGAGTGGGCCCAAGCATAGGGACTCAAGGTTCTGTTACAGAATTTGAGGGGGTTAAATACGCTCTAGAGTTTTCCGTTGTTTACTTTGTGTAAGCCCTATGTAAATAAAGATAATATTTCCTGTCATAGCTGAAATGTGAATTGGCCTCATGTTCCATTCCTCCAGATCATGTTTTCCTGCCTCATTTTCTCCCTGAGAAATGTAATTCCTATAAATCTTTATGGGAGGTGGAGGGACTGAGGATCTTTCTTCTGTAACTGCTTCATGCTGGCTTGGGGCGTAGTCCCTACCTACTGGGGATCATGGAACTCTTGCCTTTCTCTGTCTAGTGGAGGCAGGGTAGTTTCTTGATGGCCAGGGGTGGTGTCTTCACCAGGAACTGGCTGGAATGTTTGTTGCATGATCATCTGAAGCTTGAGGGTCTCTAGGTGAGAGGAAGTGAATTTGGTTAAAAGATTTAACTTAAACTTCAGGAGATGGACACCTATGCTGTTAAGAATGTTTGTGACAGAAATTTGCATGAGGAAAAACAAAAGCTGGTTATTCAATTAATTTTTTGTTCCATTTAGGTTAGTAGTTTTATACAAGGAAATTTGGTTATTTCTGTGGTCTACCATAGCTTAACATAATAACCACAATTGTAATTGATAGCATACACTTAGACATTTGAATTTTAGAAATATCAGACAATTTTGGGAGATATATTAGCATTATTCACAAAAGTATAACCTAAAGAAGATTGAACATAATTCTGGCAATCCTATGTACCTAAATATGTTAAATAATCCTGTTTGCCTCTTTTCTGAATGATTCAGGGGCCTCCTGATTCATCCAAAAAGCCAATCATCAGGAAAGACAATGTTGAAACTGAAGTTTGATTTTGGGAAGGCTGTTAAATATATTCAGAGTTTAAAACACTTGATATTATGAAATGGAATTCTTGATGACCATGAACTATTTATTTTGCCAACATGATTACTCAAATTTTAAAGAAGCAAAAACCTTTTATAACCCTTTATAAATTTTGCCAAAGAGCAGATTATTGCTTTAAGAAAACCTTGTTGTTTAATGTTCAGTTTACAGAAAAACCGTATTTAGTCAATATGTTCACACAGATAATTTCTTTTGCAAGATTAATTTTTAGAGACCTTCCACCACCTGTTTGAACTTTTAGTTTTTCTTATCTAATTTAAAACAATTCTTTAACCATAGGCAAGAATTTACCTTTCCATGCCTCCTTAATACTTTTAATACACACACACACACTATTGTTCTTACACACCTTGCATGTAAAACTATTTTAGTAGTCTCAAGTACATCTTATAATGGTGACTCTTAGCCATTTTAATTTTAATGTAAAACATGGTAAGTTATGTTAATTATGTACTAGGTGCTGATAAGGTTTGAATGTTTCCAGCATAGTTAGGAGCAGCCAACTCCACATGTCCTCAGTCCTTACCTAGCTGTAAAGCAGACAAGTCAGGCAATTTTCAAAGCCAAAGCAGTTTATGACCTTAAAGCATTTAGCAAACCTAATATTTGAACATAATTTAAAGCACATGTTTACATTTTGAAGACATTTGTATTTTACCAATAATCTTTAAAATCATATTTCTTTCCCAAAGATTACTCAGGTCACATGAAGTAAATAAAAGGTATTGCACTATTTACTTTTCTGACAAAATATTTGATTAAGCTCTCATTATTAAATCAATTAATTAAAGCTCTTTTTTTATTAATCAATACTGTTTAACAGGGGAGATGAACAGTGACTTTTACATTTCATTTAACCAGTTTGCACAGACAGAAAGAGGCTAGAGTCTCACTGGTAAGAAATTATTGCCCTTTTGCCAGCCTGTCAGGTTTCTGAGTTCTCTCTCCTTGAGCAGCCCTAGCAACCCTGTTCAACTGTATGCAGACAAACACATTGCTGTTAATTAAGAATATTCACAAATAGTTTACAAATTTTGGGGAAATTAGGCAGAGAGAGATAATATGACTCAAATTCTATTTATGAGAATCTACTCAACACATTTAAAGTATCAGGAAGCCTAAAATCCAAAAAGTTAGCTTAAGGTTAGAAGGCTGGTGTGTTCCATCCATTCCTGTGGGCCCAACAGAGGTAGCCTAGGAATTCCAGATAAATGGAACAAATGATGACTTGCTAGAAATTCATAGGAAACACAATAACTATTCACAGAAAGAAATAAGAAATTTAACTATATCTTCAAAAAATTACTAAACTACCAATACATTTATTTACAATACTTATTACTTTAATTTAATCAAGGCTAAGAGCTTTAACTATGAAAATGCTAATTAGCCAAATGTCTACAATTCTCTATCAGGTTTTAAAGAATATTCTATTATTTAAACTTTTCCACATCTTTTTGCCCTACTTAGTGGTGCCTCACTACATTGTTTCATACATAACCTTTTTAAATCTGTAATTTGAACTAACGTTTGGATAACTTCTGAATCAGACAAAATTATTTTTTTTCTCACTAATAGCATAACCCTTTCAGGCACATTTTGTTTACAGAATTATGAGTTAACTAGAATTCTTTTCATTAGTAACCTAAAACTTCAGTGAAATCCTAAAAAGCAAGAAATACTGAACTATCAGATACAGGCATTTATAGGTAAGAACAATTCCACAATTTTAGAAACATATTTCCCCATATCACAACCTTAATTGGGGATTGCCCATATACTAAATGAGCATCAAAAATAACTTTTAAGATTTTAATTTGCACAAAAAGTTTATCTGAAATATTTGTCCTATTCATTGTACTCAATTCTTTCACTTTTAACAAGCGAAACGTGAGACATCAATCAACATATGTAAAATGAACATTGGTTCAGTCCAGAAAAGTGGGACAACTGAAGGTGGGGAGGAGGCTTAGGGGCTTCCAGGTCACAGGTAGGTAGAAGACAAAGAGTTTATTCTTTAGAGTTTCTAATTAGCCTTTCCAAAGAAAGCAATCCGATGTGCATTTATCTTACTGAGCAGAGGGATGACTTTAAATAGAATGGGAGGAATGTTTGTCCCAAGCATTCCCAGCATGAAATTTCCCTTCAGCTTGGTGATTTTGGGGGTCCACGATATTTTCCTTTCATAAATTACTCTCATTCATCAAAAGAAGGCATACAAACCAAGATCATCTTGCATTAGCTGTGCTTATAGTTTTATAACCTTCTATGCCAGACACTGACATCTTAAAATGTCAAGCAAAGACAAACATAAAATCCAGAGAAAACGTATGCTGACAATTCTGAAGACATTTCTATTTTTATTCTACTGATAATTTTAAAAGCCAGCTTGTTTAGCAAAGTTATACTTAAATCACATGAACTTGAAAATTGCTTAGACTTACTTAATTTATGTGTGCTTTTTTACTCATAAGCCAATTTGCTAGACACACCATACAATAATAAGCATACATACAAATAAACATATCTAGACATGTATACACACACATAAATGAAGATCCAATAGTTGGGAACCTTAGCAATGAGATAGCAATACAAACTTGCTGGTTTTACTTTGTTTTCCCCAATAGATAATCCAATGAAGGCTGTTGTTAAATATACTGAGTTCTAACTTTCTCCTCAAAAATCAGTATGTCCACATTTTGTTTCCCTGTTCTTTGTTCTTCATTTTAAAGTTTAACTTACTTTTCTTCTTGCCCCTAGTTTCAATAAACAACCTTCCTGCCAGCTCTAATCAGTAGTTCACATCTGTTCCCCTGGTTACCTGCACCTATTCCTCTTGCCAAAACTTCACTTTCCCCTCACACATCCCCCTCCTAACCCACATATTTAGAGTTCTCACTCATCCTAGTCACCTGCTCCATCCTGAGTCACTCCTGGTCACCTGCTCCATCCTGAGTCACCCCTGGTCATCTGACCTGACCTGAGTCACCTTTAGTCACCTGTTCCATAATCATCTTTCCTGCTGAAACTGCTTACTCCAGGGGTACTCTAGCTCGTACCTTGCTCTCTTTTAAATAGCCAATCGGAATTAGCTTAGACTGTCTAGTCCAACCCTAGCCAATAGGGGAACAACATAGCAGTACAGCTACCTGCATCAGAGATAAGAAACCCTTCCCCTCCTTTGTTCAGGTGTGCTCTCATCATTGCTCCATCCGTGAGATGCATCCTTCTATAGAAGTAAATTGCCTTGCTGAGAAAATTTATATTTGAGTGCTATTTCTTTTGCAGCACCAAAAGTTTATTTCTAACAGCTGTGAACCAAAATTTTGGGTACAGCAGTTTCCATGGCAGTTTGATTTTTAAAGGTCAAAGCTCGCTGGACTCCAAAGATCACTGGGGCCAAACAGTACCAAAAGAGAGTGTCACATGTTAATCAGATCCCCTGCTTAGAACAGCAGCACAAAGGTCTGGATATATCCAACACCATCTCACTTTCCCATTAAACAGTAAAATCCAGACTCCAAACAGTATCGCAAATCCAAGAGAAAATTCTAAAGATGTCTTAGTGCTAGACCTCAGAACCTCTGCAGAATGTGTCCCTTTGGAGAGATTTAGGCCTGGGGGATACCCAGGGTGTTCTCCTGTGGAGTCCAACCTTAAGAGTGTCAGATGTCTCTGACCTTAGGTGGGCACCAGTGCCATATACATGTTTTCCCTCCAGATGCAGTGGCCTACTATGAGCTTTATAAGGATAGCCATAGTAATGATAGGAATTAGAGGTTGGGTGAGCTTTTTTTTTTGTCCTTAGCCAACAGAGTAGGGGAAGGGAAGAATTTAGCATAAGAAAAAAAGGTTTAAGCCACCTGAAACATATGTGCATTAACTCCAGGCTGTGCCACCTGTAGGGATCAGGGACCACAACTGGAAAAGATTTAAAAAAAAAAAAAGAGTCCTTCCTCCTTCCAGGCAAAGCAATTATCCCCATTGACTCTTTGGCCTTCAGGCAACACTGGGGAGTAACCCCCAGTCAGTTGCCCTCGAAGTGGAAGGAGCTGCTAGGAAGCAGTCACTGAAAGACTGAAAAAGAAAGACAGGAGAAAAAAAAATGGAAGACTCTGGTCCCTTAAGTGAACCCAGCTGTGGTGGTGAAGTGCTTCCACGTGGAAACTCCTTAGCTTCACTGGCCACAGCCAGAAACCTGCAGTTGCCTTTGTGTTTGGGTGCTGCCCACCAAGCGTCCTGAGTTGGAAAGGAAAAGACATGGAGAGAGAGAGAGAGAGAGAGAGGGAGAGAGAGAGAGAGATAGAGAGAGGGAGAAAGAGAGAGAGAGAGACAGAGAGATTCCCTTGTATGGAGCAGAAAGAAAAAGGAGAAAATGAATCCCAAACTTTGGTCTTACCTCCTCCTGGCTGACTCGCCAAATGTGTACTGGTAGAGGATGTCCAGATTATTGGCATCTCAAACAAAGAATTGGAAAATCTGGAAAGCCCCATGACTTTGGAGAGGTAAGGTAAAAGTCCAAAGTTCCAGCAAGAAAAAACAGGGAGAAAGCAGTGCAGCCAAATTCAGAACTAAAGAGAACAGAACAAAGACTCGTAACTTTCTCATTGAAGCTGCCTCCTTCCCAACTCTAGAAGATCTCTACTCTGGGTAAGACTAGGACTTACAAAGATTTAAAGATTTATGAGCATTCATTAGTTTTCTCTAAGTTGACCATCCCCAAGACAGGCTCCAGTCGAGCCAGCTGCAGGATACAAGTCCTGATGAAATCCTGGTCTTAGGTGGCTGCATGTCATGTCCCTTTGTGCACTCTAATTCCTGCTGGGTTGAATTAGGCTTCAGTAGGGGTGGAAGAGATACTCAGAGAAACTAATGTTCTAGGATTGTTATTTCTTTTCTGACACCATCTTAAATTACCGTTGTCTTTAAATATCTGCCTAATAGACTCTGTCACTTTCTTTATTGCCAACTTTTATAGCTCTAGGTAAATGAAGGTAGGCAACTTGGGATCTGCAAAAAGAGGCAACACATTATTGTAACTGAGGAGCTTGTAACATCTTTGTGCCACCACATTTTCTGGTTGATTTCTATTTTATGGTAGCATAGTGCATGCTACAGAATCGGACAGACCCCTTCCTCTATTCTCACTCATCTTCCATAGATATTCACTCTTTTCAGTTTCTAGTTTCCCTTCTTACTTGCCAGCAGATCCTGTAGGCCACTGCTCTAGGAGGAAATGGGTCAGGATCACAGAAAAATAAAAGGTGTTTTTGCCATCTTCTGCTGAAGCAATGGGAAGCCAAATAATTTAATATAAGCCTCCACTGGAAGAAGTCAGAAGTAACCAACTCTATAGTGGAAGCAAACCACTCTTTATCACAGGATAAGAATGAAAACTGCAGTATCTATCATATGCATTTACTTGTATCTTAAAGAGATCATATATTTTGTATCATGATCACATAAGTTACAAGGAGTTAGACATTCAACTTGAAAACACAAAATTAAGGCATTGAGGCATTACTATAGGAAGGCTTTTCACTCCTTTTAAGTTTGCAAAAATTATCAAAATACTCAAAGTATCAAGCTTTGGATAAAGATAGTATGATTACAATTGTGCATAGGCTACTCTCAATACAGCAGAGATCAGACAAAATACAAGCCATGGTTTTTCAAAGAATGTTTCCTGGTGTGACTTCATTACATGGAATAATTAAACACAATATGCAGGCTGATATACATGGAGGTAATGATGAATCAATCTTAAAATGCAGAGAGTTCAAAATCTGGTAATATAATTGAGTAAAAAATCAACGTAGTACATGTCAGGTGTGAGCTATCAGGCTTGCATGAATGACATGTGAATGCTGAGGCACAGTGAGAAGAAGCCTTTGGGTAACGTGAGTCCCACAGTCTCACCAGACCCTGTCCACAGAGGGGCTTGGAAGAAAACAGGACCAAGAATGGGTTAGAATGGTATCTATGTTTCAAAGTATAGGGATGTTATGAAACAATATTCCCCAGGTGAAAATTACTATTACTGTACACATGAGCTCAGCAGGCTCAGCTTTGCTCAGTCCAAAGATCTAAATGTGAACATGAAAAGCTTCCAAAGAAAATTTTGTAATTAATTCAAAAGTGCGAGAGTAGAACACCTAGGAAAAATTCCATTTTCTGGAAAATGACATACAGGATGAACTGGTGGGAATGCAAACTTGTACAACTTTCTGTAGAGGAAATTGGCAATATCTAAAAAATTATATACTCTCATCTTTTGACCAAGCAATCCCACGGGTAGGAATCTATCCTGAAATTACTCCTGTAACTATATAAAAATACACATGCACAAAGTTAACAGAATTATTCATTACAGCGTTGTTTGGAATTGCAAAATATTTGAAACAATCTAAATGCTCATATATTAAAGAGTGATTGAATAAACTGGGGTATAATCCACATAAAGGAGTAGATACATGTTAAAAGGATTTTAAAAGTTTTCTATGAACAGATGTGGAGGGATTTCCAAATTTCTATATGATGTGATCTTCATGTTAGAAAATATGAATAAGAAAATATGTAATTCTCATTTGTGAAAAGAAAATCCAAGAGGGGTAAACCAGAAACTAACAAGATTGGGTATCTGTGGAGGACAGGTGGGAATGTGGTAGAAAGAACAGAATACTGCAATGGGAGTAGAGTGCTAAGATGAAGGAAAAGTGACACTTCTCTCACTATAACTTTTTGAAAACCTTTGAATTTCAGAACCATGATGTTTCACAAACTCAAAAAATAAATCATACTTAAAATCAACCAAGATACCAAGATGTGAGGGAGGCCACAATGAAACACAAGCAGTAGCAAATGTGACTATTTTACAAATGAATAATTTAACCATACACAAGAGGGTGGAGAAGTAAAAAAACGAACCCAAACAACCTTGGAATGCAGTGTTTTGAGTGTGTATATAAGGCTAAAGACAAAAAGAATGGTACACTAATAATTTTCTGTAGTAGGTAAATTAATTTTTCCACAGACTTATTACCAGTTTTGAAACTACTATATGAAAATACTAGGATTGAGCAAGGAAGCAAATGTATTATGTATTAGGAGACCAAAGTCTAGCTTATTTAGAGAAAATAGTTTAAAAGGAAAGCTAAAAGATTGAATAAGCTCACATGTGTTGGATTGGAATTAGAAATAACAACAGAATCTCAAGCTTTATTATAGAAATGTTCAGATAAAAAATAAATATAGATGTGTGTATATATGTGTTAGCATTCATACACATATTTCTTAACTTTGCCCTTGAGTGGGTCTAGAAATAATGAGCACTCCTAGAGTGCTACCTTGGTGTCAAGGTACCATTATCCAATGAAAGAAACCAAAGACATTGGGAGAAATGGTGACTTTATTCTAGGGATAAAGCAGGAAAAATACAGATATTTTTCCTAGAATATGTTGTGCGGCCAAAAAGGAAAGAAGCACTAAAAATATGATGGAAGCATTAAAAAAAAACAAAAAACAAAAAACCTAGGATCCAGCTTGAAGAAGCTCTCAATGGTGAAATCTAGGACAAGTTGAGTAACAAAATAAATATTGATAGTAAAGTACTGAAACCCTCAGAATAAAACTAATACCTCTGAGTCTGCACTGATACAAATAAATGATTAAATCAGCAAACAAAAAAATAAAGAAGTAATAGCCCTTGCTCATGGTACAACTGCAGTTAATAAATATAGAAATAATAGTAGAAAACCCTTTTTAGTCAAACACCACAAAAGGAATCATAAATAAAAACTAAAAGTAGTGGCTGGAAAAAAAAAAGTATGATAAGATTATATCTGCAGACTCCAAACTGTTTCTCAAAGTGGAAGTTTATTTCTGTTTTTTTTTTTTGTTGTTGTTGTTCTTTAAGCTCTGGGGCACACGTGCACATCCCACAGGGTTGTTGCATAGGTACAGACATGCCATCATGGTTTGCAGTCTCCATCCCCCTGTCGCCTACATCAGGCATTTCTACCAGTGTTTTCCTTCCCCAGCCCTCCCACTCCCTGTTGTCCCTCCCCTACCCCGCAACCAACCCCAGTGTATGATGTTTCCCTCCCTGTGCCCACCTGTTCACATTGTTCAACACCCACCTATGAGTGAGAATATGCGGTGTTTGATTTTCTGTTTTTTTGTCAGTTTGTTGAGAATGATGGTTTCCAGATTTATCCATGTCCTACAAAGGACACGAACTCGTCATTTTTTATACCTGCATAGTATTCCATGGTGTATATGTGCCACATATTCTTTGTCCAGTCTATCATTGATGGGCATTTGGATTGGTCAGGTCTTTGCTATTGTAAACAGTGCTGCAATGAACATACGTGTGCATGTGTCTTTATAACAGAACGATTTATAATCCTTTGGGTATGTACCCAGTAATGGGATTGCTGGGTAAATGGAATTTCTTTTTCTAAATCCTTGAAGAATCACCACACTGTCTTCCACAATGGTTGAACTAATTTACACTCCCACCAATAGTGTAAAAGCATTCATATTTCTCCACGTCCTCTCCAGCATCTGTCTCCAGATTTTTAAATGAGTGCCATTCTAATTGGCCTAAGATGGTATCTCAATGTGATTTTGATTTGCATTTCTCTAATGACCAGTGATGATGAGCATGTTTTCATATGTTCGTTGGCCATATAAATGTCTTCTTCTGAAAAGTGTCTGTTCATATCCTTTGCCCACTTTTTGATGGGTTTGTTTGTTTTTTTCTTGTAAATCTGCTTTAGTTCTTTTTAGATTCTGGATATTAGCCTTTTGTCAGATGGGTAAATTGCAAAAATTTTTTCCCATTCTGTTGGTTACTGGTTCACTCTAATGCTTGTTTCTTTTGCTGTACAGAAACATTTAAGTATAATTAGATCCCGTTTGTCTATTTTGGCTTTTATTGCCATTGCTTTTGGTGTTTGAGTCATGAAGTCCTTTCCTATGCCTCTGTCCTGAATGGTATTGTCTAGGTTTTCTTCTAGGGTTTTTATGGTGTTAGGTCTTATGTTTAAGTCTTTAATCCATTTGGAGTTAATTTTAGTGTAAGGTATAAGGAAGGGGTCCAGTTTCTGCTTTCTGCACATGGCTAGCCAGTTTTCCCAGCACCATTTATTGAACAGGGAATCCTTTCCCTGTTGCTTATTTTTGTCAGGTTTGTCAAAGATTAAATGATTATAGATGTGTGGCGTTGCTTCTGAGACCTGTGTTCTGTTACATTGGTCTACACCCCTGTTTTGGTACCAGTATCATGCTGTTTTGGTTACTTCAGCCTTGTAGAATAATTTTTGAAGTCTGGTAGCGTGATGCCTCCAGCTTTGTTCTGTTTGCTTAGGATTGTCTTGGCTATACAAGCTCTCTTTTGGTTTCATATGAAGTTTAAAGTGGTTTTTTCCAGTTCTGTGAAGAAGGTCGATGGTAGCCTGATGGGGATAGCATTGAATCTGCAAATTACTTTGGGGAGTATGGCCATTTTCACAATAGTGATTCTTCCTAACCATAAGCATGGGATGTTTTTCCATCTGTTTGTGTTCTGTCTTATTTCCTTGATCAGTGGTTTGTAGTTCTCCTTGAAGAGGTCTTTTACCTCCTTTGTTAGTTGTATTCCTAGGTATTTTATTCTCTTTATAGCTACTGTGAATGGGAGTTAGATCATTTTTTATGGCTGTGTAGTATTCCATGGTGTATATGTGCTCTGAATTTCAGAATGATGTTTGGCTCTTTGTCTGTTATTGTTGTATAGGAAAGCTTGTGGTTTCTGCACATTGATTTTGTATCTGAGACTTTGCTGAAGTTGCTTATCAGCTTAAAGAGGTTTTGGGCTGAGATGATGGAGTATTCTTAATATATGATCATGTCGTCTGCAAAATGGAAACTTTTAGTGACAATGTGGCACATAACTCTTTATGGTGGAGAAATCTGGCAGCAAGCACTTTAACCAAGTGATCAAAGTTAAGATCAAAGCACCAGGAGAAATCATGTCAACATCATGAATCCATTAATATAAGACACTGAAAATGGCAGAGCATCACTTCTGTGACATTTGCAAAAGAAAAAGCATAACTTCAATCAATGAGAAAACATCAGAAAAACCCAAATTTAGGGATATTCCTCAAAAACCACAGGCCAGTACTCTTCTAAAATGTCAAAGACATGAAAGATAAAACAAGAATAAGGAACTATCAAAGATGCAAGGAAACCACAGAAACATAGTGACTAAACACAATGAGGGATCCTGGATTGGATCGTGAGCAGAAGGATGTTAGTGAGAAACTGGTGAAATGTGAATTCAGTGTGTAGATAGTTATTACTGTATCAATGTTAAAATACTGGTTTCAGTAATTGTTCTATGGTTATGTAAAATATTAACATTAGGAGAAGCTAGGGAAATGGTTTATGGAAACACTTCATACCTATTGTGCATCTTTTCTGTAATTCTATTTCAAAATGAAGTTATTTTAAAGGCAGCTAGTGGGCCAGTCTATAGGACAGCCTTAAAGGGCCACCAGTCTTCTTAAAAATGCACAAGAAAGAATGTTCAAGAACAGAAAATAAAAATGTATGCCCTATTGTAGAATTCAGCTTAACTGACTGACCAGACATTACTTTCCATTTCATTTTTTCCTTGCAGACAAGGTGTCGCCGTGAACATGGCATCAGCGATCCACATGCTGGGCCCAGTGTGCCTCATTGAGAACACTAAAGGGTACCTGGTGGTGAATCCAGAAGCTCTGGAGAACCTGTCTGCCATTACACAGCCTGTAGTAGTGGTGGCAATTGTAGGCCCCTACCGCACAGGCAAGTCCTACCTGATGAACAGGCTGGCTGGGAAGAACAAAGGTGAGTGACATCAGCAAAGCTTGGATGAGCCCCATCTGTCTACTTACACAGCCAATGTCCAGTAAGAAGATCAGATGAGAGAAAGTTGGTGCTGGGGATAAATACTGAAAGCTAACTTTGAATTCATGAATGAACACTTTACATTCACTATGGAGGATTTAAGTCAACTGACTCTTCCCACTTTGTCTTTATTTTCACATTTCATATGTAAATAAGGTGTTAATAAAAAATTAACTTAAATAATGCATTATTAAATATTTACTAAAATATTCATGCAGTCATAGCAAGTTTCCACAGAACTTTAAGATAAAGTGAATATTTCAATCCATGTTGGATATTCTAATTTCTATATTTCCATTTTTTGTAATTAAGGTCACTATTAGTTATAATTTTTCTTATCTCTTTTACATGAGACTGTTGTCCACTGTCAGGCAATCAGTGTGGCTTATAAAGCACCAGGCTACCAGTCAGAAGGCTGATGTTAAAGTGTAGTCTGTATGTCTTTCCAACTAAGTCAATCAGTTACCATTTCTACTTTTCAGTTTCATCATTCAGGAAATGAGTGATTTGACTACCATACCTTGAGTTCTTCTGTCAACTCAAAATAACAACAGATAGTCACTCTCCAAAGAAATGAATATATTCAGGAATAAGCAGGGGATTTATAAATTCTGGAAATGCATGCTATAACAAATCATGAGCTCATCCGGAAAGGTTAAGGGAGTGAGAAACTTTTAAAGGCAAAAAGGAGAAGTATATGCCAGTTGATGTAAAATAAAAGTTCATCGGTTTACAGGATCGTATTGCAGGTGGTGACATGCACATTGGATCTTGCTTGAGAGAGTTTTATGGATATAACCCTAACTGAAGTTTTATGGATATAAACCTGACTGATATAACCCTAACTAAAGTTTTATGGATATAACCCTGATTGCAGCAAGTAAGGCCACTTGCAAGGTTGTGGTTAGGACTGGCTATTACTGGAAGTACAGAAGTAGCCTTTGTTGTAAGGCTGTAGTTTGTAAATGTCCTTGATGGCAGTTCCCACTACAGGAAAGTATACATGAAAGCCCTTCCTTCATGAATTCCTGACTCCATTTTGTTAAGAGTTTGGTGTAAGTGACTCCATTTTGCTTCTGACAGCCTTTGCATTTCTCCCTTTGATCAAGGTCTTTCTCTGAAACATCTCTGATCAATCATCCTGTAGTTATGTAGTATGTGTTCCTTAGTGCTAGATGCACTTGATTTCATTGGTTTGGTCCCAGGTCAGGGGAAAGTGATTGGTGACTGGGAGTCAGTTTCAAAGCCCTTTTAGCCACATTTGAGCAACAAGGAGGTTTGGAAGGAGTGTGTTTCAGGCTAATTCTACCTGGAATTCATTATTAAGTCAATTTTGTCAATTCCACATTTTTGGCATATTCTTTCAGTGCTGAGCCAGCATTATTCTGTTAGGAGTCTCATTTCTGCAGAAGTTGGACAGATAACAGGTACATAGCTTAAAGAAAATAATACAAAGCAAAACCAACAGGAGCAAAAAAAAATTCATTTTGGACAATGGTTCTGAACCAAGAGCCCAATTAAACAAATTAAAAGACCATGTGGAACTGGGTAAGATTTGCTAGCGGTATTGAGTCTTTTATGTAGTTTGGTTAGTGATTCTATTATTTAGTATCTCAATACAGGGTTAATCAAAGCTGAGAGTGCTAACTCTGTAAAAAGAGATCACTGGTACAATTTGAACAAAAAGCTGTGTCAAGAATATTGCCAGTTATTCACTACATGGAAGAATGCACCTCTTAGGTCATGTAAAGATTTGGGATTCATGCAGACCAAACAAAATATTAAACCAGGTATGCAGAAGTAAACAAAAACAAAAGAGTACTCACCAAAAGGACAATGTTCTTATCTCATGAAGGGCTTGCCAGAAAAGACAGTCTTTTTTAGGCTAAGAAGGCATTCAATGCCTTTTATTGAGGTGACCTTATCCAAATAAGATCCTCAACTAGACAAAAAGAAGGAATTTTAACCCAAGAGGAGACTCGACAGGGCGGAAAAGGTCAGCTGTGGAAACGAAGAGATCGAAAGGCTCAACACGTGAGTACCACACAGGTTTCAGGGGCTGCTGATCATTTTAAGATGAGCTCACTTTGGGTCCTACTTCTGATGTTAGATTATATCCAGCTAAAATACCAACAGAGAAAGTAGCTCTCTAAAGAGATGAGTTTATTTAAGAATGAGCAGGGAACCATATGCATACTGAATTCGGGTATAAATGCTATAATAAATAATAGGTGCATCCACGGTGGTGGAGACAGTGGGAAACTTTGAAGACAAAAAAGAGAAGTACATGCAGGTTGTTCTGAAACAAAAGTTTATTGATTTACAAGAGCTTACTCACAGGAGTTAACATGTGTACTGGCTGTTGCTAAAAGAGCCAGTGCAGAAGGGACCCTGATTGCAGGACCCTGATTGCAAGTTATACCACTTGCAACTTTACAGTTAGGACTGGCTGTTATTGGAATGATGGCCTGATAACATTAGCCTGTGTTGCAAGGTGGTGGATTGGCAACATCCTCAATGGCAGTTCCCATCACAGGAAAGTGTGCATGAGAGCTTTTCCTTCATGATCTGCTGACTTCCTTAAAGTTTGGCATAAGTGACTCCATTTTGATGCTGACAATTTTCACACCTTCTGCCTTTAAAATTCTAGAACTCTTTTACTAGTCCAAGGCATAACTTTTTGATTCCTGCTGTATTCTAATACCTCACGGATTTTCTTAAATTTTTGGCTGATTTTTGTCATTGTCCATTTGAAACACTTAAGTGAATTCTGTTACTCAATTTGGTCTACTTGGCTACATATTCTGGGGTTCAAATCACAGACTCCTCAACTACATTTCAGGATGTTACTTTCACTACTCCACTCTTGGAAACCATTTCGACAGACTGTACTAGAGTACTAGAGTGGATGTTTTACAGTGTCCTTTCCATGTCAGACTCTCCTCCATTTGGATGTCTTTCTGTTAACATGACACCCATCTAAGGAAAAAGAGTCACTACCTGAAGATGAACGCTTGTCTCAGCACTTGGAGCTCTTGTCCCAGCACCCTCTCTAATTTCACTTATGGGTGCATGTTTTTTCTTCCTCTCCAGTGTCGCATAAAATATACACAGATTTCTCAGTCTTTGTCTGCCACTATGACAAAATAATTAGACAGGGTAATTTATAAGTACTAAAAACTTATTTCTCACAGACCTGGAGGTTGAGAAGTCCAACATTAAGGCACAGGGAGATTCAATGTCTAGTGAGGGCTTGTTGCTCACAGAGGTGTTTTTCCACTGTCCCCAAATGGCAGAAGGGGCAGGAGGAACAGTGAAACTCCCTCAAGGTCTTTGATAAGGGTATTAGTTTTTTAACTGAGGGCATGATCCTTTCCGATTTAACCACTTCTGACTTCTTAATATCACCATTTTGGGATTAAGTTCTAACATATGAATGGGGTATTGGAGGGACTAACAATCAGACCATAGCAACAGGTTAGTAGAGTTTACATTAATTCTGCAGTATTTGAGCTTATAGAGATATGAGGTGAATAGGGGACCCAAATACTTCTTGAGAAAGTCATTTATATAAATAAAGATTGGATTAGTTGTCTTTGCTAAAATGGAAGCAACAATTTCCCCTACCAGGCACTTACATTCCTATACATTTAACCAGTATAACTTGGTCTGCCTGGATTCTCCTGTCAGTATATGTTGTTTCTCCTCTTCCTTTGAAGGCTTCCCTCTGGGCTGCACAGTGAAGTCTAAAACCAAAGGCATCTGGATGTGGTGTTTGCCCCATCCCTCCAAGCCAAACCTCACCCTGGTCCTTCTGGACACTGAGGGTCTGGGTGATATTGAAAAGGTAAGACAGAGCCATAGAGAAATCTTCTTTACCTTTGATTCTTTGTTTATGTTTTTATGCATACCATAAATCCAACTTCTGTGGCCTATTCCTAAATTACAAATCTGACTACAGGAAACAAAGCTAAATTTCATTTCCTAGAACTTACTTTCTTGGTAAGCTCAAATATTTTGGACTATCGGTGATAGATCTTCCTATTTTTAACACTTGGATGAATTATAAAATTTAATAAATACCTTCTGCATAGCAGAACTCTAGGGCTGTTTGCTAAATACATTGTCCTGAATTTCAAAGCTATGTGCTAATCAGTGAACCAGGTAAATGCTCAGAGCCTAGTGGTGAAGACAACATTGTGATCAGTTAGAGTGCTCAGATGCTGGAAGTGAGGGCCTAACCCGATGTTACAATTTAGGAGAAAGCTTCCTGGAAGAAGCTGTAAACTTTTTCCAGGGAGTGGGATCAATGGGTGCTACTAGTTAAGGTGTGTGGGGTTCATAGGATTGGAGGTACAAATCAGGAAAATGGAGTATCACTGAAATAATCTATTTTGAAATGCATAGAAAAGTGCCAGCTAGCCAGGTATGGTGGCTCATGGCTCTAATCCCAGCACATTGGGAGGCTGAGGCAGGTGGATCACCTGAGGTCAGGAGTTTGAGACCACCCTAGTCAACATGGTGATACCCCATCTCTACTAAAAATGCAAAAATTAGTCGGTCATGGTGATGGGTGCCTGTAATCCCAGCTACTCGGAGGCTGAGACAGGAGAATTGCTTGAGCCCGGGAGATGGAGTTTGCAGTGAGCTGAGATTGCGCTATTGCACTCCAACCTGGTGACAGAGTGAGACTCTGTATCAAAAAAAAAAAAAAAAAAACACCAGAAAAAGAAAGGAAAAGAAAAGAAGAGTGCCAGATACACCAAGAACATTCATAAAAGTTTTTGCTCAATTTATTCGGCTTGGATATGTAGTCATCACTGACTTCCAGAACAGCATGAGCTAGACCCACAAAAAATTTGTAAATTGGATAATTCTAGATAATTTTGCTTTACAGTATTAGGTGCAGTTTTTTCCTTTATTTATATTAGTCTCAGTAGAAATTGAAAATAGGGTTGGTCAGAAATGACAAGGGAGACGTAACCACTGACCCCACACAAATACAATATTATGAAAACCTCCATGCACATCAACTAGAAAATCTACAAGAAATGGACAAATCTGTTGAAACATAGACTCTCAAGACTTAAACAGGAAGAAATTGAATCCCTGAACAGAAAAATAACGAGCTCTGAAATTGAGGAAGTAATAAATTGCCTAACAACAACAAAAATAGCCCAGAACCAGATAGATTCATAGCTGAATTTAACAGTTGTAAAAAGGAGAGCTGATAGCTACTGAAACCATTCCAAAAAACTGAAGAAGAGGAACTCCTCCTAACTCATTCTGTGGGGCCAGCATCATCCTGATACCAAAATCTGGAAGAGATACAGCGGCAAAAGAAGAAAACTTCAGGCCAATATCCTGGATGAATATCAATGCAAAAACCCTCAACAAAATACAGGCAAATTAAATCCAGAAACACATCAAAAACTTATCCAACATGATCAAGTAGGCTTTATCCCTGCAATCCAAGAATGTGTCAAGACATGCAAATCAATAAATGTGATCCATCACATAAACAAAACTAAAGACAAAAACCACACGATTATCTCAATAGATGCAGAAAATGCTTTCAATAAAATTCAAAATCCACTCATGGTAAAAACTCTCGATAAACTACGTATTGAAGGAACATAGCTCAAAATGATAAGAGCCATATATGACAGACCCACAGCCAACATCATACAAAATGGGCAAAAGCCGGAAGCATTCCTCTTGAAAACAGGCACAAGACAAGGATGCTCTCTCTCACCATTCCTATTCAACATGCTATTGGAAGTCCTGGTTAGGGCAATCAGAAAAGAGAAAGAAATAAAGAGCATCCAGATAGGAAGAGGGGAAGTCAAACTCTCTCTATTTGCAGACAACATGATTATATGTCTAGAAAACCCCATAGTCTCAGCCCAAAGCCTTCTTAAGCTGATAAAAAAAAAAAAAGAAAAAAACTTCAGTAAAATCTCAGAATACAAAATCAATATGCAAAAATCACTAACATTCCTACACACCAACCACAGTCAAGCTGAGAGCCAAATCAGGAACAAACTCCCATTCACAATTGCTGCTTAGGAATACAGCTAACTAGGGAAGTAAAAGATCTCTTCAACAAAAACTAAAAACAACTGCTCAAATAAATCAGAGATGACACAAATAAATGGAAAAACATTCCTTCCTCATGGATAGAAAGAATCAATATTGTTAAAATGACCATACTGCCCAAAGCAATTTATAGATTCAATGCTATTTCTTTTTTTTTTTTTTTTGAGACGGAGTTTCGCTCTTGTTACCCAGGCTGGAGTGCAGTGGCACGATCTCGGCTCACCGCAACCTCCGCCTCCTGGGTTCAGGCAATTCTCCTGCCTCAGCCTCCTGAGTAGCTGGGATTACAGGCACGCACCACCATGCCCAGCTAATTTTTTGTAGTTTTAGTAGAGACGGGGTTTCACCGTGTTGACCAGGATGGTCTCGATCTCTTGACCTCGTGATCCACCCGCCTCGGCCTCCCAAAGTGCTGGGATTACAGGCTTGAGCCACCGCGCCCGGCGATTCAATGCTATTTCTATTAAACTACCATTGAGATTCTTCACAGAATTAGAAAAAAAAACATTTAAAAAATTCATATGGAACCAAAAAAGAGCTCAGGCAAAAAATAGCCAAGACAATTCTAAGCAAAAAGAACAAAGCTGGAGGCACCATGCTACCCGATGTCAAACTACACCACAGTGCTACAGTAACCAGAACACATGGAACTGGTACAAAAACAGGCACATAGACCAACGGAACAGAACAGATAACCCAGAATTTAAGACTGCACACCTACAACTATCTGATCTTTGACAAACCTGAAAAACAAAAACAAGCAATGGGGAAAGGATTCCCTATTCAATAAATGGTGCTGGGATAACAGGCTAGCCATATGCAGAAGATTGAAATTGGACCCCTTCCTTAGACCATATACAAAAATTAACTCAAGATGGATTTAAGACTTAAATGTGCAACACAAAACTATAAAAACCTCAGAAAACAACCTTGGCCATACTATTTAGGACACAGGCACAAACAAAGATGTCATGATGGGAAGATGTCAAAAAGCAATTGTAACAAAAGCAAAAATTGACAAATGGGATCTAACCAAACTAAAGAGCTTCTGGACAGCAAAAAAAACCATCAACAGAGTAAACAGACAACCTACGAATGGGAGAAAATATTTGCAAACAATGCATCTGACAAAGATCTAATATCCAACATTTACAAGGAACTTAAATTCACACACACACACACACACACACACACACACACAAACATTAAAAAGTGGCCAAAGGACATGAACATGAACAGACGCTTTTCAAAAGAAGACACACATGCAGCCAACAATCATATAAAAAAGCTCAACCTCACTGACCAGTAAGAGAAATGCAAGTAAAAAACACAATACTATCGTGATCACACCAGTCATAATGGCTATTTTTTAAAAACTCAAAAAATAACAGATGCTGGCTAGGTTGTAGAGAAATACAAATGCTTATACGTTGTTGGTGGGAGTGTAAATTAGTTTAACCATTGTGGAAGACAGTGTGGCAACTCCTCAAAGACCTAAAAACAGAACTACCATTCAACCCAGCAATTCCATTACTGGATATGTACACAAGGGACGGTAAATTGTTCTATTATAAAGACACATGCACACATATGTTCATTGTGGCACAATAGCAAAGACATGGAATACGCCATGGAATACTATGCAGCCATAAAAGAAGAACAAGATCATTTGCAGGGCATGGATGGAGCTGGAGGCCATTATCCTTAGCAAATTTATGTAGGAACAGAAAACCAAATACCACATGTTCTCACTTATAAATGGGAGCTAAATGATGAGAACACATGGACAAACAGAGGGGAACAACACACACTGGAGCCTATTGAAGGGTGGATGATGGGAGGAGGGAAAAGATCAGGAAAAATAGCTAATGGGGACTTGGCTAAATACCTGGGTGATAAAATAATCTGTATAACAAACTCCCATGACATAAGTTTACCTATGTAACAAACCCCTGTGTTGCAGTACGAAAGCCAAAACATACTAATTATATTTTCTTTTTTTTAACTTTTATTAACTTTCATGGTATTTCATTAAGTTCAGAGACACCACTGAACTTAAAATATTTCTTAACTTCTTTATTTTATTTTATTAAGTTCAGGGAAAAGCTTGAACTTAAAATAAAAGTTTAAAAATATATAATTAGTGTGTATAGGTTTTCATACTGCAAAAATCATAAATGTGTGTGGGGGTCTTCTTTAGAAACAGTGAATTTAAAGATACAGCACTAACATTGTCCATCATCATTTCAGTATACAAGAAAGATGAAATATTGATTTAAAATAGATTGTAACTTGCATAAAATTTTTTATTTGCAAGAGAATAATTGTTCAAGGGACCAGAATATACAAATATATACGTGCTTGATGGAAGCAAAATTACTTGTTGGCCTTGGAATTTGTGGATTTGGTTAAAATTTAATTCTATTTAAGGGATCTTCATGTCTTGCCCAGCCTTGTCTTCTCCGCATACCTATTCACTCACTCAGTTGAATTAAATAACTCTGTAATACCATTATATGATCACACCCTAACAATTGTGACTTGGGTCCTGTTGGGTCTTTCACCTTTTTAATCCTTTCATTTCCACAAGTTCTCCTTTTCTGTACTCCTTAACATCCAGCTCTTTTCACCTACTGCCATCTTTTTCTAGTTAGACATAGTAACTTCTTGCTTTGAACTCAGAGAGCATTTGTTCCTCTTTATTTTTCTCCTTCCCACTTCCCATTTTTTGGATTTATTTTTTATTTTTTATGTTATGACTTTGGTTCCACTCCTGGCAGAAATTATCATCTTGGTTGTATTTTTATGTTAACAACCCTATCTGCCACTCCTGAAAGTCATCTTGTTGTCATTATGGAACTTTGCATCCACAAAACCAGAGGCAAGGTTTGCATTTTGTACATAGCCAAACAATTTTTGGTAAATTTAATTGATTAACATTTGCATTCCTCACATAGCCATGATTAAGAAAATCTGCAAAGAGATTATTGTTCACTAGTTACTGCATACTTACTATGCTGTAGTCACTGTATTAAATATTTTACACCTTGACAGTGTCAATTGCTACTTTTAATATCTAAAGAGAGTGAAGCCCTGAGAAGATCAATGTAAGTGGCAAAAATACAGCTTGACATTAACATGATCTTCAAAATTCATATTATATGTCCTACTAATCAGCTTTATATCCTACAGATAAAATAGTGAATAAAAAACCAAATGAATGAATTAATAAGTGAATAAATTAAAAGGAGACTCCTAAGTCCTAACTGTAATGTGTTTTCTAATGTAAGGAATATCAGATCAAGTTTGGAAGAATTTAAGTTTGTCCCAAACAAAAAGTAGAGACTATCATTCAGGAGACTTCAAACCAAGATGCTCTCCTTGTAATAGTTAAAGCACAATTCATAAAGCATAAGGGAAGAAAAGTTTTCACTTATCTTGTGATTGGCCATTATGCATTAACAATAATTTTAGGGCAAATAGAGATGTTTAAACTGCTTTTTCTATAGCTGATTTATTTAATGTGACTGAATCAAGGTGATAAGCATATAAAGCTTACATTTGTGTTTCCTTTAGACACAGCAATTTGGGAAAACTGAAATGACTTAAGTTTTAGCTACATGGATACTAGTAGTTGACCTTCAGATGTACCTAAACTGTCGCCTCCATTTTTATTTTTCTTTAACACTAGAGTGACCCTAAGAATGACTCATGGATCTTTGCCCTGGCTGTGCTTCTAAGCAGCTGCTTTGTCTACAACAGCATGAGCACCATCAACCACCAGGCTCTGGAGCAGCTGCAGTATCCTTCCGGGAAGAGAAGAGCCAGGTTTTATGGCGTTTAGGGGAATGGAAACTGATACTGTGCCTTCTTTGCTGTGACCCAGTTGTCCTGGTTGAGTAAGAAGAGACACAGTGCAAAAGGGAATGTTTATAAAACTTGTTTCTAAGTGAGATGTTGAAATAATGGTATAGGGTGTTACTCCTTAGCTAAGATCCCAGCTACGTGACTCAACTAACACAGCTAATCAGGGCAAAATCCTGCCCCAGGACTGATGAAGTTGAGGACTCCAGCGAGTTTGTGAGTTTCTTTCCCGACTTTATTTGGGCTGTTCGAGATTTTACCCTGGAGCTGAAGTTAGATGGACACCCCATCACAGAAGATGAGTACCTGGAGAATGCCTTGAAGCTGATTCCAGGTATCAGAGCTCGGCCTGGATGGGGGAATGTTCAGCAATGGGTGGGATCAACTAAGACCTGCCATTCAGCACCTGACACAAATGTTTATATTAGACTGGATTGAAGCCCATGCTCGTGGTGGTTGGTGATTGACAAGTGATTATGATTCTTGTGGTTATTTTTACTTGAAATTTCCCAGAGGCTAAAGTTTCAATTCATTGAAGACGTTTAAAACTCAAAATTCTATCAAACAATTTTAGACCAATAAGTACCATGAAAAATATATTGAGGATTACAATTAATATTATCACATCCTAAGACTCATATATTTGTGTTACTTGTTAACTTCAAGTGTTCCTTCTACTCTATTTGGAGAAAATTAATAAATTGGAAGTTGGTAAACACAGAATCACAAGAAGTCAAATGATTTAATTTTGGAAATATATTTCACTCTGTCTATTTTATTAGCCTGGATGGTTATATCCTTTAGAGTAAAAAAAGATTTATACAGTAAATGATTCAGGCAATTAAAAAGATACACTAATATATGCTTCCAGTAAGACTGTCAAATCCTTCATTTCACTGTTTTCATAATATCGTGTACTTCATTCTACAGCCTCATACAATATATTGTCAATCTATTATACATTTGTTAAACGGATTGTATTTAGCAGAGTGGATACCTGTTGGTACCTACAATATCCGTCTTTGTTCATTTATTCATCCTTTCAGCAAAAGTTTGTTTTGAATAATCTGTATATGCCCCATAATCCCTCTGCAAGACAATGTCAGACCTAATATAATCTGACCTGGATATTTTCTGTCTCTATCCAACATTTTCCCCAGCCACATCTTGTCCTTGTTTTTAGCAATTACTTTATTTTTAAGCCCATTTCATTTCTGACATGGGAACAGTAAGATTGAGAAAGTCTGTCATGCTATGTAAAATAAGCCAGAAACAGGAAGAAAACTACTACAGAACCTCATTTATATATGGATTCTATTTTAAAACGTGAAATACATAGAAACAGAGAGAGAACAGCGGTTACCAGGGCACGGTGAGGGATGAACTGAGGACATGTGGGTGAAGGGTACAAACTTGAAGTTATACAGGGTGGAAAAGTCTTGGGATCTAATATAGTGCAGGAGAACTATCATTAACAATATTGTGTTTTACATTTAAAATTTACAGAGATTGGATTTTAGGTACTCTTACAAAAAAAAAAAAACAGAGAAGGAAAGTAAGTTTGGAAGGTGTTAAGTTATATAATTTGCTTACTTAATAATTTCACTATGTACATGTATATTGAAACATCATATTATAACACTACAAATATATACAATTTTTAAAGAAAGTACTTCTTATCATATTTTAGTTAATCATAATTCAGCAAACATTTAAAAAATTGTCAATCTACCAGATATCATACAGTGGCTGAAGAAACTAACCATAAATTCCTTCTCTTAAGGTGGATGCCTTCCCTTCCTTTTGACTCTGCTCTGTGCAGAAATGGACTTCTCGTACCTTAAGTGGATTAGCATAAGTTTGGTTGCATGAGAGGATAGAGTAGATTCACAGACACAAGAGACTGTAGTGATTAATGCAAGGAACTCTGGAAATGAAAATCTCAGGCTTGCCTAAAAGCCGTTCTTCAGTAGTCGCTTTTTCACTAATTCTGCAGGCAAGAATCCCCAAATCCAAAATTCTAATAAGCCCAGGGAGTGGATCAGGCATTTCTTTCCAAAACGGAAGTGCTTTGTCTTTGACCAGCCAACAAATGACAAAAAGCTCTTATTCCATGTTGAAGAAGTACCGGAAGACCAACTGGATAGTGATTTCCAGGTGCAATCAGAAAACTTCTGTTCTTATATCCTCACGCATGCAAAGACCAAGACCCTGAGAGAGGGAATCCTTGTCACTGGAAACCGTGAGTCTATTTCTCTATATGGGGTATCTCAAAAACTAGTAAACTAAGCTTATCAGCACAAACAACTGGTAAGGAGATAACATCTGTGTTATGAGGCGTGGAATACGTGAAGGATATTTTTCTCAGTGAGGATATAAATGATGTATTGTGAATTTAGACAAATCAAAAAATAAGTAGCATGTCGTGAGTTTCTGCAAGCCTACTGAGATTTAGAGGTACAAAATTCAGCGTAATCTCATATAGAAAATCAACTTCATGAACATGTTACCTGTGCAGTCTTTTAGTGCTCTGTGCAGAAAAGAGCTTTTCACAGGGTTTAATGTTCTGTCACTGTCTTAAGAGTCTTTATAAAGGCACCTGCTTTACATTCAGAACTATGATCCACAAATGATATAATTTACTTTGCTGAATAGCTGCTTTTAAATTTTTACTTAAGCAGAAAAGTATTTTTTCAAGAAACACTTGAACTTATTGTTCGTGATTAGTAATTAACTTTGTAATGTGACGAGTTGGAGAAAAAAGAGAAAGAATAAATAGGAACAGCAGTGATGTTATTATAAGAAAGTGGATTCATAAAAAGTAGTAGTAGTAAGAGTAGAATTAAAAGAAGGAGAAGGAGGGAAAATTCGTGTTACGTAAAGTTTTTTGTGATTTTTAGAATGCTGATACGTACCACTTGCAAAACAATGAGTGAAAATGTTCTATCCATTCCCTAAATTAGGGCTGGGGATGCTGGTGGAGACCTACCTGGATGCCATCAACAGCGGAGTGGTTCCTTGTCTGGAGAATGCGGTGACAACTCTGGCCCAGCGTGAGAACTCAGCAGCCGTGCAGAGGGCAGCTGACCACTACAGCCAGCAGATGACCCAGCAAGTGAGGTTCCCCACAGACACGCTCCAGGAGCTGTTGGATGTGCACACCACCTGTGAGAGGGAAGCCATTGCAGTCTTCATGGAGCACTCCTTCAAGGATGAAAACCAGGAATTCCAGAGGAAGCTTGTGGTAATGTGTGTTTGTATTTTTTTTCCTTGACTCCTGCCTGTCTGGAATGATACTTAGAGTCCAATATTTTAATGCCATGGTTCATCTCCTTCTTGTGGCAAAAGGAGCTTGGATTATTTTATGTGATTATATTATTTCAGTTTAATGGGCAACAGTTTTCTATTTTTCTAAAATATAGGAAATTTATTAATTTTCTATCATGCATAAGAAATTATGACTATAACCCATTTACAATACATTTATACAACATACTAACTACAGTTAATAACAATGGATTGCATTCTTGAAAATTACTAAGAGAATAGTATTTAAGCACTCTCGCCACAAAAGAAGAAAAATATTTGAGATAATCTATATGTTAATTAGCTTGATTTAGTAGTTTCATAATCTGCACAAGTTAAACAAAACTTTTAACTTGTACAGACTATGTTACATTTCATGTTACATTTCAAAATAACATGACGCAAGCATTATACATATACCATTTTTATTATTTTATTTTAAAAAGGTAAAATAAAGAAACACTTGCCTGACTCTGAGTATGAACAGAATGCATAAGCTCACAGCTCTGTAAGTCAGAAGTTCATTTCAGAGCATCTGTGTGCTCTGCTCAGTGTATCACAAGCTGAAAACAAGGTGTTGATTGAGCTTACTTCTCACCTGTATGCTCAGGGGACCCTCTCTCCATCTTTAGGTCAGCAATGATGCATCAAATGTTTCTCTTGTTTCTAATCTCTCTGGCTTCCTCTTCTGCCTCAAGGTAAACAAAAAAGCTCTGCTTTCGAAGAGCTCATGTGATTTGGTAATTCTTTTTTTCTTTTTTATGTCTGTATTTTTTATCTTGGTCATTTGACTAGGTATGCAAGGTATGTAGTGATGCCTTATTGTGATTTTAATTTGCATTTCTTTCTTTTTTATTATTATACTTTAAGTTCTGGGATACATGTGCAGAATATGCAGGTTTGTTACGTAAGTATACACGTGCCATGGTGGTTTGCTGCACCCAACAACCCATTACCTACATTAGGTATTTCTCCTAATGCTATCCCTCCCCTAGACCCCCATCCCCTGTCAGGCCCCAGTGTGTGATGTTTCCCTCCCTGTGTCCATGCATTCTCATTGTTCAACTCCTTCCTGTGAGTGAGAACACGCAGTGTTTGGTTTTCTGTTCCTGTGTTAGTCTGCTGAGAATGATGATTTCCAGCTTCATCCATGTCCCTGCAAAGGACATGAACTCATCCTTTTTTATGGCTGCATAGTATTCCATGGTGTATATGTGTCACATTTTCTTTATCCCGTCTATCATTGATGAGAATTTGGGTTAGTTCCAAGTCTTTGCTACTGTGAACGGTGCCACAATAAACATATGTGTGTATGTGTCTTTATAGCAGAACGATTTATAATCTTTTGGGTATATACCCAGTAATGGGATTGCTGGGCCAAATGATATTTCTGGTCCTAGATCCTTGAGGAATCACCACACTGTCTTCCACAATGGTTGAACTAATTTACACTCCCACTAACATGTAAAAGCGATACGATTTCTCCTCATCCTCTCCAGCATCTGTTGTTTCCTGACTTTTTAATGATCGCCACTCTAACTGGTGTGAGATGGTATCTCAGTGTGGTTTTGATTTGCATTTCTCTAATGACCAGTGATGATGAGCTTTTTTTCATATGTTTGTTGGTCATGTAAAGTCTTCTTTTGAGAAGTGTCTGTTTATATCATTTGCTCTCTTTTAGATGTGTTTTTTTTTCTTGTAAATTTGCTTAAGTTCCTTATAGACTCTGGATGTCAGCCCTTTGTGAGATGGATAGATCACAAGAATTTTTTCCCATTCTGTAGATTGCCAGTTCACTCTGATGACAGTTTCTTTTACTGTGCAGAAGCTCTTTAGTTTAATTAAATCCCATTTATCAATTTTGGCTTTTGTTACCATTACTTTTGGTATTTTAGTCATGAAGTCTTCACCCATGCCTATGTCCTGAATGGTATTGCCTAGGTTTTCTTCTAAAGTTTTTATGGTTTTAGACATTACATTTAAGTCTTTAATCCATCTTGAGTTAATTTTTGTATAAAGTGTAAGGAAGGGGTCTAGTTTCAGTTTTCTGCATATGACTAGCCAGTTTTTCCAACACCATTTATTAAATAGGGAATTTTTCTCCATTGTTTGTTTTTGTCAGTTTTGCCAAAGATCAGATGGTTGTAGATGTGTGGCATTATTTCTGATGATGGGGTTTTCTGAACAGATAATCATGTCATCAGCAAACAGAGACAATTGGACTTCCTCTCTTCCTATCGGAATATCCTTTACTTCTTTCTCTTGCCTGATTGCCCTGCCCAAAACTTCCAATACTATTTTGAATACGAGTGGTAAGAGTGGGCATCCTTGTCTTGTGCTGGTTTTTAAAGGGAATGTTTCCGGCTTTTGCCCATTCAGTATGATATTGGCTGTGGGTTTGTCATAAATAGCTCTTATTATTTTGAGATATGTTCCATCAATACCTAGTTTATTGAGTTTTTAGCCTGAAGCCTTTGAATTTTATCAAAGGCTTTTTCTGCATCTATTGAGATAAATCATGTGGTTTTTGTTATTGGTTCTTTTTATGTGATGGATTATGTTTATTGATTTGCATATGTTCAACCAGGCTTGCATCCCAAGGATGAAGCCAACTTGATCGTGGTGGATAATCATTTTGATGTGCTGCCAGATTTGGTTTGCCAGTATTTTATTGAGAATTTTCACATCGATGTTCATCAGGGATATTCACCTGAAATTTTCTTTTTTTTTGTTGTGTCTCTGAGTAATTCTTAAATACTTTCTTGAGTATACTCAGTACTACTTGAATACTCTCCATTTCTAAAAGTCAACAGATACCATATAATGCTACCTAAATACTGGAGTACACGCCATCATATTAATAAGTCCAGGGACTATGGAAACCTGGGGGTGGGGAGGGGGAATCCTGGGGGACATCTTAAATCTGCTGTTGGCACTGTTAATGAATATTCTTCTTTCAGTCTGTCTTTTACCAGTCCACATGTGACAGAAATCTCTCTAGTACATATTGAGAAAACCCAGATGCAATCATAATTTACAAATGTAAGCAAAAAACTAATATGTTCCCATATCTTCACATGTTAAAATCCTTTTTAGAAGAATTTCAAAAGAGTTACAAGCTCTGTTCAGAGTAAAATCAAGTCATTACTGGGAAGTGATTATACCGGAAGGGTTGATTTTCTATGTACACATTTTATTCATAGCAATCCATGTTCTCTAAGGACACTACTACTGCCACAACTGAACTGTCCTCTGCTTATTGTTCATAGTTAGATCACTGTTAATCATCCTTTTCCTGAAGCTAAGATAGAGTTATGCAGGTCATGCAGAGAATTGATCAGAACTGGAACTAAAACAAGTCTTCTGACTCTTGGTCTACACCAAATCCCAGCCCACTCTGAAGTCATCAGACTACTTCTTCCAAGAGGATCATAGTTGGACCTTTCCTTCTAACACCTTCTTTCTACTGTTTTTCCCTACCTTTCTCTGGCAGGACTCCACAGAGAAAAAGAAGGAAGACTTTGTGCTGCAGAATGAAGTGGCATCTGCCAAATATTGCCAGGCTGAGCTTAAGCGGCTTTCAGAGCACTTGATGGAAAGCATTTCAAGAGGAACTTTCTTTGTTACTGGAGGGCACAATCGCTACTTAGAAGCAAAGAAGAAGATTGAGCAGAACTATACACTAGTGCCCAGAAAAGGAGTTAAGGTGAGAACTAAGGGGAGAAGAGGATGAATGGCAGAGGATGGTCAGAGGGTCTTTGTTACCCCTTCTGAAAAATCTAAGAACACAGTACCATTTATGGACAAAAAGTGAAGCATGGTAATATCTTGATATTTTACATCTTAAAATCCATAATTATTTAGCTTCTCTTACTAAAACAAAACTATTTTTTTTTTACCAAAGAAGATTTAGAATCAGAAGTCCGGGTGGTCATTTAAAAGTGTGTGGCACCTTCCCCCACCACACTCTCTCTCTCTTGCTCTTGCTGTTTTTGTCATGTGACAGGCAAGCTACCCCTTCACCTTCCACCAGGAGTAAAAGCTTCCTGAAGCCTTAGCAGAAGCCATGTTTCTTGTAAAGCCTGCAGAACTGCGAGCCCGTTAAACCTCTTTGCTTTATAAATTACCCCTGAACTTAAAAGTTAAATTTAAAAAAAAATTTAATGTAGGTTCTAACTCTATACCTAAATCATTATTGTTCACTCATGCTGAAACAGTAGTGTCCAAAAAATTATTTTAAATTCAGATCAGACAAAAATAAATTAGCTACTTGTAATCCTTCTTGGAAAGATACATATATCAAATCAGATTTTTCTTTTACTTCATAAGTCCCTGCCAGTTAAAGAGAAAAAAGTGCTTAATTCTGAACTGCAAAGTCTTTTGCATTCTCAGAACCAAGCCTAGTACTGGTCAGGTGATTTCAATTATTGGAGTTTCAATTTGCTCACAAAATGAAAAGAAGATGACTGTCTAATATTTAAAAAGCCAAAATTCTGAGTGCTGACAAGAATATGGAGCAATTGGAATTCTCACATTGCTAATGAGGTATAAATCAGTACATCAATTTGGAAAACTGTTTAGTTTCATTGCTAAAGTTGAAAAACAAATACCCAGTAACTCAGCAAGTCCATTTCTAGATGTATACATTCACTTAAAAGATAGGGACAGAAATGTTCATAACAGCGTCATTCATAATAGCACCAATCTGAAATTTTACCCTAATGTCCATCAACAATAGAACAAATAAACAAACTAGTATATTCACATAATGGAGTCCTATATCACAATGAAAATGAATAAGCTACAATCACATAATAAGAAAAATAAATACATTACCCAGTCTTAGGTATTTGTAGCAATGCAAGAATGGCCTAACACACCCATGAATCTAAATTTTTTTTTGAAAGAAAGGATCAAGGAAAATAATCACCAAAAAATGCCTAGGTCCTTCCTTCTGTGATGTGCCCCACCCACTCAAATTTCAGTCACTCATCGCATATTGTCTAAGGTATTTATGCCTCTTTTTCCTTCCCATGTGTGACTATTAAGTCTATGCGGTGTTGTATTTTCCTTGATTGGTAATTTCCCATATTTGATAGCCATGTTACTCTCTTAAAGTTTCAAATTCTTATAGTTTCTCAGGCCAGGTACAGTGGCTCACACCTGTAATCCCAATCCTTTGGGAGGCCAAGGCAGGAGGACTTCTTAAGACCAGGAGATTGAAACCATCTTGAGCAACATCATAAGACTTCCATCTCTACAAAAATTAAAAATAAAATTAGCCGGCTGTGGCAGCACACATCTGTGGTCCCAGCTACAAGGGAGGTTGAGGCAGGAGCACTGCTTCAGAGCAGGAGTTCAAGGTTGAAGTGATAGTACCACTGAACTTACACTTGGGTGACAGAGCGAGACTGTCTCAAAAAAGAAAAAAAGTTTCTCAACTGTTTAATTTTCAATTATATTCACCATACTCTTGAAAATAGGCTAGTTACCTGTTCAGTCTTTAACTTTTTAAATTAAATTTGAATACATTGTTTACTTTTAATGAACTATTATCAGCATTCTCAAAAGTTATCAAAAGTTAAAAAATAAATAAGTAAATAATTAGCCTAGAAAAGCTTCCAGCAAGGTAAGAGCTATTAATAGATGTTACCCTAATTTAAAAATTAAATTTAAATTAAAATTAAATCCTAAATTAAAAAGAGTAGACAGGCATTCAGACAGAAGGAAAAGAAAGCAAATAATGCAAACTATAGAGGATGTGTGTTTGTAGAACTGCATAGAAATCTGGTTGTCTGCACCCTGGGGTGGGCGGTGAGCGGCATCCCTGGGAGAGGAGGCTGGACAGGCACAAGGGAGGCTGCTGCGCAGGGTTTTCATGTCTCAGAAAAGAGCTTGGACTTTTTGTTGTGGCTGCGGGAGGAAAGAAACCACAGTGGAATCTTAAGAATAATGTGAAGTCCATAAGGTTAGATTTGTGGCTTTATTGAACAATAATTTCCTCATCACAAGACAAGATTTCTGCTGCCTGACAGGTCTTTGCTCGTTCTTGGTTCCTCAGGCAAACGAGGTCCTCCAGAGCTTCCTGCAGTCACAGGTGGTTGTAGAGGAATCCATCCTGCAGTCAGACAAAGCCCTCACTGCTGGAGAGAAGGCCATAGCAGGTACAGGGGCAGGGCTCAGCTCTCAGAGAAATGGGTAGGTTTTTGCAATGCCCGCTTGATGTTCAGAAAAACCTGTTTTCCTTATACCAGGAGCTTTCTTCTCATAGAGGACACATGCTCTGCTAAAACTGAAAATAAGGGGAGTTGGGATTAAACATCCAGCCACTCAGTTCCTTCCCACAACATTCTTAAACATGCTCTTGCTGACATGAATAGTGGGAGAATTCAAAGATTCCCAGTTCCCCACCTTCGTGCTTTTCTTAAAGTCAGTTTGGCCTCTGAACTCAGGAGAGTAGAACTCAGACCAGACTGTTACTTTCTTTTTCTTTCCAACTTTTATTTTAGGTCCAGAGGGTACACAGGTAGGTTTGCTGTATGGGTAATACATGGGCGCATCATGGGGATTTGTTGTACAGATTATTTCATCACTCAGGTAACGAGCATAGTATTCAATAGGCAATTTTTCAATCCTCGCACTCTTCCCATCCTCCACCCTCAAATAGGTCCTGGTGTCTATTGGTCCCTTTGTGTCCATGTGTACTCAACATTTAGTTCCCACTCATAAATGAGAATATGCAGGATTTGGTTTTCTATTCCTGCATTAATTCGCTTAGGGTACTGGCCTCCAGCTGCGTCCACGGTGCTGCAAAGGACATGATTTCATTCATTTAATGTCTATGTAATATTATAAGCCATATATGTACCACATTTTCATTATCCAGTCCACCACTGATAAACATTTAGGTTGATTCCATGTCTTTGCTCTTACAAATAGTGAGCAATGAACAGGTGCATGCATGTGTTTTTATGATATATTGATTTGTTTTCCTTTGGATATATACCCAGTAATGGGATTGCTGGGTCAAATGGTAGTTCTGTTTTAAGTTCTTTTAGAACTCCAAACTGCTTTCCACAGCAGCTGAACTAATTTACAATCCCAACAGCAGTGTATAAGAATTCCCGGGCCAGGCTCAGTGGCTCACGCCTGTAATCCCAACACTTTGGGAGGCCAAGGTAGGCGGATCACGAGGTCAAGAGATTGAGACATCTTGGCCAACATGGTGAAACCTCGTCTTTACTAAAAATAGAAAAAATAGCTGGGCATGGTGGTGCGGGCCTGTAGTCCCAGCTACTCGGGAGGCTGAGGCAGAAAAATCACTTGAACCGGAAGGCAGACTGCAGTGAGCCTAGATCGCACCGCTGCACTCTAACCTGGGTGAGACTCCCTCTCAAAAAAAAAAAAAAAAAAAATTCCCTTTTCTTGGCAATCTTGCCAGCATCTGTTTTTTTTTTTTGACTTTTTAATAACAGCCATTCTGACTGGTGTGAGATGGTATCTCACATGGTTTTCTATTTGCATTTTCTTAATGATTTGTGCTGTTCAGCATTTTTTGATATGCTTGCTGGCCATGTGTATGTCTTCTTTTCATAAATGTCCATTAATGTCCATTTCTCATTTTTTTAATGGGGACATTTGCTTTTTCTTTATTTCTTTAACTTATCCATAGATTCTGGATATAAGACTTTTGTTGGATACATAGTTTGCAGATATTTTCTCCTATAATGTAGGTTTACTCTGTTGATGGTTTCCTTTGTTTTGCATGAGCTATTTAGTTGAATTAGGTTCCACTTGTTAATTTTTTGTTTGCTTGCAGTGGCTTTCAAAGTCCTCATCACGAAATCTTTGCCATTGCCTCTGTCCAGAATGGTATTTACCAGGTTTTCTTTTTGGGGTTTTAAAGTTTTAAGTTTTACCTTTACATCTTTAATTCATCTTGAGTTTATTTTCATATATAGTGAAAAGAAGGGATCCAGTTTAAATCTTCTGCATATGGCTACCCAGTTAACACAGCACCATTTATTGAATAGGGCATCCTTTCTTCATTGCTATTTTTGTCAGCTTTACCAAAGGTGAGATAGTTGTAGGTGTGTGGTATTATTTCTTCTGTCTCTAATCTTTTTCGTTGGTTTATGTGTCTGTTTTGTTTTATTTTGCTTTTTGACCAGCACCATGCTATTTTGGTTATTGTAGTCTTGTAATATAGTTTGAAGTCAGGTCATATGATGACTCTGGCTTTGCTCTTTTTGCTTAGGAGTGCCTTGGCTACTTGGGGTTTTTTTTTTTTTTTTTTTTTTTTTTTGCTCCATATGGATATTAGAGTAGCTTTTACTAATTCTATTTTTTTTAAAGTTATTGATAGTTTGATAGGAATAGCATTGAATATTTAAATTACTTTGGGCGGTATGGCTATTTTAATAACATTGATTCTTCCTATCCATATGCATGGAATGTTTTTCCATATGTTTGTATGGTCTCAGATTTCTTTCAGAAGTGTTTTATAATTCTCATTGTAGAGATGATTCACCTCCCTGATTGGCTGTAAACCTAGGTATTTTATTCTTTTTGTGGCTATTGTGAATAGGATTGCATTCTTGATTTGACTTTCAGCTTGGACATTATTGGCGTGTAGAAATGCTACTGATTTTTGTATGTTGCTTTTTTTTTTAAATTCTGAAACTTTGCTGAAGTTTATCAGATGGAAGAGGCTTTGGGCAGAGACTATGGAGTTTTCAGAATTCAATTGTCTAAGATGAGAGATAGTTTAAATTCCTCTCTTCCTATTGGATAACTTTTCTTCCCCCTTGCCTGAGTTCTCTGGCTAAAACTTCCAGTACTATGTTGAATAGGAGTTGCAAATGTAGGCATCCTTGTCCCATTTTGGTTTGAGAGTGAAATGTTTCCAGCTTTTTCACATTCAATATGATGTTGGCTGTGGAGTTTTCATAAATACCCCTTATTATTTTGAGGTGTATTCCTTTGATGCCCACTTTGTTGTGATATTTTAACATGAAAGGTTGTTGAATTTTATCAAAGGTCTTTTCTGTGTCCATTGAGATGATCATGTGGTTTTTGTTCTGAGTCCCGCTTATGTGAGGGATCAATCTATTGATTAGCGTATGCTGAATCAACCTTGCATTCCAGGAATAAAGCCTAATTCACGATGGTGGATTCACTTTTTAATGTGCTGCTGGATTTGGGTTTGCTAGTATTTTGGTGAAGATTTTTTCATCCATGTTCATCAGGAATATTGTCCTGCAGTTTTGTTGTTGTTATTATGTCTGTACTGGGTTTTTAAAATCAGAATGATGCTGGCCTCATAGAATATATTAGGGAAGATTCCCTCCTCCTCAATTTTTTTTTGCAATAGTTACGTAGAATTGGTACCAGCTCTTCTTTATATGTCTGGTGGAATTGGCTATGAATCTGACTGGTCCAGGGCTTTTTCACCTTGGTAGGCTTTTTATTACTGACTCAGTTTCAGAACTCATTATTAGTCTGTTTCAGGTTTCAATTTGTTTCCTGGTTCACTTTTGGGAAGTTGTATATTTCCAGGAATTTATCCATTTCTTCTAGGTTTTTTAGTTAGTGTGCATAGCGGTGTTCATAATAGTTTCTGAGGATCTTTTGTATTTCTGTGGAGTTCGTGGTAATGTTCCTTTTGTTGTTTTTTATTATGCTTAATTTGGATCTTCTCTTTTATTGTTCTTTTTTTTTAGTCTGACTAGAAATATATCCATCTTATTTATTCTTCCAAAGAACCATTGGTTTCACTGATCTTTTGTATGGTTTTTCTTGTCTCCATTTTGTTCGGTTCAAGTCTGATTTTGGTTATTTCTTGTCTTCTGCTACCTTTGTGCTTGGTTCACTCTTGTTTTTCTAGTTCCTTTAGGTGTGATGTTAGGTTGTTAATTTGAAATATTTCTAACTTTTTGCTGTAGTTGTTTAGTGCTATTAACATTCCTCTTAACACCATTCTAGCTGTGTCTCAGAGATTCTGGTATGTTGTATCTTTGTTTTTATTAATTTCAAATAATTTATTTCTGTCTTAAATTCACTGTTTATCCCAAAATCATTCAGGAGATTATTTAATTTCCATGGAATTGTGTGGTTTTGAGAGCTATTCTCTGTATTGATTTCTGTTTTTATTGCACTGTGGTCTGAGAACCTTGGTATGATTTTGGGTTTTTTTAATTTGTTGAAAATTGCTTTATGATGGAGCATGGGTCAACTTTAGAATATGTGCCATGTGCAGATGAGATGAATGTATATTCTGTTACTGTTGGGTGGAGTGTTCTGTAGATTTCTGTTAGGTCCATTTTATTCAAGTGTCAAGTTCAGTCCTGAATATCTTTGTTAGTTTTTTCACTCAAATTATCTGTCTAATATTGTCAATGGGGTGTTGAAGACTCACACTATTATTGTGTGGTTATCGAAGTCTCATCATAGGTCTCTTTGAACTTGTTTTATGAATCTAGGGTTCTCTAGTATTGAGTGAATATATATTTTGTATAGTTAAGTCTTCTCGTTGAATTGAAACTTTTATCATTCTATAATGCCTATCTTTATCCTTCTTGATTATTATTGGTTTGGAGTCTGTTTGGTCTGAAATAAGAATAGCAACCTCTGCTCTTTTTGTTTTCCGTTTGCTTGATAGATTTTTTTTCATCCCTTTACTTTGAACCTATTGGTGTAATTGCATATGAGATCGAGCTCTTGAACATAGAAGATAGTTGGGTCTTATTTCTTTATGCAACTTGCCACTCTGTGCCTTTTAATTGGAGTGGTTAATTCAAAGTTAATATTGATGTGTGTGGATCTGATCCACATATATCCTCATGACATAACACGACAACATGTCATCATGTTGACAGCTGATTGCTATGTTAACTTGATTGTGTTGTTACTTTGTAGTGCCAATGATCCATGTACTGAAGTGTGCTTTTATGGTGGCCGATAATGGTCTTTCATTTTCATGTTTAGCACTCTTTTCAACACCTTGTGTAAGGCAGGTCTGGTGGTAACAAATTCCCTTAGCATTTGCTTGTCTAAAAAGAATTTTTTTTTCTTATGAAGCTTAGTTTGGCTGGATATGAAATTCTTGCTTGGAATTTCTTTTCTTTATGAATGCTGACTATGGGTCTCCAGTTTCTTTTGGCTTGCAGGGTTTCTTCTGAAAGTTCCATTGTTAGCTTGATGGGGTTCCCCTTGCAGAAGACCTGCCCTTTTCTCAAGCTGCCTTTAATATTTTTTCTTTCACATTGACCTTGGAAAATCTCATAACTCTCTCATATGTGTTGGGAATAGTCATCTTATATAGGATCTCACAGGGGTTCTCTGATTTCCTGAATTTGAATTTCAGCCTCCCTAGTGAGGTTGGGAAAATGTTCATGGGCACTGTCCTCAAATATTCTAAGTTGCTTGCTATCTCTCCCTCTCTTTCACAGGTGCCAATGAGTCATAGGTTTGGTCTCTTTACATAATCTGATCTTTCAGATTTTGTTCATTTTTATTCTTTTTTCTTTATTTTTGTCTGATTAAATTGGTTTTAAAAATGGGTTTTCAAGCTCTGAGATTATTTCCTCATCTTGGTCTATTCTACATTTAATATTTTTGATTGTATTATGAAATTCTTGTAGTGTGTTTTTCAGCTCTATCAAATCAGTTTGACTCTTGTTTTAAATGGCTATTTCATCTTTTACTTCTTGAGTCATTTTACTGAATTCCTTCAGTTCCTTGGATTGTATGTCAACTGCCTCCTGTGTATTGATAATCTTCATTGCCATCCAGATTCTGCATTCCATGTCTACTATTTCAACCATTTCAGCTTAACCAAGAACCATTGCTGGGGAGCTAGTGGACTCATTTGGAGGTAAGGAGCACTCTGGATTTTTGAGTTGCCAGAGTTCTTTTACTGGTTCTTTCTCAATGGTGTAGGCTGATATTCCTTTAGTCTTTGAAGTTGCTGTTTCTTTCATGAAGCTTTTGGCTTTTATATTATTTTATTCCCTTGAAGATTCAACTGGTATAAGTTGTGTTCAGTTGACCAGGTTTTTTTTTTCCGGATGATTTCAAGGGGCCAAGGCTCAGCTCAGCACCCCTGGGCTGTGGGCTTGAACCTTAGTAGGCTGGGACCAGGCTCAAGGCTTTGTTGTCTGGCCCTTCTACGTTAAGCACCTGCTGTGCTGCAGGGGCCAGCCTCTTCCTGGTTAATTGGCAACAACACTCCGATGGGGGTGCTGGCAAAAGCACTTTCTCAGGGCAGTGGCAGCGTGGTCCACGGTCATGGGTGAGTGGCAGCAGCAGGGCAGCAGTGCTGCAGGTTCTGTGCATGTGCATTGGTGGTCACAGGTTGACAGGGTTGGCACACTTGTGTGCACCAGGAAAGCGGTGGTGAGAGGCTGCAAACGAGTGTGTGCCAGCAAAACAGTGGGGAGAGGATGCATTGAGTGCACACTGGTGTGAGCCCACCTGCTGAAGCTCTATGATGGTTACGTAGGGTATGTCAGCAAAGAAGATATGGTGGTAGCTGCTAGGAAGTTCTTCAGTTTGGCAATTGAAGTTGTACTTGAAGTAGATGCAGCCAGGCAAGAACCATGAGAGAGGCTGACAGACTGGGAGGTGCTCAGATCATAGTGGATCCATTCCACAGGCAAGATAGCCCAGTTCTATCCAGGACCAATAGTCGACAAAAGCCCAAGCTAAATATTTGGGTATAGCAAGCCTTGGGGAATGGGAGTTCCTGGTTGTGCTCCACTGGAGCCATTCCTGTGCCAAATATCTAGGCTCCACACTGGCCAGCGTCCTGACCCTATCAACTCTCCAGGCAGTTCTCTTTGCCAGCTCAAACATCTATGGTAGTTGTGGGGTATCCTAAAGCTAGGATTCCAGAGGTTCATGGCAAGACTGGGCCACTTTGCACCAATTTCCCTCACCCCTTCCCCAGGAGCTGCTCAGGATTAGGACTGAGTCTTGGTACTTGGCAACCCTGTGCAAGGTTCCCAGCTTTCTTTCCCTTCAGCCTCGGGTCTGCAACCTTCCTTCATCTGCTCTCAATGCCTTCCTTCTGAAGTCCTGCTTGGAGTGTATCAGTCTTCTTCGTGGTCTGACCTCTCAATGGGAGAAGCTCTTCCTGACTGCATCTGCTTAGCCATCATAGTTCTTCTCTCACCTGACTGTTATTTTCTTCCCTCTGTGAAACCTCTGTGGAACAGCTAAGCAGGCTAAGAAGCAGGCTGCTGAGAAGGAACAGGAGCTGCTAAGACAAAAACAGAAGGAACAGCAGCAAATGATGGAGGCTCAAGAGAGAAGCTTCCAGGAAAACATGGCCCAACTCAAGAAGAAGATGGAGAGGGAAAGGGAAAACTATATGAGAGAGCTGAGAAAGATGCTGAGTCACAAGCTGAAGGTGAGTCTGAATGAAGCTTGGTAGTTCTTGAGGCACAATGCCAGTTCCTCAGTTAGGGAAGGGCCAAAATTTTTAGCCCAGTCAAGATTCCAGAAGGAAACACAAAAGGCATATATTTCACTTAAATTTCAAATACATATGAATTCTACCGAAGCCTGTTAAGTCTATAAGACTTCAGCACTTTCTGTCATGGTAGACTTTGGAGAGTACACATGACATCCCCTATGGTGCCAGGCTGCTGTTTGTGGTGATTATAGGAGGGTCTCACTGTGCCCCAATTAATTAGGACCTGAGTCCACCAGTCCTTAGGATTGTCGGCACAACCATCAAAAGGACCCAAAATAGATCCATCTGTATGAAAGTATCAGATTTGGCTTGATATGAAATGATACCGAATGATCTCAAATTGCTCCATTTGTTTCTGTATCTGCCTGACTCATTCTATACAACCTGAGTAAAATATATTCCCTGTCCCAACCTGGAGCTTGACAATCAGCATTTTATACAGAGTCAGTGGTCCCTATTATTTGCTGGATGAGCATGGCCATGCTACATCAGTGGAAAGAGGAATCCATTAGAATTAAACCTGCATTCCCTCTCAAAGGGGATTCATTGTGCTGGAAGGAAATTCCTCCCCACCTCCAGTGAGATGGTGCTGAGGAAATGTCACAAAGGTATAAATCATGGATACTCCCACCATTCAGGTCTAGTCATCTGGAAATGTCAGACAAACTCATCAAAGAGTTTCTAAGATGTTAGAAACATGGAAATGTGTTTAACTAATGAAATTGTTAAATACAAAACTCTGACTCTTAAAAATTGGGGATTTTCCAAAGTAGGCTCTTTTACTTTCATAGGTCCGAGAAGAACCGCTTACTGAAGGATTTAAAGACATATTTGAGTTGTTAAATGAAGAGATTAATCGACTGAAAGAAGAGATTGAAACAGCTGAAAATGAAGAGCCCTCAGTGTTTTCCCAGATTCTTGATGTGGCTGGCAATATATTTATCGCAGTACTACCTGGGGCTGCTAAACTAGTTGATTTAGGGATGGAAATTCTTAGCTCATGTATGTAATAGGCTAAGAATTCCTGCTAAGAAAATTATAAAATAAGGTTTCTTTTGTTAAAATGGCATAACACTGTTGCTCACTTTAAAAGTATATGTGTTATTGCAGTTTCATTTAAGAAAAGTTTAAAATTAAAAAGCAAATTTCAAAGAATATGGCCTGAAGTCCACAAAAACAAACTTAAATTTGACTGAATTAATAATTTATAGAAATGGGGGACAAGTTGGAAGATAAAATTATCCCTAGAAAAGATTTAAGTAAAGCAAAAAGACAAATGGTAAGATGAAGAAACCATTTTCAATTTGTATTGCAGTCACAGAGATAATTTGTTATAATTAGCTCTTGTAAATCAGTGAGAAGAGAGTAACACCACATATCTTAAACAGGCAAAAATATGATAATAACAATGTTTAATTTTACTGACAATAAAAGTTGTGCAAAAAAAAACTATGAGGTTCTCGCTTCAATTTATGATGGGCAAGAAAGAGCAGTTTGACAGGGCACTGAGCTGGCAAGGGTTTGGGGATATTGTCAGTGTCGCATATTTGCTAGTGAGAGTGTGAACTGTTGGAATCATGTATGAATTATTTAAGTTCACATACATTTGATGGGGGAGCATTTCCACATTTAGAAATCCATCAGATGAACTGATTTACTCAAACTGAAAATGGTGTATATAATAGTATATATGTTGCACCATTGCCTTAATGCCAAAAGACTGAAAAAAACATTAAAGTCCCTCTTTCAGGTACTGATAAGGGAAATCTTGGGAAATTCCTGGAATATTCTACAGCCACTAAAATGAAGGGAGAAGCTCTATTTGAACTAATGAAAAGTCTCCAAGATGTACTATAAGTAAAAAAAAAAAAAAAAAAAAAAGATGCAGGAAGCATGTAAAATTACTACCAGTGAATTTAGAAAATAATGAATTTGTGCATATATTATCTCCTTCTGGAAAAACAGAAAATAATCTAGTATACATTGTCATAGCAGGAATGAGCTTGAATAGTTGAGGCAAGAAATAAGAAGATAACTAATTTCACATCATATATTCTTCTGTGCCTTTATTTTTTTATAAAAATCTATTGCATTAATGTTATATTTATTGTCTTTGTTGAGTGCTTTAGGTCAACAAATACAGATTTCATTTGGTTCTTACCATAACCTTGAAGGACAAATGTTATTATCTTCAGTTTGTGGATAATAAAAGGAAGATAGGGAAATTAATCTATTTGCCCAAGATCATTGGTTAGGTTACCAAGTTATTACCTCAGCTTGTGTTTCATAACTCCAATTCCACTACATAGACTTTAATATCAAGGAATGGAAGAATAACTCTTAAACTGAGTTGTCAGACATATCAAAAGCAAAACAAACATATAATTGTCAAGATGAAGACAAATATAATATACCTAATTGAAAAAATAGGATTAAAGGATTTTATACTACTTATAAAGTCTTGTTTTCTTGTATTCCAAATAGGGAGCCCTATTTCGTTACAAAGAAGTACTGCCACAGCATGGATTTGATCTTTGATCTAATTTTTTCAAGATTTTGTGAGACCAAGCAAACTCTTATGAAAATCTCTTGTTCTTTCCTCTTCCAAGGCATTATGAAACCAGAAAAAAAAGCTCCTCTGATTTGTGCACTCCAGAAGTCTTTCACTCTTTTGTCAATATGGTTTTGTCCTCTCTCTTGAGTCTTTTGTACATTTGTCCTCTTCATGCAGGCAGCATTAACTAGGGTGACTTTAGCACCATAATAAATTACATTCTATTGTAGCACCTCTACCAACACCGCAAACACATAGCCTCCACCTCCATCCAGTCTCTCAGGGAGCTGAAAACACTTTTATATGCTAATCCACCAAAAAAAATCATACTTTGTGATCTTCTGTGTCTTTAATATTTTACATGAACTTATTAATATGTCTTTAAACATGGATAAAACAATGATTAAAATTAAAAAGGAAATAGTAATAAATGAATGGGAGAGTTCCCATGATAGGAAGAAAGTTATTTATACCACTAGAAATAGCATAAGTCATCTCAACAGGAAAAGCCGGCTCATCAGAACAAAGAACTAAAAAGGGCACAAGACATGCATCCTAATTTCGTTTTTATTATGACCTTTCAATAAAGATTTCAAAGTTTATTCCAAAGTATATTTTCAGATAAAAAGTCCCCTAGGCTGTTGCTTGGAGGGGTCTCTAAATGCTGTCTCACATTTATAAAGACGATGAAGTAGAAAGAAATTTTTTCCTCAACTCAACGTTTAGGAATTTGTATTGGCTCTCTAGTGCCCAGTGCTTGAAGAACTCGAATGAACTCCTTGCAGTTCCATAAACTGGGCCTATGCTTTTGACTGAGAGCCTTTGCATAAGGGACACAGACTTCTTAAAACCCTGTTTCCTCACCCTCTATCTGTTATCTCTCAACCCCTACTCATCCTTAAAGTGTCCTACTTCCTGACTTTCCAAGGCTAAATGAGATGCCCTTCTCAGTGTTGCCATGGCACCATCTTGTCACTCCTACCATTGAAGATGTTATATAGATGTAATATTAAAAGTGCCTATTTACTTCTGTCTGCCACCTTTGATATCAGATCCCAGGTCTTCATCAACTTGTCTTTAGTTCTCAGCACAAAACTCACCGCATAAGCTGAGGTGTGGGCTAAATACATAAGCTACCCTCCAATAAATCCACAATTTACCATAAGTTCACTGTATTTACAATTTCTAGAGCTCTCAAAATAAAGGACACAATTTTAGAAACCAGTGCAGACGGGAGTCACTGAATTAGAAAGAACATGCACACTTGTCTGGATCTACTCTGTTCTCTCTGAGGGACTGGACACCTCATGGCCCCTGTGTACCTCAAGCTTCTCACCTATGATAATCACGCCAGAATGAAGTTACTGCCTTTGGCTCACGGGGCAATTACAATGTTTAACATAGTGAAGGAAGTGCCAGAAACTTAGAAAAAGTGGGCTCTTTCAGCTAATAAACAAGTATTCATCTGCATTTACTATTTTTTTATTATTTTACTTTCGGTGCATACTATATCTGGCATTTCTCCCCATGTTATCCCTCCCCACCCTCTCCTCCCTCCCCACACCCCTCATTTACTCTTCAACTATACGTAATTCACAAAGATTCAGTTGTCCCTGGAGCTATTTTTTGGTTCCCTGTTACAAAAGACATATTTTATTGTTGAGAAGAAAAGAAGCAGCTGATTTCCTAGCATTGCTTCTATTTTGAAGTAACCCTGCTCTACTTTCACTTTTCATACACACCCACCCACCCACCCACACACACACACACACACACACTCACACACATGATCTTACTCTCTTCTCTCATTGTTTATTTTTTTCTCTTTCTTTTAGAGAGAGCATGGAACAGAGAAAGAATGTGATATTAATTAAAATGATTTTTCAAGTTAGAATCTCACATAATGACTTGCTAGTTTGAAGTTGCTCAGTGGCTTTAGTTTGACATTAATCTCTTTCTCTTTTTCCTCCTTAGACAAAGGGAATAACAAAGACTCCATATTTTGAAGCAGCATTATGTTGTTTGAATCATATATGTAAATAATCTAGCCTAGAAAGCAATTGATAAATAAGAAACATTATTGTTGTTCACTCACCAAACGCAGAGGCATTTTAGTGAAGTGGTTGATAGTATGGGTTTTGGAACAAGACTTGGGTTCAAATATTACTTGGTAACTCTGTAATATTAACAAGTTGTTAAATTTCTCGGTAACACTGAAATTTGGTGAAATTGTAGAATGCAAGGGAGAATGGGTGCAGTGGCTCAAGCCTATAATCCCAGCACTTTAGGAGGACAAGGCAGGACAATCACTTGAGACCAGGAGTTGGAGACCAGCTTCACAACACACTGAGACTTCATATCTAACGCGCGGGCGCGCGCGCGCGCGCGCACACACACACACACACACACACACACACACACACACACACATACACACACACACACACATGCTGGCATAATGCCTCATTTGTAGTTTCACCTACTTGGAGCCTGAGGCAAAAGAATCACTTAAACCCAGAAGTTTGACATTACAGTGAACTGTGATTATGCCATTGCATTCCAGCTTAGGCAACAGAGCAAGAACTTATCTCTAAAAGAGAAATCAATACAAAATAAAAATACAATGGTATGATCTACATAAAGATGTTATCACTGTGTCTGTATCAAGTGTGCAATCAATGAGAGCTACCTTCATCATTATTTATTATTTATTAAATGTTAAGCATCAGGACCTGGGTTAGGCGCTAATAATCCAAAAGTATAAAAGACACAGATATTCCCTTAGGGCACTTACAGTGCTCAAGCTAATATTCAAGGTAATTGGACCTAAAAAAATATTATAGGCCGGGCACGGTGGCTCAAGCCTGTAATCCCAGCACTTTGGGAGGCCGAGGCGGGTGGATCACGAGGTCAAGAGATCGAGACCATCCTGGTCAATATGGTGAAACCCCGTCTCTACTAAAACTACAAAAAATTAGCTGGGCATGGTGGCGCGTGCCTGTAGTCCCAGCTACTGAGGAGGCTGAGGCAGGAGAATTGCTTGAATCCAGGAGGCGGAGGTTGCGGTGAGCCGAGATCGCGCCATTGCACTCCAGCCTGGGTAACAAGAGCGAAACTCCGTCTCCAAAAAAAAAAAAAAAAAAAAAAAAATTATATGAGGCTTTCTCATCCACATTCTTCTCAAACTGGCCCACAAACATGAGATAAATAGCACAATTTTAAATGACCCAATGAAGGGATTTTTAAAAATTAATATGCAAGCAGTCTCTAAGATCTTTTCAAATAACGAAACAGCAAATTCCTCGTTGAGAAATCATGACAAACCCTCTTACTGGCACAGCTGCCAGCAATTCCTTTTATGGCTAATGAGTCACTGCTTTAGTTAATACTTTCTGTTTCATATTAGTTCATTCCTTTGCAGAGGTTACCTCTTTTTCTTGTCTTTCATCAGGTCTCTGAAGAAAATCTGGGAAGCCCCGGACATTGGAGGGGCAAAGTGAAAGCTCACAGTTACTGAGAGAAAAAAGACGGAGAAAGCAATGCTGCCAAATTCAGAAGAAAAGAGAGGAGGATAAGAATCAACTTTCACATTGAAGCAACCTTCTTTCCAACTCTAAAGGATTTCTGATTTAGATAAGACTGGGACAGGTTGGGAATCTATTTACCAGGGTTCATCAGTTTTATCCAAACTGACCATTCCCATCACAGGAACGGTCAGACTACTTACGGAGGGAATGGTCCCTCCATAGATGGGAATGTTTCCAAATTGTTATTTCTTTCTTGACACCATCTTAAGTTAACTTTATCATTATCGGTATCTGCTTAATAAAGTTAGGACTCCATCACATTCACTTTGCCACTTTTAGAGCTCTAGGTAAATGAAGGTAGGCAACTTGGGATCAGCAAAAAGAGGGAACAAGTTTTTGTTTTTGTTTTTGTTTTTGTAGGAGACAGAGTAGATGTTAGTTTTATTCCTCTTAAATGGTTGAAGGAACATAATACTTACAAAGCACTGCATTTTCTACCAGCCAGTTCATCAGCCCTTTCTTTCTTTTTTTTTTTTTTTAATTGTATTTGGGCTATGGTATACATGTGCACGTCCTGCATCCTGCAGGACTGTTGCATAAGTACACACATGCCATGGTGGTTTGCTGTCTCCATCACCGACCCCCCACTCGTTGCCTACATCAGGCATTTCTCCCAGTATTATCCCTCCCCATCCTCCCTGCCTCCCCCCCCCCCCGCCCCCCCCCCCCTCCCCTCCACCCCCACTGCCCCCCCCTCCCCTCCACCCCCACCAGCTAGCCCTGTGAGAGTTGTTCCTTTCCCTATGTCTGTGTGTTCTCATTGTTCATCACCCGCCTGAGTGAAAGCATGTGGTGCTTGGTTTTCTGTTCTTGTGTCAGTTTGCTGAGAATTATGGTTTCTAGGTTCATCCATGTCTCTACAAAGGGCACGAACTCATCGTTTTTTATGGCTGCATAGTATTCCATGGTGTATATGTGCCACATTTTTTTTGTCCAATCTATCATCGATGGGCATTTGGGTTGGTTCCAGGCCTTTGCTATCTTAAACAGCACTGCAATGAACATACATGTGCATGTGTCTTTGCGATAGAACGATTTATAATCCTTTGGGTATATACCCAGTAATAGGATTGCTGGGTCAAATGGAATTTCTATTTCTAGATCCTTGAGGAATCGCCACACTGTCTTCCACAATGGTTGAACTAATTTACACTCCCACCAACAGTGTAAAAGTGAAGAACAAGTTATTATAATTAGGGAGCTTATAAAATCTTTGTGCAGCTACTTTTCTGAGTCAGTCATTGATTGAGTCCCATTTTAAGGTAGTATACCTCATGCTATAAAATGAAACAGAAGTCTTTCCAGAAGTCTCTGTCAGCCATTGCTGTAAAAGAAAATGGGTCCTGATCACAGAAAAATAAATGGCTTTTTTTGCCATTGTCCCCTGAAGAGATAGGAAGTAGATAATTAGATATAAGCCTTCAGCAGAGCAAGTCAGAAGTAATCAGCTCTATATTACAAACAAAGCACTCTATTATAGGATAAGAAGGAAAACTGTAAATGCTTATAGTCTATGATTGTATGTTAAAAAATTAGGCATTTTATACCACAATCATTTTAAATTACAAGGATTGACATATTCAAGGTAAAAACAAAAATTAAGATATTACTGCAGGAAGGCCTCTCACTTGTTTTATTTTTATTTACTTATTTAATTTTTATTTTCAACTTTTGTTTTTATTTTCTTCAAAATTAGATTTTCACATAATTTATAGAATCAAACAATTCTATGAGACTTATTCAAAAAAAAAAAAATCCTCCTAGTAAATCCCCCACCTTTACCTCTTCTCTTTTTCAATAGCAACCACTTTTAATTATTTTAGCTGTTTCTTTGTTATTTACCTCCACATATAAAAATAACAACCTTGTATTTCCTACCTTTTGAATTTCTAATTTTATGTATCATATAGGGAAAATAAGGATTTAAGCCTTACTCATCATCTCCATTCCTTTATCACACACCCCCTCACCACTATTACTACCACCCACGTTCACACAAACTCTGCCCATGATCCCCTCAATATAATTATATCATACTTCTATTTAGATCAATACTCAGTGTTTGCATTAGTATGACAATTTCAATGTTATTTATAGCATTGACACTATAGATATAAATGATATCGATATACTTAACATCTTTATTTTTCCTTTCTTGAACAATTTTGTTTTTCCTAAAGTAATGCTTTTCTTTTTTTTGTTTAGTTTTCTATTTGTTACTAATTCAGCCTCTATTTTCCCCCTAGTAACTTCCATTCTTTTCTGGAATTCATATTATTCAAATGTAGAATCTATTAAGGGGGAAGTAATGTAATTATCTTGTATTTTCTCTCATTTATTTCATCTTCATTTTTAAGGTTTTTTTTTTTTGCTTTAAAAAAGATTTTCTCAACTTTATCTTATGAGCTTTCTATTGAATTTTATTTATATACTATACTTTTAATTTTCAAAAGATATGTCATGGTTTGAATATTTTTGTCCCCTCCAAAACTCATGTTGAAAGTTAATTCCCAACAGTGTAACAGGGTTGGGAGATGGGGCCAAATGGGCAGAGCACTCATGAAGAGATTAATGACTATAAAAAGAGCCTCTGTGAGTGAGTCACTCTGGAGGATCAAGGCTCCAAGGCACCGTCTTGGAAGTAGAGACCAGGCTCTCCCGAGACACCAAACCTGTTAACACTTTGAGATTGGACTTCCCAGCCACCAGAACTACGAGAGAATATGTTTCTATTCTTTAGTAAATTATCAAATTATCAAGGCCTGGTTAAACAGGATATGCCTACAATTGTGTATATACTGCTGCACGTGAAGCAGAAGTCACACCAAAAACAAGCCCTGGCTCATCAGGCAATGTTTCCTGATGCTGGCTTCATTACCTGAAATAATTGAAAGCAATATGCAAACTGACATACATACAAGTAATAGACAATGAATCATAAAGCACAGAAAGGTCAAACTCTGGTAACAAAATCTGTTGATTTTCTATATGTCAGATGCGAGATATCAAGCTTGAGTGAGTAACAGGTAAATGCTGATTCACAGCAAATATTAAGAACCAGTGATGGGCTACGGTAACTCAAGGGGCTTCCTGCATAGTGAGAGGAAGAAGCCATTGGGTAACCTGAGTCCCACAATATGACCAGGCCCTGTCCACAGAACGGCTTGGAAGAAATCCAGACCAAGGCTAGGTGAGAATGGTGTCTATGTTTCAAAGTATGGAGATATGTGCGCTAGAAGATTCCTCAGGTGAAGGTTCCCATTACTATATGCAGGAGCTCAGCGAGCTCAGTCCAAAGATCTAAATGTGAATGTGAAAAGTTACCAAAGGAAATTTTGTAATTAAGTCAGAAAATGTGACATACCTAGAAAAAAATTCATTTTCTGAACAATGAGATACAAGAAGATCTGGTGGGAATTCAACCTGGTACATCCTTCTGGAGAAGAACTTGGCAATAACTAACGGAATAAAATGCTCTTTTTTTTGATCCAGCAATCTCACTTATAGGACACTATCCTAAAGTAACTCCTATAGCAATGTAAAAATACACTCTCACAAGGTTAGCAGAGGTTTTCATTGCAGCATTGTTTGTAATTGCTAAATATCCGAAACAATCTAAATGTCTATACATAAAAGAATGGTTGAATAAACTGTGGTATGTTCACATAAATGGAATAGATGCCTGTAAAAGGAACTGAGAAATCTTCCTATGAACTGGTATGGAGAGATTTCCATATTTCCACATGATGTGATCTTTATGTTAGAAAACGTGAATAAAAAACATACATGTATATGCTCATTAATGAAAAGAATGTCCAAGAAAGGTAAACTATAAACTAACAAGATTGAGCATCTGTGGAGGATGAGTGGCCGTGAGGTGGAAAGAATATAAAGACAGCTGGAATGGGAATGCAGTGCTAAGATGAAGGAAAAGTGACACTTCTCTGACTACAGCTTGTTGTAAAGCTCTGACTTTCATAACTGTGATATTTTACATACTCAAAATAAATACATACATACTTAAAATCAACCAACAAACAAACCTAACTATATTACAGATAAATGATTTAACCACACCAAAGAGAATAGAGAAGGAAAAGGTAGTTTAAGCAACTTTGGAATACAGTATTTTGACTGTATGTGTAAGACCAAAGACAAAAAGAACTGTTAACTAATAGTGCACTCTAGTTAGCAAATTTATCTTACAAAGACTTATGAGTTAGTAACTTTAATTGTATATAGTAGAATTGAGCAAATAATTTATTATATGTAATGACATACTCAGAGAAAAGGTTTTAAAAACAAGGAGGGAAAGTATGAATAAATTTTGTTTTGTTGAATTGGAATTAGAAGTATCAAAAGAAACAAGCTTATATATAGAAATGTACAGATAAGAAATAAATGTAGATGTTTGTATTCATGTGCTAGTATACAAACATAGATTCCTTAATTTTCCCTGTGGGAAAGTAATGACTAGAAGTAATGACTACACCTAGTGTGATATCTTGGTGTCTATGTACCAGTATCCAATGAAAGCAACCAGAGCCTTTGGGAAAAATGGTCAATTCTAAGACTGAAGCAGGTATTAGATAAGCCTGCCAGAAGGAAAGAAGCAGTGAAAATATGATGGAAGCATGTCCAAAGAATTTGGGCTCTAGCTTGAAGGAGCTCTCAGTGAACTAATCTGGGACGAGTTGAGCAATGAGATAAATAATGATAGTAAAGTGTTACCCGGATGATAAGATAAATATCTGTAGGTCTACACTGATACAACTAAATGATTAAATAAGTAAATAAAACAAATGAAGGAGAAAGGGCAGTTCTTGCTCACATTAAAACTCTAATAAATATAGAAGGAATGATGAGAATAGAAAATTACCTTCAATCAAACACAACAGTAAGTTATAAGCAAGAATTATCAATAGATGCTAAAAACAGTGACTGAAAAATTATGAAAGTATGATGAAACTTTATTTGCATAGTCTTCAAAGTGTCTCTCCAAATGGTGTTTTTTTAGTGACAAAATGGTACATAACACTTTGTGGTGGAGAAATCTGGCAGAGACCACCTTAACCAAATGATCAAAATTAAGGTCACAGCATTAGAAAAAGTCATGTGAACACCATGAATCCCTTAATAGGAGACACTGAAAATGGCAGAACATCACTTCAGTGACATTTGCAAAATAAAATGCATAATTTCAATCTAGTAATAAAGAAACATCAAAAAAATTGAGGGATGAATACAAAATCACAGACCAGTCAACTTCTAAACTGTCAAAGACATGAAAGACAAAGAATAGAAGCTATCAAAGATGCAAAGAAAATACAGAAACATAATGACTAAATGCAATGAACAGTCCTGGACTGATCATGGAGCAGAATGACATAGTTGGAAACCGGTGAAATGTGAATAAGGAGTGTAGGTTAATTATCATTGTATTAATGTTAAAATCCTTGTTCAATGGTTATATAAAATTTTAGCATTACAGGAAATGATATATGGGAACTTTTCATACCCATTGTACATCTTTTCTGTAAGTCTATTTCAAAATAAAGTTATTTTTAAAGAAAGCCAGTGGACCAATTTGTAGGACAGCCTTAAAGAGAAATAGGGCTTTAAAAAATGTATATGAGAAAAAATTCAAGCATAGAAATCAAAAATGTAACCCATATTGTAAAGCTCAGCATGGCTAGCTACCTAGAAATTGCTTTCCATTTCATCTTTTTCCTGGCACAGAAGGGAACACCACCCTGGACATGGCTCCAGAGATTCACATGGCAGGCCCAGTGAGCCTCATTGACAACGTTGAAGGGCAACTGGTGGTGAATCCAGAAGCTCTGAAGATCCTGTCTGCAATTACGCAGCCTGTGGTGGTGGTGGCGATTGTGGGCCTCTACCGCACAGGCAAATCCTACCTGATGAACAGGCTGGCTGGGAAGAACAAGGGTAAGTGACACCAGCAAAGCTTTGCCAAGTCCCTCCTGTCCATACACACTGCGATCATCCAGCCTTGGAATGTGAGAACAGAAAGTTAGAGATGAGAATGAATATTGAAAGCTAACTTTTAATCCATTAATGGGCTCTTTACATTGACTTCAGAGGATTATAGTCAGCTGACTCTTTCTTCCCACTTTACTTTTATTTTCCCAATTGAGAGTATAAATGTGCCTTTCTGGAAGGAATACATAAATAAAGTTAACCTCCATAATAATACTTATAAAACATTTATTAAAATATTTATGTAGTGACAGCAAGCTTTCAATGAACTTTAAGGAAAAATGAATGTTTCAGTGTCTGTTAGATATACAACTTTCCTATTTACTGGATTGTAATTAAGATTTATGCCAGTTGTATTTTCTTTTATCTCTTTTACCTTTGATTATGTTAACTTTTATCTCAATTTCCAGAAACGCCTACTAATTAATCTCTTCTCCATTTTATCCTCTCCTTTGCAGGCTTCCCTCTGGGCTCCACAGTGAAATCTCACACCAAAGGAATCTGGATGTGGTGCGAGCCGCATCCCAAGAAGCCAGGACACACCCTAGTTCTGCTCGACACTGAGGGCCTTGGAGATATAGAGAAGGTAAGAAGATAAATATTTTTAAAATTTCACTTAGATAGATTAAAATCTACATAAACAAGGTCAGATCAATAACCTCTTTGCACTATCACTCCTACTCCTTGATTTAGGACTCTAGTTAATTATATTAATATATTCTTTTTTTTTAATTGATGTGGTGTAAGCATTTAGAGTATACAGTAAGTTCAATTGATTAATTTTGGTAAACCTATAAAATCATGGCTAATAATGTTTTCAGTCATTTTTCTTTCATATTATAGTGAAATGTTTTGGTAAGGCTGCTGAAGGTGCTTATAAACTTCAGTAGACATTTTAAAAACGTGTCTGACTTTTTACAGTGGGAACCCATAAAGGTGGTAAAAATTTTCACATCTACAGCAGCACCAGTAGAAAGAGAAGCAAAGTGTAACATCTAATGATAACATCTTTGCTCATTAAGGATAATGTATTAATACTTTTATAAATCTTAGACATAGGAAGCTGTTATTGAAGGAGCCTATTTTAACTACTGTGTAAAAAATTTCTTACCATGATGTGCCATGGAAATGGAATAGAGCCATAAACTAAGTTTAGGATACCAGTTTGAATTCTAGTAGCTGATCAAAATAGCTTCTAATACCAAGTGCTCACGTGTTTTCCACTAACATATACATTTATATATAATACCTTAAAGTATACATCATGAACACTATAAATTTGCTCTACAGATGGAAAAATACTGCATAAAGAAGTGAGTTACCTAAGTTTTCACAGCTAGTAAGAGACAGGGTTGGAGTTCAGTCAGTCTTCAGCTATCTGAATTGATTGTTCATTCTGTTAGTCACTGTTCTGTGTGGCTTCTACAATAACTTACAGGGTGACAATGAGAATGACTCCTGGATCTTTGCCCTGGCCATCCTCCTGAGCAGCACCTTCGTGTACAATAGCATGGGAACCATCAACCAGCAGGCCATGGACCAATTGCAGTATCTCTTTTTTTTGTGGTCCAGAACAGCATTAAACCTAGAAAATAACAGCTTCATTTTTTCATCAGGTACAGAGGCAAACAGGTACTGAAGAATTCGTAAGTCCCATCTTTAATAAATCTCATGCTGAAAATCTCACTGTATCTCAATCTCTACCAGAAGTTCAAGTCTTCCTGGTTACATATATCCTTAGACGCTCAGCCACCCAAGACTCTGTATATCATCTTTCTGACTTAATCTCCTATCCCTGTCCAAACCCTCAATGTCCTCAAGAACTCATGGTCTTACTTTTGCAATTCTCTATATTCTTATCATCTTCTCCAAGTTTTGCCTTCTAACTGATACCTAGCTATACACTATAGATACTATTTCTGCTACAGACCTCTCCAGTGGTCTTATGTGATAATTATTTTTTATACCATACCTTGCATATCATAAGTCTAAGAGATGAGTTAGGTATCCTTCTTCTACCATGTTAGAGTTATGGACATCTTCTCATTCCTTTACCATTAGGAAGAGAACCTTCTTTAATACATATACCCTTTGACGAAGCCACATTTTTGTTGCAATTATCTAGCAACGTTCCAGTAAATACATTCCTCATTTACTAAAGATTTTAGCTCCTAGTGTCCTTTTAGAGAATAGCAACCAATAGACAATTATCTAATACCCTGGTGTCTCAGTTCTATCACCTTATTGGAACTCCCCAATAACTCTCATTGTTATTCTCCACTCTCATACATTACCTAACCTAGTTCATTATCAATGACCTCACCATTTCCATTAGCTTAGTTTCAAGCATTACACTGAATTAGATTTCATCAAAGTCACCATCGTATTTGTGTATGTAATGCACAGTTCTCACCTCATTTGATCTTCCAGTCTTCCAAAAGCCTTTTTTTTCTGTCTAGGAGCATTTGATAAATTTGATCCCTTCCACCTTTCTGAAATGCTTGTTTTGTTTGGAATTGGTTCCTATTAGAATACCATAGTTCCCTAATTTTTCACCTTTCTTATTGGTGGGCTTTTTCAGATTACTTTGCTGCATCCTCTTTCTAGTTTTAGCCTCTAAATATTATAAATCTTAAGCTCTTGTGCCTCTTTTCTCTTTCTACTCCCAGTTCCCAGATGATCACATCCAGCCTCAAGGTTTTCAGTAGCACCAATATGTCAATCACCATCAAATTTATATTACCAAGTATGAACAAATTCAAACTTTTTTATCATCTCCATTCAGATGTGTAAGATACATCTTGAGCCTAAAATATACAGAATAAAACTTAATTTTTCTGTCCAAAATCATTCCTTCCCAGTCTTTCCAATCACAATAAATTCCCACATCATTCGTAGAAGTGCTCAGATCAAAAACTTAGGAATCATCTCGGATGATTCCTTTCCTTATGTCCTGGAAATTATTAATCATCAAATTCTTTCAGCTCCACTATCAAAGTTATTTTCCTAGACTGGCCAATTCTCACTACTTCTTCCATGATAACTCTAAGTTTTCAATACCTCTCAACTTGGTTATCTTTCCAACTACCTAATTGTTTTTTGTTTTTGTTTTGTTTTGTTTTGCATATGCATTTGACTCACAGAGACAATGCCAGCCAGTATGGTTTTTGTTAAAAAAAAAAATCATACTATGTCCTCTCTTCACTTGAAACCCACCAATGACTTCCTATTAACTTTTTATTCAATTTCAAACTTCTTACTTTGGTTTACAGAGCTTACATATCCCTACCTCTATTTATTTTAAGGCTTCTGCCCTACCACACTGGACTTCTTGATATATGTTGGACACATTCAGTGATTTCCTATCTAGGGGCTTGCAGGCTCTGTGATCTCTGTCTGCAATGCTCCTCCAGTGGATTTGTATATGACTGGCTCCTTCAATTCATTCAGATCACTGCTCAACTACAATGTCAGAGATAATTTACCTGGAAAACTACATAAATCAGCACCACATGCAAATACACATGGTTATTCTCTGCTTTCCTTATTGGTAGATGTGGGAGATACCAGAGTGTTAGATAACTGTCTATTGGTTGCTAGTTTCTAAAAATACACTAGGAACTAGTTGCCCAGTTTATTTTTCTTCAAGACAATTGTTATCAATACCTGATAATTTATTATATTTTTATTTACTTGTTTATTGTTTGTTTCCATGATTAGAATGTAAGCTCTATAATGGTAGCATTGTCTCATTCATTACAGTATTCTTAGTCCCTGGGACAGTGCTTATTTCGTAGTAGGTGCTCAACAAGTGTTTGTGAGTGAATGAATTCTGTAAATAAATGTTTGTGAATCAATGAGCTAATCAAAAGAAACTGAATTATTTTAGGTAAGCATTAGGATAAAATGTAGTATAAAAAGTGTCATTTTCTGTAATTTTCTTAACTTAGCGTCTCAGTTATGTGACAGAGCTGACAGATCGAATCAAGGCAAACTCCTCACCTGATAACACTTATGTAGAAGACTCAGCTGACTTTGTGAGCTTTTTTCCAGCATTTGTGTGGACTCTTAGAGATTTCTCCCTGGAGCTGGAAACAGATGGAGAACCCATCACTCCCGATGACTACCTGGAGCTTTCGCTGAAGCTAAGAAAAGGTTTCTGGGTCTAATCGTTGGTGGGTTAATATGTAAAGAGCAGATAATATCAAAATGACCATTTCTGTGTAGTACTAAAAATTATAATTTTTAACTGTGTTTTCCTGACTGTTCTGCTAAAGGAAATGGACATATTACTTGATTATATCAGTTGGAACCAACTTTAAATTGCATTACCTATCTCTTCTTGGAGACTTTCCTTTCTCTACCTTTTTAATTGTTTATTCTGCCTTCCTTATTAATTTCCTCCTTACATGGGCTTTGTGAAAATCATAAAATTGAAAGATTATATTCGAAGTAATTAATCTGAAGTTTTATTACCTCTAATTTTCACTCCTGTAGGTACTGATAAAAAAAGTAAAAGCTTTAATGATCCTCGTTTGTGCATTCGAAAGTTCTTCCCCAAGAGGAAGTGCTTCATCTTCGATCGGCCCGCTCGGAGGAAGTACCTTGCTCACTTGGAGCAGTTGAAGGAGGAAGATCTAAACCCTGATTTCATAGAACAAGTTGCAGAATTTTGTTCCTACATCCTCAGCCATTCCAATGTCAAGACTCTCTCAGGTGGCATCACAGTCAATGGGCCTCGTGAGTCACTCTCTCTACCGACTTCCTACCTGGACTTTCTCCTTTCACCTATTGTAGAGGATAAAATGGAATGCATAAGGGTCACTTCTGACAAATTCATAGTCTATTGATGGCAAGGAAAACACAACATGAAGGTCATATTATAAATTTTACATGAAAACTAAAACTATAGTATCATCTCATATTCCTTGCAAGGAGGATAAAGAAAAGAACTAGAATCTAATTCTGCTGTGGTCAACTTCTCCAGCAACTTCTCAGCTCCCTCTTAATAAAACAAACTCAGGATATATATATGTGTATATATATATATACACTAAGCAAGAAAGAAAAAAAGCAAATACTATATGTAAGGTAGATTTTGCCGCTAACTGCAGTACAATTCTCCTGTTCAACAATTCAGAAATATTTAAGGAATGCCTGTAATGTAATGTACCAACCACTGGGTATAATGATGGATAAAAGAAATGTGACTTTTATCCTCATTCCAGCATAATAGGAGCAAAAGGTACTTTTGTAAAAAGTAAAACGAAAACTTATAATGATAAATAGTGATTAACATAATGCATAAAAATAATAGGCTTCTATGAAAGAGTAAAGGGAGGGAGATATAATTTAGACTGTGAGAGAATGCTTGTCTGTGAATGTCATATGTAAGATGAGAACTTAAAAATGATTGATTTGGCTGGCTGTGGTGGCTAATGCCTATAATCCCAGCACTTTGGGAGACTGAGGTGGGTGAATCACTTTGATCTCAAGAATTTGAGACCAGCTGGGCAACACGGTGAAACACTTTCTCTACTAAAAATACAAAAACTAACCCGGCATTGTGGCTCACACCTGTAATCCCAGCTACTCAGGAGGCTGAGTAGGAAGGATCACTTGAGCCTGGGAGACAGAAGTTGCAGTGACCCAAGACTACACCACTGCACTCCTGCCTGGGAGACAGAGTGAAACCCTGTCTCAAATACATAGGTACCTATATAAATATATATAAAATAAATGATTAAGGGCTAACCAAAGCATATAGAGAAATAGTTTTACAGCAAAAATAATGTCATGTGGAAATGCCCAGGGCAGGAAAACTTTGCAGCTTCAAGAAAATAGAAGACAGGGGCTTAGCATGGAGATTCATGCCTGTAATCCCAGCACGTTGGGAGGCCAAAGTGGGAGAATTCCTTGAGCTTTGGAGTTTAAGACCAGCCTGGCCAAACTAGCAAGATGCTATTATCATAAAAAAATTAAAAATCAGCCAAATGTGTGGTACATGCATGGAGTCCCAGCTACTCAAAAGGCTGAGGCAGGAGGACCCAGCATGAGCCCAGGAGTTCAAAGCTATGGTGAGCTATGATTATGCCCTGCACTTCAGCTTGGGTGACAGAGCAGAATTCCATTTCCATGTCTTTTAATGAAAATAGAAGAAAGACAGGTGATTGGAACAAGAGTAGACTGAATAGAGAGGTGTCATAATTAGAGAAGTATAAAGGGGTCAGGTCTTGAAAGGATTGGCAAAGAACTTTGAGGAGATTAGAGTTTGTCTAAGTTCTAGGGAAGAGTTTTTGGCAGTTAGGTAAAGTTATCTAACTTATGTTTATACATATCTTTCTGAATATTTTGTAGATAATTTGTTGGAGTGGTGAATGGGAGAGAATAAGAGGATGGATGCTATTTGCAGTGGCTGAGCAATAAATGGGCATTGGGTTAGTCTCCGATTATGGCAGTAAAAACGGTGAAAATGTACAAGATCCAAACATATTTTGGATATCAAATCCAAAAGGCCTGTTGATGGAGGGAATATGGATTTATGAAAGGAATAAGAAGGAAGTGCCAAGCCTATCTCCAGAGTTTCAAGTTTAGCAATTGCTTTAATGGCTGTGTTATTTAATGAGATCAGGAGGAGAAATAGTTTTTCAGAGTGGATGAAGTTTTTATATTTAGATTATTTAATATTGAATTTCTTCTGATTTACACAGTAAGGAATATTAAAAGTGCATTAAAAATAAGGCACAAAACTTATTTTTAATCCAAAGCTCAAAATAAATGTCAAGGCAGGAAACAAAATATACCAGCCATCCATACAAATGGTACTTAAAACTACAGAGAGATGAGAAGGTCCATGATTTAGTCACAAATAATCACCTCTTGTTTGTGACCAGCCACTCCAGTTCACCTGAGATGAGGTCTTCCTGGCATGTGAGACTTTCAGTGTTATACCCAGCAAAGCCCTGACAAACTTAATGAGTTTATACCCTGCATGTAGTTCTGATGAGAGAATATGTAAGGAGGCATGTTTACCTAAGCCAGACACAGGACTAGTGGCCAGCACTACTAAAATTAATGAAAATTTAAAAGGCTAAGTTTTCTTATTGACCTTTTTCATAAATTAGGAGTGAAGAGAAAAAGGGAATAGAGGGAGAGATGAGAGAAAAGAAAGTTAAGAAAACACCTTGACCTAGTATCTCAGCCACAAAATATCCTATTCTATTCATTTCAATATCTTCCTTTTGTGTGAAGGAATTAGGAAAGAGTAACTTTAATTTCCTCTGTGACTAGAAATTAACAAATTATTCCATTACTATTTTTTATCCAAAAATTCTTTAAAACTATTCTTTGTGACACTCACTTGAAAAGCACACAAAATACTCTGTCCCACCAAGTGATGGTCACATTTTTTAAAATTTCCCTTTTGCAGGTCTAGAGAGCCTGGTGCTGACCTATGTCAGTGCCATCAGCAGCGGGGATCTGCCCTGCATGGAGAATGCAGTCCTGGCCTTGGCCCAGTTAGAAAACTCAGCCGCAGTGGAAAAGGCTGTTGCCCACTATGACCAGCAGATGGGCCAGAAGGTGCAGCTGCCCACGGAAACCCTCCAGAAGCTGCTGGACCTGCACAGGGACAGTGAGAGGGAGGCCATTGAAGTCTTCATGAAGAACTCTTTCAAGGATGTGGACCACAAGTTCCAGAGGAAATTAGGGGTATATTTGGTGTTCTACGTCATAAGAGGCAGAAAAACTTGGGAGAATAATTCTTTTTAGACTCCAAAATAGTTGCACTCAGTTATGTGTACATATTTGAAATAATTATTAAAAGACTAGAATATGCATAGCCTTAGACCTTTAAAAATGGCACCTAAGTTTTACAGAAACTCAGTTTTGTTAGTTTTTCCTCTATGGGTGCCATATTTTAAGAAAGTAAGTAGATTGTACAACAGCATTATTAAAGACTATGTCATTTTTTCCTTTTAAATTAAAAAAATACATTGGCTTTTATGTTCCCTGGTAATTATCAGTGGGGACTAAATTATTTTTAAATAACCCTAACAATGTGTTGTTTTTTAAATGTAAGCCAATGGTAAAATATTCAGAAAGCCACAAAAGAGAAATTAATTATATAATTTATTATAGAATGTTTTTAACGTCTACCTCATTCCAAGTGAACGAAGTATTTTTGCATGAAGAATGACCACTTGACAAGTGAAAATTCTCTTTTTAGCTAGGAAGGCGGGATCTTATAAATGATATGTTGCTACATTCTGAGGTTCTGGTGAAGCTAGATAGCTGATGTCAGCAATTGTCACCCTTCCAACCTAAGGAGGAAAAAGAAAGTTTCTTAGTTATGTTATCTTAAGTGATTTAATGTAGATAAATATGCTGCTTTATGGAACTTTCTAAATACTGACAATACCTATGGTACAATCTTCATTACTTTTATTAGTCCTATGCTGAGAAAATATTCTTATATTAAAGAATGTACTAAATAATCATGTACTCCTTACTGAGCACTTCTAAAAAAAGTTCCTGGGCCAAATACCTTACATCACCTCATAGAACCCTGCAGAGAAATTGATGAGATGAGTATTGCTCCTCTGCTGTACAGACAAGGAATCCTCAGTTCACAAAGGTTGTGTGTCACAAGCCACAGTCTAGCGGATCTTGGAACTCTAGGCAGGCTGCCTGACTCCAGTGTTTCTGCTCAGAACTATTCCTCAAATGAGATACTTGAAAAGATAAAAGTTTCATATGAAATAGTGTGTGCTTTGAGACTCATTCTCTGAAGCAGGAAAACTGGAAGAAAGGAGCTTTAGGAAATCACAAACAGAAGCAGATAAATTTCTGCAACAAGCACAACTTAGGGATATTCTAGGATCTAACAGCAAGGTGAGGAGGATGGAACTATTTAGAGGCCACAGTTTCTTCAAGGAGAAGCATTTCCCGGTCTCTATGTGGCTAACATCCTCCTCATGGCTTTACTGAAACATCTGTGCTGTTTTGTCACTTTGCAGGCCCAGCTGGAAGCAAAGCGAGATGACTTTTGTAAGCAGAATTCGAAAGCATCATCAGATTGTTGCATGGCTTTACTTCAGGATATATTTGGCCCTTTAGAAGAAGATGTCAAGCAGGGAACATTTTCTAAACCAGGAGGTTACCGTCTTTTTATTCAGAAGCAGCAGGAGCTGAAGAATAAGTACTACCAGGTGCCGAGGAAGGGGATACAGGTACTACACAGTGGGTACATTTCTTGGGACGTGCTGAGGGGATACTTTCAAAGCCCACTGGCAAGAAGGTAAATGGCACTGCAACCGGTGCCCAGGGTCTCTGCCTTTCATTTTTCCATTTACTGATTCAATAAGAGAGCCCATCATGAGAGAGATAGCAAGTTCCTCCTCGGAAGCACAGATGTAGCCCTCAAAAAAGTTTATCGAATTTACTCATTTATTTATTCATCCAGTCATTCAACAATTATTTGTTTTTGGCCTAGCTGTATGCCAGGCACTTGTCAAGTTGCTGGGGACACAGCAGTTAAAAAGAAAAAGAAAAAGAAAAAGGAAAAAAAAAAGGGCCAAGCTGTCTCAAAGTACACACAGGCAATTAGCAAATTATAGCTTATGAACAAATAATAATAACAGTTAACATTTATGTTGCACTTACTGTGTTCCAGGAACTGGGCTGAAAGCCTAGTTCATTAATACTAAGAACAATTATGTAAAGTATGTATTTACTAATATCCCAAATTTGTAGTTTTTTACTTTTTTGCTTTTGTGAGTACATGGTAGATACATATATTTATGGAGTGCATGAGATGTTTTGGTACAAGTATGAAATGCATAGTAATCACGTCATGGAAAATGGGGTATTTGGTCACTCAGGCGTTTATCCTTTGTGTTACAAACAATCCAATAATATATAATTTTTAGTTATCCTAACATGTACAATTTAATTATTATTGACTATAGTCACCCTTCTGTGTTATCAAGTTTTATGCTATCAAGTACGTTGTGCTATACTTGATTTTATTCATTCTTTCTACCCTGTCCTGGGAAGGTGGAGCTTTATTTATAAGTCCCTGAGGGGCTGCTGCCTTTTTTCAGAGATGCCCTGCCCAGCAAGAAGGGAGTCTATTCACAGTCTGCCTACAGAGACCTTGCTGAACTGCCTCAGGCTCCGCCCAGCTACTGTGTGAACTTCCCAGTGACTACACAGGCAAGGTTAGAACCACCTCAGTAATGGTGAACACCCCTCCCCCTACCAAGCTCAACCATCCCAGGTCGAACTCAGACTGCTGTGCTGGCTGCAAGAATTTCAAGCCAGTGGGTCTTAGCTTGCTGGCCTTTGTGGGGGTGGGACCTGCTGAGCCAAATGACTTGGCTCCCTGCCTTTTGCCCCCCTTTTTCCAGGGCAATGAGCAGTTCTGTATCACTGGCATTTCAGGCACCAGCTAAAATGGCCACCCAGTTTTGTGCTGGAAACCAGGGCATTGGTGTTGTAGGCACCAACAAGAATCTCCTGGTCTGCAGGTTGTAAAGACCATGGGAAAAGTGCAGTATCTAAACCAGAGTGCCAGAGTGTCCAGAAAAGTCCCTAATGGCCTCCTTTGGCTAGGAGAGGGAGTTCTCCAGCCTCTTGCAGTGCCCTGTCCTGCTTTGGTTCGCCCTCCTTGGGATACGCCCAGTGTCTAACCAGTCCCATTGAGATTAACCTGGTACCTCAGTTGGAAATGCAGAGATCACTCGCCTTCTGCATTGCTTTAGCTGGAAACTGCACTCCGGAACTGTTCCTATTCAGCCATCTTGGCAGAAGTCCCCGGATCTTGGTTTTTTAAACCTATTCAGCCAGTCTGAGTCTTTTGATTGGAGAGTTTATTTACATTTAACTTCACTGTTGATAAGTAAGGACTTACTTTTGCCATTTTGTTATTTGTTTTCTGGTTGTTTTGTGGTCTTCTGTCTTCCTTCCTGTCTTCCTTTTAGTGAAATTAACTTTCTCTGCTGATATGATTTAGTTTCTTGTTTTTATTTTTTGTGTATGTGTTGTATGTGTTTCGGTTTGAGGTCCCCAGGAGGCTTGCAAATGCCATTTATAGCCCATGATTTTAAGTTGATAACAAGTTAACACTATTTGCATAAACAAACAAGCAAAAAGTGAATAAAAATTCTATACCTTAACTTCATCCCCCCACTTTTTAACTTTGTTGTTTCTATTTATATTTTATTGTACTGTGCATGTTTTAAAATGTGTTTTAATTATTTTTGATTGGTTTATCACTTAGTCTTTTTACTTAGCATAAAAGGAGTTTACATACCACAGTTACAGTGTAATATTATTCTGTTTTTCTGTGTACTTACTATTACCAGTGAGTCTTGACATTCAAGTGTTTTCTTACTGCTCATTAATGTCCTTTTCTTATGACCGAAGTACTCGCTTTAGCATTTCTTGTAGGACAGGTCTAGTGTCAATGTAATCACTCAGCTTTTGTTTCTCCTTTATTTCTCCTTCATGTGTGAAGGATAATTTCACCTGCTATACCATTCTAGGGTAAAAGGATTTTTCCTTCAGCACTTGAAATATGTCAGGCCACTCTGTCCTGGCCTATAAATTTTCCACTGTAAAGCCTGTTGCCAAACATATTAGGGCTCCATTGCATGTTATTTCTGCTTTTAGGATCTTTTCTTTATCCTTGACCTTTGGGTGTTTTACTATTAAATGCCTTGAAATTAATCCTTTCTTTGGGTTAAATCTTCTTTGTGTTCTATATCCTACCTGTACTTGGATATTGATATCTTTCTCTAAGATATTCATATCTTTCTCTGTTATTATTTCTTTTAATAACTTTCTACTTCTATCTCTTTCTCTACCTTCTCTTCAAGGCCAATAACTTAGATTTGTCCTTTTGAGGCTGTTTTCTAGATCCTATAGGTGTGCTTCATCATTTTTTATTATGTTTCTTTTGTCTCCTCTGTATATTTTCAAATAGCCTGTCTTCAAGTTCACAAATTCTTTCTTCTGCTTGATGAATTCTGCTATTAAGTGACTGATGCATTCTTTACTATGCCAACTGCATTTTTCAGCTCTAGAATTTCTGCTTGATACTTTTAAACTATTTTAATCTCTTTGTTAAATTTATCTGATAGAATTCTAAATTCCTTCTCTGCGTTATTTTGAATTTCTTTTAGCTTTCTCAAAACAACTGATATGGTTTGGCTGTGTCCCCACCCAAATCTCATCTTGAATTTTAGCTTCCATATTCCCATGTGTTGTGGGAGGGAACTGGTGGGAGATAATTGAATCTTCGTGGCAGTTTCCCCCATACTGTTCTTGTGGTAGGGAAAAAGTCTCACAAGATCTGATAGTTTTATAAGGAAACACCCTTTCACTTGGCTCTCATTCTCCCTTGTCTGCCACCATGTAAGAAGTGCCTTTCACCTTCTGGCATGATTGTGAGGCCTCCCCAGCCATGTGGAACTGTGAGTCCATTAAGCTTCTTTTCATTTATAAATTACTCAGTCTTAGGTATGTCTTTATAAGCAGTGTGAAAACAGACTAATACGGTAAATTGGTACCAGTAGAGTGGGGCACTGTTGTAAAGATACCCAAAAATGCAGAAGCAACTTTGGAACTGGGTAACAGGGAGAGGTTGGAACAGTTTGGAAAGCTCAGAAGAAGACAGGAATATGTGGGAAAGTTTGGAACTTCTTAGAGACTTGTTAAATGGCTTTGACCAAAATGCTGACAATGAAACCAGACGGAGGCAGTCTCAGATTGAAATGAGCAACTTGTTGGAAACTGGAGCAAAGGTGACTCCTGTTATGCTTTAGCAAAGAGACTGGTGGCATTTTGCCCCTGCCCTAGAGATTTATGGAATTTGAGAACTTGAGAGAAATGATTTGGGGTATCTGATGGAAGAAATTTCTAAGCAGCAAAGCATTCAAAAGGTGACTTGGGTGCTGTTAAAAGTGCATAAAAGTTCAGAAAATTTTCAGCCTGACAATGCAATAGAAAAGAAAAACCCATTTTCTGAGAAGAAACTCAAGCCAGCTGCAGAAATTTGCATAAGTAACTAGGAGCCCAATGTTAATCACCAAGGCAATGAAGGAAATGTCTCAAGGGCATGTCTGAGGTCTTCATGGCAGCCCCTCCCATCACAGGCCCAGAGGCCTAGGAGGGGAAAATGGTTTTGTGGGCCAGGCCCATGGCCTCTCTGCTATATGCAGTCTAGGGACTTGATGCCCTGCATCCCAGCCACTCCAGCCATGGCTAAAATGTTCCAAAGTACAGCTCCAGTCATGGCTTCAGAGGGTGCAAGCCCCAAGACTTGGCAGCTTCCATGCGGTGTTGAGCCTGCAAGTGCACAGAAGTCAAGAATCAAGGTTTGGGAACCTCCACTTCGATTTCAAAGGAAGTGTGGAAATGGTTGGATGTCCAGAAAAATACTTTGCTGCAGGGATGGGGCCCACATGGAGCATCTGCTAGTACAGTGCAGAAGGGAAATATGGGGTTGAAGCCCCCACACAGAGGCCCCACTGGGGCACTGCCTAGTGGAGCTGTGAAGAGAGGGTCACCATCATCCCAATGCCAGAATGATAGATCCACCAACAGCTTGCACTGTGCACCTGGAAAAACTGCACACACTCAATGCCAGCCCATTAAATCAGGCAGGAGGGGGCTATGCCCCACAAAGCCACAGAGGCAGAGCTGCCCAAGACCAGGGGAATCTGCCTCTTGCATCAGTGTGACCTGGATGTAAGATGTGGAATCAAAGAAGATCATTTTGGAGCTTTAAAATTTGACGGCCATGCTGGATTTTGGACTTGCAGGGGCCTTTCGGCCCTTCATTTTGGCCAATTTCTGCCATTTGGAATGGACACATTTATCCAGTGCCTGTACCCCTATTGTATCTAGGAAGTAGCTAACTTGCTTTCGATTTTACAGGCTCATAGGCAAAGGGACTTGCCTTGTCTTAGATGAGACTTTGGACTGTGTACTTCTGAGATAATGCTGAAATGAGTTAAGACTTTGGGGACTGTTGGGAAAGCATGATTGGCTTTGAAATGTGAGAATGTGAGATTTGTGAGGGGCCAGTGGCAAAATGATATGGCTTGGCTGTGTCCCCACCCAAATCTCATCTTGAATTGTAGCTCTCATAATTCCCATATGTTGTGGAAGGGACCTGGTAGGAGATAATTAAATCATGGGGGCAGTTTTCCCCGTAATGTTCTTGTGGTAATTAATGAGTCTCACTAGACTCAATGGTTTTATAAGGGAAAGCTCCTTTCACTTGGCTCTCATTCTCCTTTGTCTGCCACCATGTAAGGCATGCCTTTCGCCTTTTGGCGTGATTGTGAGACTTCCCCAGCCACATGGAACTGTGAGTCCATTAATCCTCTTTTCCTTTATAAATTACCTGTGTCTTGTGAGAATGGACAAATGCAGTGTGATAATGGACCAATACAACAACTATTTTGAATTTTCTGCCTGAAAGGTGGCATATCTCTGTTTCTACAGAACATGTCCCTGATGCTTTATGTACTTCATTTGGCGAGGTCATGCTCCTGGTGGTCTTGATACTTGTAGATGTTCATCTGTGTCTGGTCATTGAAGAGTTAGGTATTTATTGTAACCTTCGCGGTCTGTGTTGTTTGTACTTGTCCTTTTGGGAAGGCTTTCCAGATATTTAAAAGGACTTGGATATCATGATCTAAGCTATATCTGCTTTGGGGGCACCTCAAGCCCAGTAACACTGTGATTCTTACATACTCATCAAGGTATTACCTTGATGGTCTTGGACAAGATCTAGAATTCTCTGGAGTACCAGGCAGAGAGTCTTGTTCTCTTCCCTTACTTTCTCCCAAACAAGTGAAGTCTCTCTCTTTGTTCTGAGCCAAGTGAAGCTCGGTGTAAAGTGACACAGGCACTCCTGTGGCCACCACCACTAGCACTGTGCCAGGTCAGACCAGAAGCCAGCATAGCACTGAGTCCCTCCTGAGGCCTGCTATAATAACTCCCTGACTACCTCTTGTGTTTGCTGAAGGCCCTGGGCTCTACGATTAGCAGGTGGCAAAGCCAGCCTGGCCTGTGTCCTTCACTTTAGGACAGAGAGTTTCCTCGGGCCCCTCACATGTCCAGAGATGTCATCCAGGAGCCAAGAACTACAGTCAAAAAACCTTAGAAATCTGCCTGGTGTTCTATTGAACTGCAGCTGAGCTGGCACTCAGACCATAAGATGCAGTCCTTGCCGCTCTTCCCTCTCCTTTCCAAAGGCAGAGACACCTCACCCCATGGCCACAGCCACCACAGGCCCATGGGGAGTACTGCCAGACTACCACCAATATTCTCTTAAGACCCAAGGGCTCTTTTGTCAGCTTGTGGTGAACACTGCCTAGCCTGGGACTCTCCTTTCAGGGCAAAGGACTGCTGTCTGGCTCAGAAAAGGTCCAGAAATGCCATCTAAGATCAAAGTCCTGGAATCAGGTACCCTAAGAGCCTGCCTGGTGCTCTACCTGCCTGTGGGTGAGCTGGTACCTAAAGTACAAGACAACGTCCCCAGTACTTTTCCCTCTACTTTTCTCAGGCAGAAGGACTATTGCCCCATAGCCACTACAGCTGGGAATGTGCTTTAGTCTCACCTGAAGCAGCAAGTCTCAGAGTCTCACCCAAGGCCCTCAGCATATTACCTGGATATTGCTCCTGGTTATTCAGGGTGCAAAGGCTCTTCAGTTAGCAGGTGGTGGATGCTGCCAGGACTGGGTCCTTCTCTTCAAGGTAGCAGATTCCTTTTGGCCCAGGGTGTGTCTAGAAATGTCATCCAGGAGGGCCTGAAACAGGAGCCTTATGACTCTGACTGATACCCTAACCTGCTATGGCTGAGCTGGCATGCAAGATGCAAGACAAAGTCTTTCCCATGCTTTTCTTTCCTCTCCTCAAGCAAAAGGAAAGGGTCTCTTTTGGAGCCACGAGCCTTGCAGCCTGGGGTTAAGGCAATAATAATGCCAGAACTCTCTTAGCCACCCTGACTGCTGTTTTAGTAGGTTATGTGCCCCCTAGTCCACTCACTCTGGGTCCAGTTCAGCATGAGGACTCACCTAGGAGTTACAGTTCTTGTGGCCTAAACTGCCCTTCAAGTTTATTGAGCACCCCAACCACTTCAGCCTGCGGCAGCGAGCTTTGTAGGCATTCAAATTCCAACCACTGGATCAGCATTTCTACTCTGGCTAGGTCTGATTTAAATAGCCCCTTCATGAACAGGTGTCAGCTAAGTTTGAACCTATTTTGCTTTCTATTTTAACGGAGCAGTATTGAGGTCAATGCCTCACAGTTGTTATGCACTCCCTCTCCCTAGACACAGAATCACTCTCCATACCACGCTGCCTCTGCCAGGGGGTAACAGAGGGATGGCATCAGAGATTCATGACTGTTTTTTCTACCTCTTCAGTGCCTCTTTCAGTGATATTAAGACAAAACCAGTTACTGTCAGTGTGCTCCTAATTTTTTGTTCTCATAAATGTGCTTTTTCTGTGTTTAGATAGTTGTTAAATTGGTGTCCTTACTGGGGGGATGATCAGTGGAGACTTATATTTTGCCATCTTGCTTTGCCCTCTCAACAACCCAATTTTATATAAAAAATTGAGGTGCAGGGAAGTGCAAGGACTTACCAATATCACACAAGTAATGAATGATACGCTTGAATGCAAATGCAAGTAGCAGAATCTATGCTCTTAGCAAGTCTTCTATGCTAGTATACTGAGGTTACAACAGTTACAATTAAGTTTGGCTATATATTATTTAAAATGAAAAAACAACAGTGGCTTTAAAAGGTAGAAGTTTCTTTTTCTTGTATGCATGTAAGAAATCAGGAGGAGGGAGCCGAATGCTGCTATGAGGACGTCACATTCACCTTGACCCCAGGCCCTCCCTTGTTCTGCTTCAGCTCCTTAGTGCATAGCCTCGATCTTCCATGTCAACTTATGCTCTAGGATGGTTCATAGAATTTCAGCGTTTGGTTCCACATTATAGGCGGGGGGAAAAAAGGAAAAGCAAAGTGTAAAAGGGCTGTGAGTCAACTTCCTTTAAAGAAATTTTCTTCCTTTAAAGAAATGTACTATATAACACTTCTGAGTGTATGTTATTGGCCTGAATTTAATCATATGGGCACCTCAGCTATAAGGGAGGTTGAATAGAAAACACAGTATTGGCTGGGCGTGGTGGCTCACGCCTGTAATCCCAGCACTTTGGGGGGCCAAGGTGGATGGATCACCTGAGGTCAGGAGTTCAATACCAGCCTGGCCAACATGGTGAAATCCCGTCTCTACCAAAAAAAAAAAAAAAAAAAAAAAAAAAGAATACAAAAATTAGCCAGGCATGGTGGCAGGCATCTGTAATCACAGCTACTTGGGAAGCTGAGGCAGGAGAATTGGTTGAACCCGGAAGGCAGAGGTTACAGTGAGCTGAGATCATGCCATTGCACTCCAGCCCAGGTGACAGAGTGAGAAAAAAAAAGGGAAGAAAGGAAGGAAAAAAAAAAGAAAAGACAATATTTTACCATGACCTGCCATGCGCCCAGCTGGAAAAAAAAAATCACAGTTCTGTTACAAAATACACAGAGGAGAATAGAGATTTAGAATGCCTCTAGCAGTCCCTGTCACAGTGACCAAAAGCACTCTGAAGAAAAAGAAAGCAGGATCCAGGTATAGAAGAGGAAGGAAATGTGCACCAATTTTATGTGTATGTTCTTACAGAAGGCCTCTCAGATGAGGTCAAGTTTCAGCAGAATCTTCGAAGAAGTTAAAGAGTGAGCCAAATGGACTCTAGGAAAAGAAAACTTCAAATAACAGAAATAAACCTGATACATAAATTGGCTTGCGTCCTGGAAATAGTACGAAAGCTAATATGCTGGCAGGTGGTGAATCAAGGAGTGATTGGTGAGAGATACGTTCAGAGGAGTGGTAGAGACCAGAGGCCAGACAGGGGAGTATGTTGAAACCTAATAAAAGAAGTTTGAAATTTTTTTTTGGATGAATTAGAAAGTCAATAGAGGACTTTGAGTATAAAAGTGGTATGATTTTTCTTTAAATAATGTAGTGAAACTCTGGCTGCTCTGAGGAGAATGGACTGTAGGGAAAAAAGAGTGGAAACAGACCAATTCTGAAGCTTTAACAATGATCCAGCCTAGAGGTGATGCTGTCTTGGACCAGGGTGTTTGGATGAAGCAGGTGACAAGGGGTGGGTTCTGACTGTATTTTGAAGCGAAAGCTAACACAGTTTGCAGATGACTGCTTACTGGGTATGTGAGAAAACAAAGATAATCAAGATATAGTTAGATGAACAGAGTTATTAATTACTAAAATTGGGGTGATTGGGAAGGAACAGGTTTGAAGGGAGATCCAGAGTTGCATTTCAGGCCTACAAAATTTTAAATACTATTTGAATTATAAAGTGAATTGTTACATGAGTCGTAAAATTAAATTGAATTAGCAGATATATTGCAGGGTTTTGCGCTAACCCATAATCACTCTTTCTTCATTCTACCTTCCTCTGCATAACTAGGCTGAAGAGGTGCTGAAAAAATACTTAAGAGTCCAAGGAGGATGTGGCTGATGCACTTCTACAAACTGATCAGTCACTCTCAGAAAAGGAAAAAGCAATTGAAGGTGAGAACAGCTGAAAACACTTTAGATGGTTGGAAAGTCCTCAAACTGTTAGTTAGCAATATTGGTCCACCTAGAATTATTATTGTAGAGAAAGAATGGCAAGTATCATTGATAGTTATGAGAGTTTCTTAACTAATGTATATGATCAGTGGTTTTCTGGTTACCCAGGGCAAAGTTACAAGAAGTTTTCTCAGTAATGTGAGAATAAGACAAACAAAAAAGAGTGAAAGGAAAAGGGAACACCTGCAATTGAATATTCATATTTTTTTCTGCTTATTTTTCTTCCCCAGTGGAACATATAAAGGCTGAATCTGCAGAAGCTGCAAAGAAAATGTTGGAGGAAATACAAAAGAAGAACGAGCAGATGATGGAACAGAAAGAGAAGAGTTATCAGGAACATGTGAAACAACTGACCGAGAAGATGGAGAGTGCTAAGGCCCGGTTAATGGCGGAGCAAGAGAAGACCATCAATTTTAAACTTAAGGTATTCAATTGCATCATCTCAATTTTCTCTTCCAGTGCCCCAAATTGAAAACAAAGTGTAAGGGTGAGAACATAATGCTTCCCAAAAAATTTTCTAGCCCAGACACTACTACATTTTTCATTCCCTGTTTTTATGCAGTCATCTCTAGTTAGTAAAGATTATTTACTTTCAGGATAATATCACATGGAATACTTTATTATGCTGTCACTAATAAACATTGCTAGGCACTGCACAAGTGTTTTACATTATGTGATCAAATTTTCCTCTAATGGCAAAGGAACTATTATTTTCTCATGCCTAATGAAGAAATTGTAATTTCATGAGCAATAAGTAACTTTTCTGCATCGGACTACCTGGAGAAATATCTGGTCAGTCTTTCCTACTAAGAGACATACATAGGGATTTTGTTTCTGTCATGCCTGCTATAACTTTATGTCTAGAAGCACTGCTATGAGTAAAAAGATTCCCTAACTGGGCTGGGCATGATGGCTCACACCGGTAATCCCAGCACTTTGGGAGGCCGCTGGGGGGTCGGATCACCTGAGGTCGGGAGTTCAAGACCAGCCTGACCAACATGGAGAAAACACGTCTCTACTAAAAATACAAAATTAGCTGGGTGTGGTGGTGCATGCCTGTAATCCCAGCTACTCAGGAGACTGAGGCAGGAGAATCGCTTGAACCTGGGAGGCGGAGGTTGCAGTGAGCCAAGATCACATCATTGCATTCCAGCCTTGGCAACAAAAGCGAAACTCCATCTAAAAAAAAAAAAAAAAAAAAAAGAAAGAAAGAAAGATTTTCTAACCATCTACCCACTTAAACACACTAGTTAAGTGCCCATGGTGCCAATACTTTCTTGTTCTCTGGGCTCTTTTCCACATTTATGCTTGCCCAGAAATACGCTATGGGCCACTGTAGGCCCTGATCTCCTCAATTTATTTCTGTTACCTCTGAATTTTGGAGACTCGTACTAAATTCTCCAATCAAACACTTACCCTAGTCTTGAGTTATGTAGTAACCTATCAATTGAAAATCACCTATCTTTCATATCTTCCTAGATATATATTTGAGTCCCTACTATACAGATCAGAAATGAACAAAAAGAAAAGAACAAGAGTTTTTCCAGGAAGACTGTGTTGCATGTGTGTGAAGGGTAAAGGAACTGAAGAATAAAATGTTGGGTCACTAATATTTTAGAACCTGCAGGACAACACCATTTTTGAAGCTAAAGAAATCACAGAAAGATTATTGGCAGGTACTGGAGACTCAGAAGAGAGTGATAGAATGGAAAGTAAGGGAAGAAAGCGTTTCAAAAACAAGTGTCAAAAATTCTTGAAGGATCAATATAAGTACCAAAAGGGGAACTAATTTGGTGAAAGTGTGTTAAACTGGATGGGTTTAGTCTCCACTTTCCATTTTAGGAACAGGAACGCCTTCTCAAAGAGGGATTCGAGAATGAGAGCAAGAGACTTCAGAAAGAGATACGAGATATCCAGATGAGAGGCGTATCATCGGGCCCAACATGTAACATACTCTAAAAGTCCAAGGAGCAAAATTTGCCTATCCAGCTCCCTCTCCCCAAGGAACAAGGTGAATGAGCAACTCCAGTGTGTCGAACAACTGCCATTAAACTTAACTCAAAATCATGATGTGAGCATTTTTGTTGAACCATAAAGTTTGCAAAGTGAAGGTTAAAAATGAGGTCTATGTTTTACCAACAAAGCAATTCAATTCATGTTTATTTATAAACTAATTTTGAATATGATCTTTAACTAAATCCTATATTTGAAATCATGCACAAGGACTCAAGAGAGATATTGACAACTGGAATGCATTTTCCAATGAGATATCATGCAGTTTCTGTTCAGGGTAGATTTTTTTCTCTCATATGCACCACCCTTCTGTATATTCAGTCCAGTGCTCTTATTCAGGGATTTACTATGATCCTAGGATAGGGCTGCAGTATTGTGAACAGGATGAAAATCGGATGAGACCAAACAAACCATGGGGCACAGTTGAGCATCACTCCTGCCAAATGGCCTTTGTATGGCACCCTGGCTGCAAATGAAGGAGATCTGGGACACTTAACTAGGCTTTAAAGTACAGACAGTGCACAGTTCTCACTGGGGTGAAGGCTGCATGATCTATGGGCACTGGCAGAGAAAATGGTTGCCTCTGTGCAGAATGCATATGAGTAGAGGCTCCAGCTTCTCTGTCCATTTAAACCCTCTAGGTAAATTACTGACCCATTCCCAGGCCACCTAGATTTCTCTCCTCTAATCTCCCTTTCTTAGTCTTTTCCATGTCCTGACTTTTAGAGAATGACTTCTACAACCACAGAAAGGAAAGCTTTAACTCAAACTCAAATTACTTTCCATTTTTCTGAGGACCATGACTATAATTCTGTAAAGTCTAAAACTCGACTGCGTTTTTCTCTCTGCCCCTCTGCTATGACATTATATACTCAAAGCTAGTCAGAATAAATGCCTTGCTAGGGCAAAAACAGATGACAGATCAAAAATATCAAGAATAATTCATTAATACAAAACAACCTACTCCAATTGTTTCAGGGTGTGTATTATTCAGAGTTCTTCATGGCAAATAACAATCTGCTCAGCAATTTAAGTAAAAAGTAATTTAATTTTTAAGACCATTAAGGTGCACACAGATACTCCAGAATTGTGAGGGAGTCATACTCTACAGCTATTCTACCCAGAATAATACTACCATTGTAAACGCATCTCATGGGAAAACAACACAGCTACCATGACCCGGCACCATGATCTCTAGATGAAATGCTAGAAGCTTCTCCAATGTCACCTATGAGTAAATGGATGCCACCACTTTCACATTTGCAGTAAACAAACACACCCCTACCCCATGAAAAGTTGCATCTTGAGTTGCTTACACCTCCAGCTAAGCCTCACAAAAGTCAATGCGCAGGGAAGAATCTCAATCATATGCCTACCTAAGGGGAAGTCTGAGAACTGGAATTTTTTTGTCTCCTACTTTTGAAGGTAGAAACTAATAACATGGGAAATTTTCCTCTAGGTTTAAGTCAACCAGTTTTTCCAGGTAGATGTTGGGAGATAAATCTTATAGCAGGAATAAAATAAGACTTGTGTTAGTATTTTTGTGTACATCAGATACAATACTCTTCTCATCTTTTTCTTTTTGTCATCATTTTTCAATGTTTTTTCAAATTTTTTCCACTGTTGTTTTATGTCATGAATTTTGTTAACATTCTTTAAGTTATTCTTAGCTTTTAACAATGATACTTAAGAAAGCCTTAATAGGACTATCAAACAGGTACTCCCTACTCCCCAACCCTCCCAAAACAATATAACACATTAGTTTGTTTGAATTTAAGATTTATCTTGTTTATGCCTCAATTTAGGTATCGTTCTTACTTTTTAAACAGCTAGTATTTTGTATCTACTTCTGTGCAAGCAAAAAGCAACTTTATTCTTTCTTATAATTCCCCTTTTACTTAATCAGAACATTTTTTCCTGTTTGTTCATTAGTCACTCTCAGATAAATGAATAGTCTCTCTTTCTAAATAAAAACAAAATACCATTTGACCTAAATTTGTAGATGTTTCTCTGAGTTTTGATTTAAAGTTTCTGTCATTATATCCTGCATTCCCTCAGGTCTCACTCATTCACACAGCCCAGGCCTGATTCAGCCTTACAGGCACACAGTGAGAAAGGAGTATGGCTTTTTTTTTTTTTTTTTTTTTTTTTGCATTTCCAGCTCTACCTCCCACAGGGTACACTAGCTCATGTTTATGATACCTTCAAGTTGTAACACTAGAGTGCAGGGTATTAAAGAAAAGAAACCTTACATGATACATAACTGCTCTGGTGTTGTCACCTTCTGGTGGTGGCTTAAGTCCTTAAGGATGATTTGGGTTCTTTGCTGATTCCCCCTGCCTGGACCTCCCAATAGCACATCCCTATTGTAGTCTACTTCTGATTCCTTTCCTCAATTTTTCTCTTCTAAGGATCCACTTATTCCATATATGCTTGATGTTGAGATCAATGCACCTTGACATGTTGACATCTGGTGCAAGATTGCTTCAAGATGACCCAAGTCCAGAACACCCCAGTGATTCTACCCAGGAGAAAAGCTCATGCGCACCTACCTGCCCCACACTGCAGGGACGGGAAGCCCCCAATTCTCTTTTCTTTCCTACTTCGCCACAAACAATTCCACGCCAGACTATCACTTTTAAATGTTTTTAGGCATGAGTCAGGCACCAGGACTAGTGTCCCCAAACCCCAAAGAGCACATATCAGCTTTTCAAGGGAATCTTTAAGTGTCCATTGCTACTTCGTTTGTAAAGGTAGTAAGAAAGCAGCGCCTCTCATTGCCCTATGAGGAAAATGAGCAAAGATAAAAAGAGGGTGGGGATCAATGCACACCAATAACTCTCTCAAAAGAATTCTCTGCTGCTAATCTATTCTGATCAGTGTCTTCACCTCATCTTATATTCCCTGGATGCAACTTGGTGTAAGACCTACACAAGCTCTCAGTACTATTCTTTTAGAAAATGAATAATCAAACTTTCAGATTTGGAGGGGAAAGGTAGAGATAAATAGTGCCAGATTGTTCTAGTCCGCATTCATATCTAGTCTACTTTCAGGAATACGGAGCAGAGATTAAACATAATTTAACCATTTTTTTTTTAACAAACTGAGTTATTTGAACCAAGTGCCAGAACCTTGTGGCATTATGAACTGGCATAAAATGTAGGTTAAAATCTTTGTAGTATATTTGCTGTAAAATGAGGATGATAGTACTTGCATCACAATCTGGTAATGAGGAATAAATTTAATAAATAATATCTATAAAGAAGTTAACACAATGCCTGCAATATAATAGCCACTAAATGTAATATGCTTCTTCTCCTTTTTTTTTTTTTTTTTTTTGAGACAGTCTCGCTGTCTCACTCTTATCACCCAGGCTGGAATGGAGTGGAGTGTTGCTATCTCAGCTCACTGCAACCTCTGCCTCCCCAGTTGAAGTGATTCTCCTTCCTCAGCCTCCCAAGTGGCTGGGATTACAGGCACACACCACCACACCTAACTAATTTTTGTATTTTTAGTAGAGATGGAGTTTTGCCATGTTGGCCAGCCTGGTCTGGAACTCCTGACCTCAAGTGATCCGCCTGCCTTGGCCTCCCAAAGCACTGGAATTACAGGCATGAGCCACTGCGCCCCACAGAATGCAATATACTTTTTATTATAACACTAACCCAGGCTTCAATGCTGCAAATATATTTCATCTCAGTAATATTTAAAGACTTCTTATTAAAACAGTGTGCCATTTTCCACCTCTCAATTTAGTTAATATTAAAAAGCCTTATTCCACCTGTAGGGGGTGGGCATGAAGGAATGAAAGCAAGTTTATTAATATATCTCAAAAAGCCTTTAATAAGAACACCATCTCTGACCTTCATGCTCCACTCCCAGTTTCATTCTTTCAAGCAAAATACATATGGAAGGCTATATCCTTAGCTTGGTGCTAAATACTCACCAGTATATAAGACATGTCCTTTACTTCACTTGCTGCATCTCCAAGTGACTAACCTGTTCCAATGTGAGTGTGTCAAATATTTGAGGAAGTTAGACTTTAAAACAATATGATGCCTCCTCAACCTTGGCTTTTCAAAATGTCACCCAAACCTAAAATAAGTAAGATGATATTTCACATGATATGATGGGCTTTTAAAAACAACAACAAATGGTATCTATGATTTCTTCCAAAAATAAAATTTGAAGATGTTAATGCAACCACTAACACAACTCCCAGAAAATTCTTTACAGTTTTAATCCACTGCTTTGCACTCAGGACTTTGAGGTTCAGTGTGTCTAGTCTGTTACAGAGGTTCCTTTTTTTCTTTCCTTCTAGTTATCTGTTCTCATAAGGTAACTTGGAAAGCTCCAGGACATTGTAGGGGTGAAATAAAAACACAAAGATCAAGCAACTTCAGCAAAGTCTCAGGATACAAAATCAATGTGCAAAAATCACAAGCATTCCTATACACCAATAACAGACTTAAAGAGAGCCACATCAAGAACGAACTGCCATTCACAATTGCTACAAAGAGAATAAAATACCTGGGAATACAACTAACAAAGGATGTAAAGGACCTCTTCAAGGAGAACTACAAACCACTGCTCAACGAAATAAGAGAGGAAACAAACAGATGGAGAAACATTCCATGTTCACGGTTAGGAAGAAACAGTATTGTGAAAATGGCCACACTGCCCAAAGTAATTTACAGATTCAACGCTATCCCCATCAAGCTACCAATGACCTTCTTCACAGAACTGGAAAAAAACACCTTAAACTTCATATGGAACCAAAAGAGAGCCCACCTAGCCAGTCAATTCTAAGTAAAAAAAACAAAGCAGGAGGCATCATACTTCCAGACTTCAAACTATACTACAAGGCTACAGTAATCAAAACAGCATGGTACTGGTACCAAAACAGAGATATAGACCAATGGAACAGAACAGAGGCCTCAGAGGCAACACCACACACCTACAACCATACAATCTTTGACAAACCTGACAAAAACAAGCAATGGGGAAAGGAGTCTCTGTTTAATAAATGGTGTTGGGAAAACTGGCTAGCCATATGCAGAAAGATGAAACTGGACCCCTTCCTGACACCTTACACTAAAATTAACTCCAGATGGATTAAAGACAAACATAAGACCTAACACCATAAAAACCCAGAAGAAAACCTAAGCAAAACCATTCAGGACATAGGCATAGGCAAGGACTTCATGACCAAAACACCAAAAGCATTGGCAACAAAAGCCAAAATAGACAAATGGGACCTAATCAAACTCCACAGCTTCTGCACAGCAAAAGAAACAGTCATTAGAGTGAATCGGCAACCAACTGAATGGGAAAAAAATTTTTGCAATCTACACATCTGACAAAGGGCTGATAGCCAGAATCTACAAAGAACTAAAACAGGTTTACAAAAAAAAAAAAAACAAACCAACAACAACAACAACAACAACAAAAAAAAATAAGCCCATTCAAAAATGGGCAAAGGACATGAACAGACACTTTACAAAAGAAGACATACATGAGGCCAACAAACATATGAAAAAATGCTCATCATCACTGGTCATCAGAGAAATGCAAATAAAAACTACATTGAGATACCACCTCACACCAGTTAGAATGGCAATCATTAAAAAATCTAGAGACAACAGATGCTGGAGATGATGTGGAGAAATAGGAACACTTTTACACTGTTGGTGGGAGTGTAAATTAGTTCAACCATTGTGCAAGACAGTGTGGTGATTCCTCAAGGACCTAGACATAGAAATTCCATTTGACCCAGCAATCCCATTACTGGCTATATATCCAAAGGATTATAAATCATTCTACTATAAGGACACATGCACATGAATGTTCATTGCAGCACTGTTTACAATAGCAAAGACCTGGAACCAACCCAAATGCCCATCAATTATAGACTGGACAGGGAAAATGTGGCACATATACACCATGGAATACTATGCAGCCATCAAAAACAATGAGTGCATGTCCTTTGTAGGGACATGGACGAACCTGGAAACCATCATCCTCAGCAAACTGCCACAAGAACAGAAAATCAAACACCGCATGTTCTCACTCATAGGTGGGTGTTGAACAATGAGAACACATGGACAATGAGAACTCCCCTCCCCTGTGGAGGGGAGCATCACACACTGGGGTCTGTAGGGAGGAAATAGGGGAGGGACAGCAGGGGGTGGGTATTTGGGGAGAGGTAGCATGGGGAGAAATGCCAGATATAGGTGATCAGGAGGAAGGCAGCACATCACACTGCCATATGTGTACCTATGCAACAATCTTGCATGTTCTTCACATGTACCCTAAAACCTAAAATGCAATTAAAAAAAAAAAAAGATCTAGCCAGATATAATGTCAAGATCCTTATCTGGGATATGTATCAAATATAATGGAGAAGGCAAACTTACATGTTGAGCAGACACAATTATGAATAGAAGTGTTCTCTGCAACCTTAAAAGCTAGTCCCTTTGGAGAACATTTAATATTGTGGTTCCTTTACTGTTTTAGTCATGAAGTCCTTGCCCATGCCTATGTCCTGAATGGTATTGCCTAGGTTTTCTTCTAGGGTTTTTATGGTGTTAGGTCTTATGTTTAAATCTTTAATCCATCTGGAGTTAATTTTTGTATAAGGTGTAAGGAAGGGATCCAGTTTCATCTTTCTGCATATGGCTAGCCAGTTTTCCCAACACCATGTATTAAATAAGGTTTGTTCTCACTTATAAATTGGTGTTGAACAATGAGAACACATGGACACAGGGAGGGGAACATCACACACTGATACCTGTCAGGGGGTTGGGGGGCTGGAGGAGGGATAGCATGGGGTGGGGAGATAGGGGAGGGATAGCATTAGGAGATATACCTAATGTAGATGATGGGGTGATGGATGCAACAAACCACCATGGCATGTGTATACCTATGTAACAAACCTGCATGTTCTGCACATGTACCCCAGAACAATAAAAATTTTAACAATATAATAAAAAATATTATATAATAATACAATAAAAAATTTTAAAAACTTTAAAAATTAAAGAAACAAAAACCAAACAAAAAAAAAGTATTAGAGTTCCATTTGCAAAGTAAATCTCTTCCTATTAAATTTGCAGGAGTGGTATCACAGGATAGAAAGGAATGTTTTTGCAGTTAAAGCCCAATAGTTATAGTTAAGGGCTGAGATACAGGGAAAATCTGTGGGGTATTGGAAATACTGCCTGTGTAATATGCTTACTCCACAGAAAATGTTGAGCAAAGATGGCAGGGTTTAATGTAGAAAGAGTAGAAACCTTATTTACCAGGAATTGATGAAGTTGACCATCTATATTTGTATCGTATTCACTGATTGTTTAGCATCAGGCAGAATATTGGATGCTTTTTCCTTTTCTGGTTTTTGTGAGAACATCAATTGATCTGAATTAGGAATTTTTCTGTCTTTTTTTGTCTCTTGTAAGATGGGACAATCTTCTTTCCTGTGTCCTGTTAACAATATCCAAACATGACCTTGTCAACAAGTCACTTGTTATAAAATGGGTAACCTAGCTGTTGGATTAGTAGTGCTACAAGTTTATTTTAGAACCTGTTTCATTTTTGTTCTAAAGCCCTTTCAAAATGCTGTACTAGGTATTGTACTGCAGATAAGGGGGCTATTTCCATTCTAATTAGTTTTTAAATTGGATCTTCAATTTCAAGCTTAACTCCATTGGCAAAATGAGACGAAAGAGTAGCTATTACATCAACATCTTCTTTAGCTTCCAAATGTTGGAAGGTATTTTCTAGTCTATTCTGAAAATCTCCTTTAGTTTCATCAGTTTGCATGACTGAATTATGGCCCAATTAATTTTTGTTGAAAATGTTTCAGGTCTGGCTTTTAGGAGACTTCAACCTACTCTTATAGCCTTTAAAAATTTTTTTTCTTTTTGACCCTCAGATTTATTGTGGGAAGAAGGATTCTATAGCTCCCTTTCCAGGAAAACATAACCAGCTTTTGTCATCCAGGATTTAGCATTTCGGATTTTAACCAACATGACTGCAAGTTGTTAAAGGTCACACATAGGTCAGTGTGTTACACTGCTAGTGAGACAGAGACTGCTAATGGGAAGGGTTCCCTGGAGAAACTCCAATCAGCCTGCCCACAGAGGTGGAGCCTGGGGAAATTCAGGACCTTTGCCATAGGGAGGAGCCTGAGCCTGTCCCCTTCTCTTCCTGGGTGGAAATTGAGATTCAAACTGCCTGGCAGGAAGCGCTCTAGCAGATCCCCCCTTTTTTCCCTTTCACCCAATAAAACCCAGCTTTATTCACCCTTCGAACCATTTGCAAGCCTAAATTTTCATGGCCATGGGACAGACAAGAACCCTGTCTTTAGCTGAACTAAGGAAACGTCCTGCAACACTAGGACTGTCATAAAAAAATGCCACGTACTGTGTGGTTTAAGCAACAGAAATTTATTTTCTCACAGTTCTAGGGGGTGGGAAGTGTTCTTTCCTTGGGTTGCAGATGGCTGCCTACTTACTGTGTCCTCACCTGGCCTTTCCTCTTTGCTTTTTCACAGACAAGAAGAGAAAGATTTCTTCTTCTTCTAATAAGGTCATTAATTCCATCAGGAGGTCCTCACCCTCATAAGTTAATCTAACCCTAATCACATCCCAAAGAGCCCATCTCCAAATACTGTCACACTGGAAGTTAGGGCCTCAACAGTTGAGTTCGGGGAAAAAAAACATTCCATCTATAACAATCAGGAAACCCTGGGTCATGTTCATCCAAAAGAATTATAAATTCTTCTATGAATATTTGCCAATCTTATTTGAGTTTAGGGAAATCTTTTATTTAGAGTTCTTAATTCAGCTTAATTCAGTTACAAGATTTAAACTTTGTAATTCCCTTCATACCTGGATAATGAGAGGAAAGAATCTTTAGAAGTACCCAGCAAAATAAGGCTGAGACAAATAATTAGATAACAATTTCTTGGAAAGACAAATTGAGGATAAATCCTGGAAGACAAATTAACAATCCGGAGTGTTTCAGTCTGTTACAAGTTGGAAAGTTGGGAGTGTTCCAGAGTCTGCTACAAGTTGAAAGACTTTTATAGGAAAGTTTAGAAGAAGGAAAGAGGACTCCTCATGCCAGTTATCCTTTCTCATTGGAGGGTACAATACAAAGATTACAATCATTGGATACAGATTGCAACATGCTGACTAAAATGTTTACATGCCAGACAATCATGAATCTTCATGATTCAGAAATAAATAAGTGTTCTTTTCAATAAAGTAGGTCATACATTAATCAGTAAACAATTTTGAAAATTCACATTAATATTTTTTACACAGGGACTGGATGTTGCCATGAATTACAAGACCTCCCCAACATGAGTACATTTGGAAGCCTGCTTACTTTTAAAGTAAACTGTCAAGTGTGACCTGTCTCAGAGGTCCCTGGAATTTTGGGGTTTCAGGAGAGTTGCTGGGAAAAGCTAGAGGTCTGAGTAAGAGGAAGAAGAAGTATGTGAAGGTATTGAAGCAGAGAAATCAGAAATATGAGGGGGAATAGAGAGAGCTGAATATAGAGAGGTAGCTGCAGGCAAGTAAATCCTTCGATTTACTTGCATTTGGAGAATTGCATTTGGAGACCTCTGCATATCAGCCAAAACAAGTGCTACCCATTGGGCCAGAGAAATTTTATCCCCTTTCTTTTTGAATATGTCTCTTAAATGAAGTTTTATTGAAGACAAATGTTCATCAGAGTGGCTTCTGAAGGATCGAGTCATCTTTAGTGATGTCATTGTCATTTAGAAAGATAGTCGAAAGAATTAAAATTGTAATATGAGTACATATAAGAAACCACAGCTTTCCTACAACTGGAAAGGATTTATACTCCAATTGAGACAGTATAGGGAAGCGTCTCAGTCCCAGCAGACAAGAGACATAATAACCAAGACTCCATGGGTCTCACACGTCCAGGCATATTCCCTCCCCTACCTCCTTGCCTCTCTTAGCAAGCTGACCCAAGTCACATAGCAGAAAGCTGCCCTGCTCCTAACTCAGCTGAACAAGCTGAATCCCTATCCATATAAGAAAGACCTAACCATTTATGTTGTTGAATTACAGTATTTCTCCTAATTTTGTTAAAGAGGGACTCTGGCATTCCTCATAAGAACCTGACCAGATCCAGCTGGCTAAAGACAAGATGGACTCCAGCACTAATCTTTCACTGAGATTTTCCTCATTATAATCTCCTCTAATACTAAAAATCACATCCAAAGGTGGAGATTTAAAATGCTAATGAGACATAACGATGCATGAAGAAGCATGTTCTCAAATTTCACAAGTGCTAAAAATTCCCCACCTCTGCATGCCTACATGCTTGTGCAGGGCAACTCCTGTTTTTAAAACCATCAGATCTCTGGCAGGGCAAGTTGGCTCATGACTGTAATCTCAACACTTTGGGAGGTCAAGGTGGGTGGATCACCTGAGGTCGGGAATTCAAGACCAGGCTGACCAACATGGTGAAACTCTGTCTCCACTAAAAATACAAAATTAGCCAAGTGTGGTGGCGCATGCCTGTTATCCCAGCTTCTTGGGAGGCTGAGGCAGGAGAATCACTTGAACCTGGGAGGCAGATGTTGCAGTGAGCTGAGATCGCGCCATTGCATTCCAGTCTGGGCAACAAGAAGGATACTCCATCTCAAAAAAAAAAAAAAAAAAGACACCATTGGATCTCATGAAATCCATTTACTGTCTACTGTCACAAGAACAGCATGGGAAAGGCCTGTCCCCACAATTCAGTAATCTCCCACCAGGTCCCTACCACAACACATGGGAATTATGAGAGCTACAAGATGAGATTTGGGTGGGGACATGGAGCCAAACCATAATATAATGTATTAGAAAAAATTATAGTACCAGATAATACAATAAAACATAAATTATAATCATTTTAAAGTATGGCACTGAGTATAATAAAAATCAGCAAACAATGGGACTAAATGGATGGTCTAGAAAACATTTCAATACAAATAAGAACTGTCTAGCCATTACAAAAAAAATCTATTATACATATCTGACATTAAAATAAGTTCTTTAAATTTTTTAATTGAAAAAATTTGATCTTATAGTAAATCGACAAAATATAATTGTATATATTTATAAAATGCTAAGTAGTGTTATCTTTATGAATACAATAGAGTAATTAAATTAATTGACATATCCATCACCTCAAATATTTGTCATTTTTGTGGTGAGAACATTTGAAATTTACTCACCTAGCAAGTTTGAAATATGCAATATATCATTATTGAGTACACTCACCATGCCATGCAACAAATTTAAAAAAACCACACACACGCAAAACCTAATTTCTCCTGTCTAACTTAGACTTTGTATCCTTTCATCACCATCTCTCCATTTCTCCCACCCTCACACTCTGGTAACCACCCTTCTACCCTCTGCTTCTATTAATTCAATTGTTTTAAAGTCCACATATAGGTGAGAACATGTGATATTTGTCATTCTTTGCTTGGCTTATTTCACCAATTCCATCCATGTTGTCTCAATGGCAGAAATGTCTTCTTTTTAAGGCTAGATAATATTCCATGTGTATATATACCACATTTTCTTTATCCATCTATCTGTTGATAGCCACTTAGGTAGATTGCACAACTTAGCTAATGTGAATAAATGCTGCAATGAACATGGAAGTGCAGACATCTCTTCAATGTTCTGATTTCAATTTTTTAAGAAATAGACTCCAAAGTGGAATTACTGCACTATATGGTAATTCTATTTTTAGATTTTTTTAGAAACATCCATACTGTTTTTCATAATGGCTGTACTAATTTACATTCCCACCAACAGTGTATCAGAGTTCTCTTTTCTCCATATCATCACCAACACTTGTTTTCTTTCATCTTTTTTTGGTAATAGCCATTCTGACAGGTGTGAGATGATATCTTATTGTGGTTTTGATTTGCATTTTTTCTGATGATCAGTGATGATGAGCATTATGTCATGTATCTATTGGCCATATGTATGTCTTCTTTTGAGAAATATCTAATTAGGTCCCTTGCCCAATTTCAATATTGGGTTATTTGTTTTCTTGCTATTGAGTTGTTTAACGGTCTCATATGTTTTGGGTACTAAGCTGTTATCAGATACATGCATTCCAAATATTTTCTCCCAATCCATATGTGTCTGTTTACCCTGTTAATTGTTTCACTTTATGTATAGAAGATTTAGTTTGATGTTGTCTTATTTGCATATTTTTGTTTTTGTTGCCTGAATTTTGTGAGTCAAATTAAAAAAAAAATCATTGTTCTAATCAACATCATATCATTTGCCTCATATGTTTTCTTCTAGTCACTTTTCAATTTCAGATTTTATATTTAAGTCTTTACCCTTTTTTAAGTTCATTGTTATGTGGTGTGAGATAAGGGTCCAATTTCGTTTCTCTGCATGTGGATATTCAGCTTTCCCAACACTCTTTATGCTCTTTATTGAAGAGACTGTTCTTTTTCAACTGAGTATTCTTATCACCTTTGTTGAAAATCAATTGACTGTATATGGGTGGGTTCATTTCTGGATTCTCTATTCTGTTCCATTCAGCAAAGTGTCCATATTTATTTCAGTACCATATTGTGTTAATAAAAATTTCTCTGTAGTATAGCTTGAAATCAGGTAATGTGATGCCTCCAGCTTTGTTCCTTATGATCATGATTTCCTTGGCTATTTGGGGTTTTCTGGTAACTACATGTAAATTTTAGGATTTTTTTCTATTTTTGTGAAATAAGACATTGGATTTTTTTTTTTTAATTGTACTTTACGTTCTGGGGCACATGTGCAGATCACGCAGGGCTATTGCATAGGTACACACATGGCAATGTGGTTTGCTTCCTCCATCCCCCTATCACCTACATCTGGCATTTCTCCCCATGTTATCCCTCCCCAACCTTGCCCCCCCATGCTGTCCCTCCCTTGCCCCCACCAACAGATCCCAGTGTGTGATGCGCCCCTCTATGTGTCCATGTGTTCTCATTGCTCAACACCCATTTATCAGTGAGAACATATGGTGTTTGATTTTCTGTTCTTGTGTCAGTTTGCTGAGAATTATGGTTTCCAGATTCATCCATGTCCCTACAAAGGACACAAGCTCATCATTTTTTATAGCTGCATAGTATTCTGTGGTGTATATGTGCCACATTTTCCTTGTCCAGTCTATTGTTGATGGACATTTTGGTTGGTTCCAGGTCTTATTGTCGGGTTTATCAAAGATCAGATGGTTGTAGATGTGTGATGTTGCTTCTGGGACCTCTGTTCTGTTCCATTGGTTTATGTCTCTGTTTTGGTACCAGCACTATGCTGTTTTGATTACTGCAGCCTTGTAGTATAGTTTGAAGTCTGGCAGTGTGATGCCTCTGGCTTTGTTCTTTTTGCTTAGGATTGTCTTGGCTATGCAGGCTCTCTTGTGACTCCACATTAAGTTTAAAGTGGTTTTTTCCAGTTCTGTGAAGAAGGTCATTGGTAGCTTGGTGGGGATAGTGTTGAATCTATAGATTATTTGGGGCAGTATGCCCATTTTCATGATATTAATTCTTCCTAACCATGAGCATGGAATGTTTTTCCATCTGTTTGTGTCCTCTCTTATTTCATTGAGCAGTGTTTTGTAGTTCTCCTGGAAGAGGTCCTTTACATCCTTTGTTAGTTGTTTTCCTAGGTATTTTATTCTCTTTGTAGTAATAGTGAATGGGAGTTTGCTCTTGATTTGGCTCTCTGTTTGTTTATTATTGGTATATAGGAATGTTTGTGATTTCTGCACATTGATTTTATATCCTGAGACTTTGCTGAAGCTGCTTATCAGTTTGAGATTTTGGGCTGAGATGATGGGGTC